CTCCAGCGCGTGTTGTGGCAGGCGAACGCCATACACACGTCAAGAAGCGTGGCCGACCAAAAGGAGCGAAGGACAAAGCAGGCAGCAGGGTTCGAAGAACAAAGAAACAGTTAGAAGAACTGAGAAAGAATGTGGCGCTGTTCGCTAGTGCAGTAGGTGGCACGTGTGAATTAGACGAAGATGAGGAATTCGTCGAATCATATGAGATTTTGTCCGTTGCTCAAGCACTCAAGTCTCCTGATGCCGACAAGTGGCGGGAGGTTATTGACAAAGAGCATGCGAGACTACTAGCCTTTGACACGTGGAAAGAAGCTTCTGGCGAGGAGCTTGCGACCGCGCGACAGGCTCTACCAATTGCCATAATTCTAACTATTAAAAGATGTGGAAGATACAAGGCTCGCGCTTGTGTCCTCGGTAATCTAGATCGTTCAGGAGAGCTAAACACCTTTGCTCCCGTAGTTTCACACGCCGCTAATAGGTTAGGCTGCTCCTGACTTCTGCTGCGTCAGAGCAGGACTATGTGATCCCGTTCGATTTAGATTCTGCGTTCCTCAATGCTGAACTCGATCGCGATGTCTTCTGCCGTCTCCCACCCATCTGGGCCGAGAAGCATGGACGCGAGATCGTGAAGCTCAAGAAGGCCTTATACGGCTTGAAGGACGCACCACGAGCATGGTTCAAGAAATATCACGACATACTAGCCAGTATTGGCTGGGAGCCGTGTGATTCTGCGCCAGGCTTATGGAGAAAGCCGAGTGCGAAGGTACCTGGGAAGTTCCTCAAGATGTCAGTCTATGTTGATGACAATCTTGCAACGGGTCCTGATCTTGATGAGCTCAAGACCGAACTAGAACTCATCTTCTCGCGTGCCCCTGGCCGTGCGATTGATGTGGAGTCCGTTCCAACCCCTTGGGGTCAAACGTGGCTCAGGTTCGACTTCTTAGGTGCCATCGTGTACTACTGCCGTGAAGCTCGAACATTTCGGCTCAATATGGAGGAGTACATTGATAAAATCGCAAAGAAATTCGAAATTGATGTCGGAAAACCGGTTTACTCGCCCAATTTTGACGAGTCGGCTTTTCTTGAGGAGGGGATCAAGATAGTCGAAGGGTATCCCTTTCGTGAGGTAGTTGGTGCCTTGCTATGGGTAGCTGTAACCGCGCGCCCGGACATTTCTGTACCGGTGGCAGCATTGGCTAGACATGTCAGCAAACCCGCGTCAACAAGAATGGTTAAAGCAGCCAGAAAAGTGCTAAAGTATCTGGTGACAACGAGAGACCAAGGACTGGAATACTCACCAGAGCAAGAAGAAGAATTCAATAGAATCTATTCAAAGTTACTACCTGAAGGCAGAGATATGCCAGAGGTGAATATCTTTAGTGATGCAGGTTTCGCCAACTGCGTAAAGACTATGAGAAGTACAAGTGGATCGATCATGTATTTCAAAGGCGTTCCAATTGCTTGGAGAAGTAACCGACAAACTGTCCGTGCCTATTCTACGGCTGAAAGTGAATATATTGCAGCTTCTGACACTATTGTGCTTAGTGAACTGCATGACTTTACAGACTTCTATAGGCCTCTACCAACTCAGTTGGTACACACACAGAACGGCTTGTCTCCCTCTTTAGACAATGCTGTGCTCTGGATCGACAACCAATCCGCGATCACAACAGCCAAAGCAACTGACACACGCCCGAAGAGTCGCCATTATGCACTTCGCTACTTGCGTGTGCGTGATGCGGCCAGTAAGATAGTTTTCTGTCCAACTAACTTAATGAAGGCTGATGGCTTAACTAAGCTAGAATGTAGTTCGTCTCAACGTAGACTACTACTTCACCATATAGATAATCCGATACATAAAGTTGAGTATGATGATTGTGATTCCTCAGACGATGAAACGGATGGGGATGATTTAGCTTACTATAGTGTAGTATATTCGGTTTATTTTGGCTTCTAGCAAAGTATACCGTAGCCATAGAAGACTAGTTAGGAGATATGACTTCCGTGGTAGTCCAGGAGACTAGGGACTTCGACACGCAACGATTGAGGAGGGGTGTTGGTCAAGATCGTAATCCTAGAAGAATCACAAAGATCACAAGGATGAAGATCATCAAAATGACCAAGATCGCCAGGCAAAAGGTTACCGGAGCACCATCCAAACGCCCGACGGGTTTACCGTCGCGCGGGTGTCTCTGGCTTCTCCTCTCTCTCTCGTATGTGGCTCAAGTCTCCCAACACAGTCAAGGACAAAGCAACACAGGAAAGATCTCAAAGATAACCTACAGACCTAAATGCATATAGCTCCAAAATCAATGATCAGCAGGCAAAGGACCTTCAACGTATTCAGATAGAAGAAATGATGAATGTTTCATAGCTGTAGCCAGGTCGAGGCCCATAGCGTCTTGTCAATTCTGATCAATGATGAATGCCAGTGCATGACGATCGTGCGAGTCAATGGCGATAGCATAAGCGTTTCCATATGAAGCATATGAAAGGTTCCCCATGCAACATGGTATCCCAATGATGAAGCTGAGACTTCCTCCTTGCAACCCCAATGAACATCCACAGGGATCAAAGCAGCCAGAGATCATTAGTCTCAGGCTGTGCGTGCAAACTGTGCAAACAGTATCACTCTCAAGTGTTTCTCACCGAGAAACTAGACGCGACTTAACAGTCTGTGTTCGAATGGTCCAACACAAATAAATACACAAGTTGAAAACAAGTATTCAAGAATGTTTCAACTCTGCCATAAACAAAGTACGATTTTGCGAAAGGCTATTGATTCCTGGTAGTTGTATGTGTGTAGTTTTTCCTTGGTTTCTTTCTAGCGTATTCGTTGTCTGTTGAAAAAAGGTCGACGAATGCACACGTCATGGAGGTGCATAAGCGTATTCTTGTGCTCAACATATGACATGAATATCATAAACGATTTCTGTAGCGGTTGTACATACTGATTTTGAAGTTCATCTCATGCTGATGAACATTCAGGATCTATTATTGGTTTTCTGTTTTTTTTGTCTGAGAATACAGATAGAGATACACGTAACCGCATTAATAACCTTCATGTTAATCCATACTGCATATGATACTCCCGCTCGATCTAACTGACCCTGGGACGATATTTTTTGAGTGCGAACAGCGGTTAATTGTTTGATGAAGAAGAGTATTTTTTGAGTGTGAACAGCGGTTAATTGTTTGATGAAGAAGAGTATTTTTTGATTGCGAACAACGGTTAAAAAAGTCCACTTTCGATCGATTGATGAGCAGCGTTTTTTAAGTACGAACAATCAAAGTCGATGTACAAGTGAATAAGTACTCAAAATAAAAATACGTCTAACTATTCTTGAACAAGACGTCCTCAACTAAGTTGAAAAGAGAAGTTATTTATAAGATCCTGGTAAGTGTAAGATCGGGTACTCATTATATCTTTGCCCTTGTTCCGAAATTTCAGGAAGACCCTGCCGCCATGTCAATGAGGTGGAATGAAAGAGTTCGTAGTAGTTGAAACCTGACGGCAGGGTCTATAAGAATGGGCGCAAAAGGTCGCGTAGGCGGGAAAAATCGCCTCGGCTCTAGAATATTTAGCGAATTGAAACGCATGTTGAATAATTTATTGGAAGAAAACGATAATTGAAGGAATGAATAAGAATGAAGGCCAAGAAGGCTATGGCTCACATCACGCGGCGGGCACGTTCGGACCAACCCCCGCTTTACCGTGAAAACCCTAGCGGGCCTGCTGACCCAGAGAAGCCTGGCGGATAGCGGATTTGCGAGCGCACAGGGGAGCTGGAGACGGAGGAATAGTAGTTAGTACTTGGTAATGCAGCAATTGCAATTATGGTCCCGGAGTCATCTCAGACAAAGCCGCTTCAACCTCTCTGCTGCATGTATGTTCCTGCGGAATCGGGCTAACGAGAGTTTGTTCCGGCTTCCTCCGCGAAGCCCGTAGGCCCTCGGGCAGCGCATTAGCACAAGTCTGCTTTATATATAATTTTAATAAGACGAGAACGGAGGGCTTTGAACATGGTAGGCACACAATATGGAGCGCGTCAGGCATGAAAAATGTCGCACCAAGACGACTCCGCCACCGCGTCCGCGAGGAGCACGCTTCGTCGCTGTAATCGACAGTGTTGCCTTTCTCTTTCTTTGTACTACTTAGATGATTAGCAGGCACCAGCGTCATAGTTACCCGCCGCGTGCTCTTAGTAGATTTTTTTTCTGTGGATCCTTAGTTAAGGTTGTAAAATGAGAACGGAAAAGAAAAGAAAACAGGCGCAGATCTGGTGCTCCTGGTGCTTCGTTTGATGAAGTCGGTACGAAGTGAGATTTTTTTGAAGGACAATGCATTTACTTCTAATGAGGTAGGTCGAGAAATACGAATACGATTACGAACGCAAAAAAGATAAAACTTTCTGTAGTTTGTTTGTTTGTTTGTCTGTTTGACAGTTTTTGTTTTAGACGTATGGAATATTCTTTCAAACAGCTGCCGCTATATTTTTTTCCTCACCCCAGTGTCGTACTTATATTAGCCTTTTTGGATCGCGCTCTCACATCCGCTTGCAGCAGTTAAGGCTTGCTGTGGCGAAGCGAGCAGCGGCTCGAGAGAAGAAGGGGACCAAGACTTTTAAGCCCCCTGCGTACAAAAAGAACGGCAGGACCCGTGAATAAAAAGACAAGATCGCAGTAGTGAGACATCGAGCGATCAAACAAGAGCGCAGAAGGATCAAATTGAATTAGAACCAAAAGCTGGACCTCGAATCAGAATGGTAGCTAGGGTAGATCTTTTACACCTTCTCCCGAATGACGTAAGCACATTGAATATCGCAGGTTTTTGGGTAGATAAATCGGTCCTCACATGCGGTTCGAGCATGTTTCGGTCTGGAAAAGTTCAGTCTATTGTGGCACTTCAATGGCCTCGAACGCTCACCCCCCATAGGTAAGCCAACTCCTATCCTATCCTAGCATGTTGAGAATTCATGTGCTGGCACAAGAAACATCAACGGAAAGGATCGATAATCGAAGATACTTCGTGCAATGTCCTCAGACCATGAGTGAAATTGTACCAGTCGTCCTACAGTTCGTGTTTCTGGTCATGCTTCTTTAAATATCCATCATCTTGCGGCATGAAGCGTGTTCGTAGAAAGAGCGAGCAATGAAGAACTCGGTCGAGTGCAAAAGGCTAAAAAACTGCTCCTGGAAACGAGTGCTTTCCAGAGAGAAAAGTCTTCATAAGATGATCTGTGAAAAAGAAAAATATTTTTTTTTTGTTTCTTTACGACCAACTTTTTTTTACCAGGCGGGCGCAGGAGAGCGCCAACGCAAACGGCAACCTAGACACCAGAAATGTCACCTTCCTCTATGAATGATCGCAATAAATATCCTTTTTTTCTTTTATCTTACTAACTTTCCTTATCTGTAAATGTAAAATAGGACAAAGAGGGGCCCTCACCCTATTTTGAAGCCCCGTCCTCCCCCTTCAAGCCCGGTCCTCCCCCGTTCGTCTGTACGTTTATCTCGAGCGAAAAATCGCTTGATTGATGTCGAATATTTTTGTGTAAAAATTTTCGTCTTCTTCCTCTGGTGAAACTACTTAACACCAACTATTACAGAGCTATATTTTTATCAGCGAACACATCAATCAATTTATCGAATCGAAACCTTATAAGAAATGGAAAACGACATACGGAGTTTGGCGCCGAGCGTGGCGCCACCTCTACCGCCTAGTGCGGAACCCGAAGCTAGTGATATCGAACAGTTTGCGGCGTCGCCACTCGCCTCTAACCTTGCAGTCACAGACCAGCAGCTTTCCATCGAGTCATCGATCGCGCAGAACCACTGCAGGAAGCTGGAGAACCAGGAGAAGCGGAATTTGCATAGGCACTTTGTCTGGCGATGTCTAGTGTGGACGGCTTTTTACGCGACGCTGTTCTACAGCAGTGGCGGGCCGTTCTTTTTGCTGTCGATCATGCAGCAATGCTTATGGATTTATCTTCATCTTCCATGATTACTCGGTTCGTCTCTAACGTCAGTGATGCTCTTCGTACTATACCAAGCCACAACTAGGGAAGGCCCAGACTATTTTGTATGCAATTGATTTATCGCCTCTAACAACCGGCTTGCTCTCCAGTTGGGTCAGAACCGAATGCCGAATGAATGCGGAACCTACAACAGCAGGAATTCTTGCAGAACAAGTTCTTGTACCCCCAGCAGTCGCGGCAGACGACGGCAGTCTTGCCTCGGCTCTTGCTGGCTACCTCCAATCTGCCTTACACGGTGAGGCACCAGAAGCGCGTCATCCTAATGACGACATCTCCTACCAGGCGAGACCTGGCAGCCCACAACAGGCGGCCTATGCTTGCGCAGCACCAGTCTTTCCTCTGCCCTATGAAAAACTAGTGTGGCGCCTCGGCTTTCCGATGACGGCTGACCCTTTTGCAGTCTTTTTTCCGACTTTTGACGCAGACGCCTTTCCGAAGGCGGGAGCTAAGGGAGTGGATACAACCCCGTCGTTGCTGTTGGAGGTGGCTGATGAAGAAGGTAGTCCTCATGATGCAGCTGCAACTTCTAGTAGTGGGACAGCAGCATCATTGGATGAATCTCCTGCAACGACAAGCCCTACTTCTAGTTCTACTTTTACCCGCTTCCATGTCATGTCCCTCATGGGCCAGAACTATTTCGCTTTCTCGCTGCCTTACTACGTTGCTGCTTTTTTGGTTGAAAACTACATCATCTACTACGTCATGGAGCGCGAATTACGACATAAGCCCTCATTGCCGGGTTCAATTAGTAATCTGGGTCAAGGAGTGTTGATGTTTTTGTGCTCTCAGATGCTATTTTTGAACTACAAGGATCCCGTCTATGCTTGGATCTTCGATCATTTCCGGATGACCGACGCTTTTCGGGATTTAGACGACCCAACAAAGCAGTGGGCAGTCGTACACGAGGAGCAGTCAATCCCTGTACCTCCGTTTTTGATTCCCAGCTACAGTTCTGGGGCACTAGCGTCTTTGGGACTCGAATCCTGGGTATCTCCAGCGTTTTTCGTGTTCGTCTGCTGGTGGGTCTGCTTGTTGCAGCTCGACTTCTTCTACTACTGCTGGCATCGTGCCAGTCACAGAATGAGCTGGTTGTGGGCTGCGCATTGGGTCCATCATAGTACAGAGGAGTACAACATCTCCGTCACTTTCCGAGAGCCGATTTGGTGGTCGGAGATGCTCATTCCTCTCCAGTTCGCGATCATGCGGGCACCGGTTGCGGTGTTTGGCTTCCCGATCGTCTTCATGAACACGATCTCCTTGAACGACACGTTGTACATGAACATGCTGCACACCGAGTTGATCGACCCTCTGCCAAGAGCGGAGCTGCTGTTCATGACGCCGAGTCTTCACAGGGTGCATCATGCGAGGAATCTGAGGGCACTGGCGAAAAATTTCGGGTCCTTGTTCAGCATTTGGGATCGCTTAGGTGGAAGTTACGAGCCAGAGTATTTGCCAAGCGCAAGTGGTAAGTTCCCAACACAGTATTTGAATGTGGAGGTGGATGTCCCAAAACCTGTGGAGAACAGGCTTAGTGTGGCTGGAATAGCTGTAGTGGACGAGCAAAGCACTTTGCGTCTGCGAGCACCACTTTTGGCAAAGGAGGACAGTACCAGAATCGCGGAGGATCACATGAACAAGAATAACCAGCCATCTACTTTGCAGAGTAAAATCATGCCTGCTGTGTCTAGTAGTGTCGCAGCAATTGCAGGTTCACCACCGAGGTCACAAGCAGTGTCGACATTAGAGGATGATGCACAAGAAGATGCTCCAACAGCTAAGCAAGGTGGAAAAGTTGAGGACCGAAAGAACTCTCCATCCGGTCAAGCCCCAACAATGACCACAGCCACCAGCACATCTTCTTCTGCCTCTTCTTCCTCCAACAATTCCCTGCTCTCCCTGCTCAAGCGATACTACATCGACCGACAGGACACGAGGAAGTGCAAGGATGACAGAGAACCGCTTAGATACGGGGTCATACCTCAATTCCACTCTTATGACATCTGGAGGCAGAATCTAGAGCACTGGTTACACATGTTCAGAGTGCAGCCATGGTACAACGGACACGGAATCGCTGCGCCGTTTCTCCACTGGACAAAGCCAGGAAGCCGGTGTCCGCCGCTTAGTGAGAGAAGCAGAATCAATGGATACAAGGTTTTTGCAACTATTTAATTAGGTACAGACTCTCCAGAGCAAGAGCTTGAAAAAGACATCATCCATGTCCTTCACCCTGTGCAAATCTGAAAAAACAAATACATAGTACCCTTCTCATAACACAACAGAAATTCCGCGCTGATGCTTTGCACATTGGCTGGTCAGTCTACGTGATTCTGGAGTTTATCGTCTTTTTCTTTGCGGCATTAGGCTTCGTGGCGACAAACTACGACATGAGCGTCAATTTGGCGAAAACGTACTTGCTTTGTTTTACTTTTGTCTCATATTCGTTGTGCATATTATAGCGGTCACATTCACAAGATGAGGAAAACCAAAATTATAGTCATCATGATGGTAACTCTAACTGTTTACCACCATCTTCTTCTTCATAACAAACAGATTCTACGGTTCCTGCTACACGCCGTTCATGCTACCGGAAACCTGCATGCCTGGTCCGATTGCCGAGTACTTTGGACCTCAGAAACTCGTCGCCGCTTGTCTCCAGGTTGCGGGATTCATGTTGGGGATGTGGACTATGGCCAACATTGGGGAAATCATGATGGCGACCGAAAAGGCACCGAGTTATGTCGGTGTACCAGAGGGGTACGCGCCGATTCCGGATGCAGTGTTTTTGGCCGGAGGTGGTAGTGGTAGTGGCGGACAGAGCAATGGAGTAGGAACAGTGTCACAGGGAATCACTCGCAGTAAATCAACTCTAGCCATGACTTCAGCGAAGGACCTAGCATTTACAATGCAGGCTCCTGACGGAAAAGATGGGAACACTGCTCCTAGGGGCAGTACAACATCGTCCAAAGATAACAATGGAATCTCAACAGATTCTCTGTTTTTCCTCCGTCAATCCACGACCAGTTGTGCTAATGCCGATGAAGGACGTAGTCTAGATGGCAGTGTCGACGTGAATTGCGACTTCGTAAGAACAAGAAGCGGCGCCAACCAGCGAGACTATTCGCAAAGTCTCAAGGTAGAAGAAACAGATGAAGATACAAGAGAGCGCACCATACAGGCAACAGAAGTAGCGGTGGAAGAAATAGAAGCGGCTTTGTCCAGAAAATTGTCTGCTTCTACAATGGCTGGTGGAGCACCGTTTCCTAGTGGCAGTGCGGCAGCATCAACTTTCATCAGTAGTTCCTACGAAACTAGTGCACGATCTTCTACGGTTGGAGGTTCGCTTCCCCAAGCAGGTCAAGCTCCTGCTCAGCTAGCAGAAGCAGTGAAACTGCTCAGTGCGCAGGATCCTCCTGCTGTAACGAGTCCTAGGCTTTCCTCGGCTAGTAGTTGTGTCGCAGTTCAGTCGTCAGCAATGAGCACTATCGCTGGTGGCTCCTCGGCTGTCGCAAGCAGCAGCTGCGTTGTTCACAGTTCACTATATCCTACTCCGAGTGCTGGTAGTACTGCAGTACAAGAACTTAGTGCAGGTGGTGGTAAGAGAAAGACCTCGAACGACAACAAGGACAAGATCTTCCATGGTCGAGATCCAGCTAGGTGGCAAGGTTTAGGCGAACAGAATCTAGGCTCTCTCATCTACACCATTCACGAGGACAATGCACCAGAATTGCTTCCGGGTGAGAAGGTCTACGAACGCAAACTCATCTACGCCGAGATGCTGCGGCACTGGTTCGTCGTGTTTTGGGCCTTGCAGTTCGGGGATGCCATGTACAACGACAGTGATCCCGACAGTGCAGCCACGGTTAGTCGCAAGTGCACTATGCTAACGCTGGCCTACGCTGCATTTCACGTGCTGGCTTTGCCACTTCTAGTGTTCTTTGGGAACACCAGGTGGGGCCGGGAGAGCGCAGCGCGAAGACGCTACAGAGGCTGACCTGCAAGTGGACATTGAGTCCCTAGAAATCTGATCACATAGGGCACGCCGCATAGAATAGTAAGAGTAACGCATTACATCAACAGCTCGTTTAGGATTCTAGTTATTTCGTTAGTCGCACTCGCAAGCAGAACCAATTCAAATTTAAAGTCAAGTTCATGAAACAAATAGTTAAGATTCCTTCCTAGACCTAGATGATTCAGCAACATCAAAATCCGATAAAGAGATGAGGGGGCTCGTACTAGAGCCTTCATCACCTATATCATAAGGCAATAATCCAGAAGCAGAAGTCATCCACCAGAAGTCAACGTACTACGTATAGAGATGATTGAATGTCATAGGGAGAATAGTTATCTTATTCTGAGAACACCAAGAACACCCTACTTATTCTGTGCACGACCATGTACTTTTGCTAGATTCAACAATTTACTACAGGAAGACGCAGCATGTACTTGATGTAAGTAGATTCATCAACAACACAGGAAGAACAATAGCTTTTGAGCATTGAGATGGATTCGACCCAAGACCCGCCATACGTATGCAGACTCAATGATGGGGCGAGGCGAGGAGAAATTAAGAACGTGGGAGACTCGAGTTTATAAAGTCTTCGTGATTACAAGTAGTTGCATACTACATAGTGTGTGGTTACTATCGTCTCATGCTGGGTCATTCTCATTCTTCTAGCAAAAACCAAGATACGCATAACTTAACATGTTCAAGCTGATTGCGCCTTTATATTAATGACTCGTGAAATTTATTTTCAAAATTCCCACAACATTTGTCCAGGATGTAGATGTTGTAATCGACTTCGACATCGACGGCACTACACATTATAGAACATATGTAAACATGCACACACACAAGCACAACAACAACAGTACTTCTCGTGATACTCGAGACAACATAGATATTTTGATGTTCAAACAACACCTACAAAGTGAAGTCATCTTATGCAGTCTTCAATTCATGAGAAGTACTGGTTTTAAGTTCTAGTTTATTTTGGAGGTGCACCACCACCACACACTCTTACGTCAGAACACTGCTTACGGAAGGCTTTAACAGGCCCTCCTGCAGTGTCTCTGAGAGAAAAATGAACTGTATTTCTGGTTGTAAGAAGGAACGTTATTGTATTGGGTTTTTTGTATTTAGGAAGTGCATATACCGATACCTACTAACACATTCATTGGAGGGAGCAAGGATTGTAAAGTTGTGAGGCTCAACTTTCGTTGGTCATTGAGGTTGGTCGCTGAGATCGAAGAGGAGACACCTGGAGAGAACAGGGGAAAACCAAGGGAAAGGGGGAGAGCTTTGAAGGGGGTCTCTTCCGTTTAGCATCAGTGGCCACTGACTGCTGGCCTTTAATATTAGACATTTTCAGTTACAGTAGATCAGATGGTTGAGAATTATTACTCAAACTCATCATAATTTCGGAAATTAATCTAGCTACTACAGCACCATTAGAATCAATTATATACCTGTACTACAGGGAATTATATCCAATCCATCGGCAATTAAGTGTGAGATGGCAATCCATAGCCAACCCTTCTATGGGTCGCATGTATGAATAGACAACTGCCCATGGACGACATAGTCCATACACGAGATGAAGATACCGAGCAGAACTTGGCGCACCATTGCTTTCTTTAACCTTATGAGGGGGTAGTTACCGTTGAATTTTTGTGGATAGTCAAAGCAAGGAATGAAAAGATGCAAAGTATAAACAACATTTTCCGCCGCTAGGATAAACTAGATATCCTCTACGATCGTCGTTAATCAAAATGGGAATGGGAAAAGGAATAGCAAATGGGACCACTTCAACTATGGCGCATGATCATGCAGTGGACCAGCATTCAATGAGAGATATTGGTGGAAATTGTGTTCGTTGAGCAATGTGAATCGGTTGAAAAAGGATGACTCCAAGAGGTCGAGTGAGGTCCACTTCCTGTTAATAGAGGTGTACTGAAAATGCTACAGCGCTGACCACTGTGTTCCGCTTCAGAGCACATCAGCAGAATCATGATCTGATGAATGAATGAATGAATTCACTTCGTCAAGTACCTTTACTCGTTTTCAAATTTTACTTGCTGTCTCTATCTTCGTTTTCATGAATTCTGATTCTCCTTTACCTTGATTCGTAGGGAGCAGTTCTTCAGTTGCTATATTGCTTTACCATCTACTTTCCTATTGATTGGATAGAAAGACGAAAAGGATCGATGAGCAGCAAATGAGAAGAAATTGAGCTCGACAGTTCTTGCGAGTCGCAGGCGTCGCACGCTTGGTGTCCAACAAAACGAGTTGAGCGGCAACAGGACGTGGACGATACAAGTTTTTGGACACGAGGACGAAACAACTTTTTGGACTTAGTTGTACGTGGTTGCTAACTTTTTCCCCTTCTGGAACTACAACGAAGCCGCCCGTTCTCATTTTTTTCAGCAACCTTCCTCTACTCAACGACAAAATGGCATCTGCCGTGGGACGCAAACGCACTTACCAGGAGGAGTGCAAGTACATTGAGCGGAAGAGCAAAGTGAAGTTCGAGATCAAGGAGGGCTTCGCGCCGAATATGAATGTGCCTGGCGTCCTCTACGTCAACAGTTCTCTGGAGAAACTGATCTTCACAGAGCTCCTCGACTACACCAGACAGACCCAAACGCAAGGCGGCTTTTTACCTGCAGTGAAGCAAGTAGGCAATGTGGCGTCATTACCTGGGATTGTGGGAAATAGCATAGGGTTGCCTGACGTCCACGCTGGCTATGGGTTTGCAATTGGAAACGTAGCAGCCTTTGACATGGACGATCCTGAGGCAGTGGTATCGCCTGGAGGTGTTGGGTTTGATATCAACTGTGGAGTGAGACTTATACGCACTAATTTGACGGAGGAAGACGTGAACCCAGTCAAAGAAAGCTTGACGCAAGCGTTGTTTGATCATATACCAGTGGGAGTCGGCAGTATGGGAATAATACCGATTAAGGAGAAAGATTTAGAAGATGCTTTGCAGCTTGGTATTTTTTTTGCTGTAATGTTACCTTCGACGCAATCCATGAAGATGTAGTTGATTGAGGTGTTCGTTACTCTCTTTGTAAAACAACAACATCGGGACGTAAGTAGATGAATGCGCAGCAATTCTCTCTTCAAGATCAAGATGATACAGCAAAAGACGCCATTCTTGTAGGTATCGACTGGAGTCTACGCGAAGGCTATGCATGGCCTGAGGACAAGGAGCATTGCGAGGAGTATGGCCGGATGCTCAACGCCGATCCAGGGAAGGTCTCTGCGCGCGCAAAAAAGCGAGGGTTGCCTCAGTTGGGCACTTTAGGAGCCGGAAACCACTATGCTGAGATTCAAGTCGTCGATGAAATCTTCGATGACTTCGCAGCCAAGAAAATGGGCATCAATACAGTAGGCCAAGTCTGTATCATGATCCACAGCGGAAGTAGAGGGCTTGGACATCAGGTAGCGACGGATGCATTGGTGGAAATGGAACGAGCTATGGAAAGGGATGGAATCAAGACGAACGACAGGCAGTTGGCGTGTGCGAGTACAACATATTCTTTTTGAGTTTTGGTTTCTATCAAAATCAAAGACCGTGGTTGTTGAACTTAGCACTTCTAGACTGCTACAAAATCTAAATCAAATGACCAAAAGTACAACACCAACACCATCACTTGTTCCCCCTCCACACTGCAGGAATATCCTCCCCTGAGGGTCAGAACTATTTAGCGGCTATGAGTGCAGCAGCCAACTATGCTTGGGTGAATCGGAGTTCAATGACGTTTTTAGCTAGGCAAGCGTTCGCGAAAATCTTCAACCGAAGTCCGGAAGACCTCGATATGCATCTCATCTACGATGTCAGCCACAACATTGCGAAGATGGAGGAGCATGAGGTACTACCGAAGCTCACGTCTTGGTTGAGTGTTACTTCTTGATGATGTATGATGAAACGGCAGAGTAAAAAACTTTCCCTTGCTGCTCTCAAGTCATGTCATACATGACTCAGGGCCGACGCCCCCCCTCCCCCCCCCTGTGGTCTTGTCTGTGGTGGCGCGTGCGCGCTTTTCCGCGCGGATTTTTCGCGGATTCTAGTGGTGAACAAAAGGGGGGAAGAAAAGCAATCGCGTGAAGCTGTCGCAACGGCCTCCACTATTGCGGCGCGGGACGCGCTGAGCTTCCGCGCCGATGCGAGTCAGGCGCCGAAGCGAGACGCGCCGCCCTCGACTCGTCCAAAGAGGGGTCGTAGAAGATCATCGCCGCGCAGAAGCTTGCCGCGCGGGCGAAGAGATCGCGCGCGGAGTGTCAGCAAAAGCCGACGAAGGCGAAGCCGAAGCCGCAGAAGGAGGAGTCGCAGCGAAAGCCGCAGGAGGCGGAGGCGCAGCAGGGGACGAGAAGAGCGAAGGGGAAGGCGCAGCAGGGGCCGCAGGTGTAGTTGCAGCAAAACGCGACGCAAGCCCAGCCCTAGTAAGGCGTGACGCAAGCCCGGCCCTAGCAAGGCTCGACGCAAGCCCCGCCCGGGCAAAGCTCGACGCAGGCCCGGCCTTAGCAAGGCGCGGCGTAGGCCCCAGCCGAGCAAGGCGCCGCGCCGTCGAAGCCGGAGCAAGGAGCCGCAAAAGGCGACCAACGGCAGCAGTGGCCGCAACAAGCGACGCGACCGCAGCCAGGGTCGCTCGCCTGTGCGCTAATCAACATCAAAAGCGAAAGGCGAGACCGCGCCACTGGGTGTCGTTGTTTTGCGAAAAGGCGGCGGAGAACGCGGCTACGGGTGTCGTGAGCGAGCGGTCTTTGATGTGTTAGATGTTTCGCTACCTTGGAAAACGACGATCCGGCGTCGATCACATTTTCGCACTTACCTCTTTCTAAAATTGTACATGGGTGGCGCTCTTCTTTTTAAATAAGTGTCTACCATAAATGAAGATGTGCCCCTTGTCCCCTGAATAGTTAAGCCATCTTTTTTTATGTGCAATTTAAAGTATGCTTTATTGGTGTTTAAATACGAGTGCGCGTAGTGCGCGCTCCCCGGGGGGCAACGCCGGGTAAACAAGGTTCCACCTGTTTAGTGTTTATGAGGAGCGCCTTCCAGCGAGGGCGAGGCACTCCGGAAGCAAAAAGTTTCCATCGATCACTAGCAGGTAGCAATCAGAGTCCACTCAAAACGAGTCGACAACTAAGAGGCCAATAAATGGCAATGAGACGCGTCAAAGCACGCTAGGCCAATAAATGGCAAGAAGAGTTAATCAAGGGACTCGCGTAAAGAAACCAACGCTCAGCCGAGGCAATAAGCCGGCCACTCGGCCCACCGAGATCCTAGTAAGACGCAACAACATCGAGGGAGCAGCACCGACATCTTTTCACTCGAGCTAACCACGCTCGTTGGCGATTAGGGTCAGAGCCGGCGTTTGTTCACTCAGCTCCAAACCCGCACTAACCATGTGTGGAGGAGGAGCAGCCTCGGCTATCGAGGACAGATCCGTCTAGAAGCTTTGAGCGCCACACACATTGGGAATTCTGGCGCACCTTGAATTTTTGTTGGATCCTCGTGGGGGTCACGCAAAAATCCAGGAATTTGCGTGACCCCCACGACAATCCAACAAAAAACTGGGGTCAGCTTGACATAGCTTGCCCGGGTCTCCAATGATGGAGTTAAGAAATAGCCACATCGTGCGCACAAAACGTGCTAGATCAAATGAGACGTTAAGGCGACCGAAAAAGATCGGGTTTATTTTCGATCATTCTCGAAGAGATGCCCAAGTCAAGGCACAAAAGCGTGTCAGATCAAATGAAGCGTTAAGGCGACCGAAAAAGATCGAGTATATGCCAAGTTAAGGCGCAAAATCAAATGAAGCGTTAAGGCGACCGAAAAAGATCAGGCAATTTTCGATCATTTTCGGAGAGAGTTCAAGTTGGGCAGAGTTCAAGTTAAGCGTTAAGGCGCGCACAAAATTTGTGCCAGATCAAATGACCGAAAATGACCGAAAATAAAAGATCGTGCATATTTTCGATCATTTTCGAAGAGACATCAAGTTAAACGTTAAGGCGCGCACAAAACGTGCCAGATCAAGCGTTCGAAATTTATCAGGTAGAATTTCGACCAGGGACGACCGCGCGCACAAATCGTGCCAAGATCTACGGAAAGTTAAGGATAAGACAGGTAAAAGACGCGGCTCATCTCCAGTGCCCCATCGATTTTAATCACTATGGTGCAATCAGTCACTCACTTCGTCCTACTTCCACAGGGAAACAGAAGGCAAATCACGCCGCCCGTTACTGAGGGCCCTACTATCAATCAACGCCTCCCACCGTCAAAAATGCCGCCAAAAGCAAAAGCTAAGGCCGTAGCAGGAGGAAAAGCGAAAGCGCCGGCTGTGGTCAAAGCCCAGCCGAAGCACAAGGCCGTGGCTGCAGGAGCAGCTGCGAAAGCCAAGGCAGCTCTGATGAAAGCGGGCGCGCCTCCCATCGGGCCACCTGGAGTAGGTGGCGCCGGAGGTGTCATCGCAGGCCCCCCTGTGTACGCTGGGCCTCCCCCTAAAGCGGTTCCGAAAGGCAATCAAGCCCACGCCGCGCCGCCCGCCCAGGACGGTGCAGCAGGAGCAAATGTTGCGGGTGTACAGCAGGCCAATGAGAACGGTCAGGGCGTCCAGTGGTCGCGCGACCAGTGGTCGTGGGGGTGGACTATCGACCGCCCAGCCGGCATCCCGGCGTACCCTCAGGACCACGAGCTGCGCCTAGTCGAGAAAGACACGTCGGACGCAGTTATCCACCTGCTCGTGTTACAACGCTTTGCCAGCGCGCTGGCATTGAAAGAGATGCGAGGCATCTGGGACCTCTACCTCTACACCGACATGAAGGACGGAGAGGAGGAGCAAGTCCGTGGACTGTTGGAAAGTGCAAAGACAGTCGACCTCAAACCACTGAAGACCAAGAAGCTTCTCTCCGGCATCACTACTGTGCACGGCCCAAAGTTCTTCGTGGAGATCGACTTCGCCACAGTCGCGAAGGTGCGCAAGGTCGTAGGAACTCGTGTGACAAGCATGCGGATCGAAACATCCAACATCATCACCGGCAAGGAGGCCGATTACATGCCATTCGAACTCAATCGGGCCTGGATCCGCTTCGCAATCGCTTGCGGCGTGTGCCAGCCGTTACGGTCAGATGAGATGATCCGCGCCTGCGAAAAACTGGCCAAGGAATTCACAGGTGTGCTCATCCCGAAGGCGTTGCGCGAGTTCTTCAACGATTTTCTTCTGGCATCCACAGATCATTGCGCAGAGAAGTTCTTCCGTGACTTCGAATCCAGATTCGCAAGCCTAGTCTCCGTCGCGTCCGCAGTAGCAGGCAAGAGAGCCGGCAAAGGAGCCGGGAAAGGAGGCAAAGGCGACCAACGAGACGGAAAGAAAGGCTCCGGCAAAGGCAAAGGGCGTGGCCGTGACGGATGGGGAGGTGGCAAAGGCCCCGGCAAGGACAACAAGGAGAAAGATAAACAGAATGAGTCGGAGGACACAGGCAACAACAATAATGGTGCCTAAAGTGCACGGCTGTGAAGACGACTGTCTTTGGTGAGCCCGGCCAAAGGCTCGATGTTCATACTCACACGACACCAGGTGGTGCCACCAGTAAAAGGCTAAAGTCGTCGCATGTCAGATAACCCCCACGAGGACACTGACCTCGATCATTTTATGCGCCCCGGGCGTCAGTTGTGTTCGTCCACGACGGCGGCGGCCACTAATCAGGCCGCGCCGCCAAAGCATTGTTTCTGATACCTTACAGAATTTGAAAATCTGTTTCCTATCACAATCAGACCTGTCCGCCGGCCCCCTCGATTCCAAGCGGTCACTCCCAATTAAGGCCAGGCTGTCAGCCGAGTTAGTATTGGCTATGACGAAGGGAGCGGTGCGCTCGTGATGTCTGTAATCAGTCGACGTAAGCTTTAATTCCGGCCTCAGGCCTCGAAGCAGTAGTTGTCGTTTACTCGTTTTCCGCATGTGATCGCAGTAGCAAACTAATATCAACAAAGATGGTAGAGTCAGGTGCCCCGAGCACAGTAGGCTTGCGGTCAAACGTATCGCTGGCACCAACCGATGCCGTGAGTCAGTCCAAGCACAAGAAGTGGGAGTGCTTCCTCGCCAGCTTCGACGTGCTCGATCAATTCGGGGGTGCCGTCGTCCCTCACGTATTTCTGCTGTACGGGCTCTGGCTGCTTGACTCAGGCCTTGTGAGCAGCAAGCTGTACGTCAGCGCGGCGCATACATTTGAGAAGGCGAAGCTCGCGCTCTATCGCCTTCAGGGGTGCACAAATCAACGCATGAACCTCGTCTATCGGCGGCTCGACGAAGAGCTGACCCACGTTCGCAAAAAAGCGACCCCGCTTCGCAACCTAGTGGGGGTTCACTGCTTCGACAAGTATTGGCATTCAGTAGCAGCAGTTCTGGCCGGTACCGGTGTCAGGCCGATTGCCGCCAGCCACTTCGCGCCGACAGTTGTGCCGTTGAAGACACGAAAAGAGGGGTGGCTCGTTGGGTACCGGCTACAGGTCATCCACGACAAGATCAATAAAATCGCCGCGCGGAGCGTGCAGTTGCTTTGCACGTGTGAACATTGCGCGACATGCGTGATCCACTCGCTTGGGCTACCAGCGCTCCCGATCAGTAGGGACCACATCGAGACCGCAACGAGGTACTTCGGACTGGAGCTGCAGTCATATTCAACCAGGCGGGCACATTGCATTGCAGTCGCGCACTGTCATGAGCGACGCTCCTCGTTGGCGGTGTTGCTCAAGGACGTGGGATTTGTCGCCCGCATCACCTCCCAGTTGAACTGGGTCCCAGACAGCAAGATGTTCTTGGAGTATGCCAAGGACTGGGAGGCGCACCAGTTTACAGAAAACGAGTTGTCCTTTTATCGCGCCTACTACCATTATTACACTACGGGAGCCTTCCCATTTTCAGGCCAATAGGTCGGCGCGCACTCCTCGCCCGCTCTTCATGCTCACTCACTGCCACTGAAACTTTATAGCTGTGCAGCTACGTCAGTAATCGGCCTACTTTTAACACAGCGGAACGCAGTGTTCAGCCCGAGAGAGAAGTCAAGAAACGTCGTTTCGGTTTCAAGAGCGCGAGAGAAACGCGTCACCAGGTGACTTCGGTATGAGCGCGAAGAGCTGACCACTCAGGATAGTGCTCGCTATTGTGCGTTGTTCTGTAAGACGAGGTTAGATCTGTCCAGAGGAGACAGATTCAGACCGGCCTGGCCCAATCTGTTTAGAGAGGTGCGTAGGTTTTTCATGACTCTTAGTGACGTCTACTCGACAGTCCGTTCACAATCTAGACAGCAGAGGCCGCCGCTTAGTCTTTTCCCTTCGGAACCCAGCTCTCACTGTCGTCCCGAGTCGCCCCCACACGACCAGGATCGTTTGTTTCAGAAAGCTGCGCTTTTGAGCAGCCTAAATTCTACTTGTTTCGGCCGCCGTTACGAGCGGACTCCATTCTACTCGATTAAAATGATGTCCCGACTCCTAAACACGGCGCTCCGCGCTCAAGCGGACAGCGCCGCAAGCGCGCCTCAAGGTAACCCCCTCTGGGAGCAAACGCTCCGCTCCACAGGCGAGCACGACGGGGGCCAGTTGTACCCCGATCCCCTCCCGAAGGAGGAGCGCGAATTCTTGAAGTGGTACCTCGACACGCCCGAGGGCGATATAGAGCAACTCCGACAAGAAGACGGAGCGCGCATTCGGTCAGAAGCGCAGCAGGCCCGTCTGCGTTCGCGCGAAACATGGCAGGAGCGGAGCACAGCCACCATCTCAGGTCACATCAACGTCGAGTATTTGCGCATGTTGTGCGCGCGGCACAAGTATCCCGACGCGGGCTTGATAGACGAGATAGCCAGTGGCTTCAATCTGGTGGGGGAGACCCCAATAACGGGCCTGCTCAGCCAGAACCCTACTGCCAGTCATCTCCAAGGCGCAGCTGATGTTGACGAGGCGCGCTCGCCACATATCCGGGTCAACGAGAGGCCAACGGGGCGGCCCAAGTACCTTGTTCGAGCCGCGTGGAGCAACGCGCAGGCCGAAGTTGCCAAAGGGTGGCTCGAGGAAGTCTCAGTGAAGGACCTAAGGGCCCGGCAAGTGCAGGAGAAGGTCTATGTCAATTACAGCTTCGCGATCGATCAGTCGACCGAAGACAAAGAGAAGCTGCGCACGGTGGTGCATTTTAAGGAGGTAAACCAAGACAGCTACCTGACCGAAAAGATTCGGCTGCCATCACACAAGAAGTACATCGCCTGGATGAGTACACTCATCTCAGACGGTGGAGACTGTTCGGCGCTTTTCGCCTCGAAGCAGGACATCTTCAACGCCCTCGAGGAGGCGCGCAAAGCACGCAGTAGTGCAGCACAGGGTGGAAAGACGAGCGACAGATCTCAGCCTGGGCCGGGCCCGACTTCGCAGAGCTTCGCCCAAGTTTACGCCGCCATCTGTGGCGACGGCGATGACAGCGACGGGTCGCACGGCCAGCAGCCGAGGAGGCGCAGCTCCCGTCACGCCAGAAAGGTCAACGGAGTCACAATCATTGCGCGCGATTTTCGTGACGCGTACAAGCAGTTGGCAGCTTGCAACCCTTGGCACTCCGTAGTGGGGGTTTTCGACCCCGACGCGGACGACGGCGCCGGCAGGTGGCGCTACTTCTTAGCGAAATACATGGCACTTGGTTCCCTATGGGCAATTATGTCTTGGGTGCGTGTGTCGTTGATGCTTCAGTGGTTGTTGCTTCGCGAGGCTCACACCTACGTGAACATTTACATTGACGATCTCGCTGGATGCGAGAAAGACGCGTTAGCCGATCAGGCCGCAGCGCTAATCGACAGCTTTATCGAGGCCACGGGCTTCAGGCAGAGCCCAGAGAAGGCCGAAGCCGGAAAGGCTGTGCGGCTCCTCGGTGTAGACTACGTAGTGGCAGGCCATATGTTGTCTACAGACCTGCGCTCGGAAAAGAGAGTGAAGATTCAGCGCGACATCGACCGCGCGATCGGAGCGGCAAAGGCCGGCGTGGTGCCAGTTAAACTTGTGCAAGCCATCGCTGGGAAGTGCAACTTCGCTCTTACGGCCACAAAATTTAGTGGCATCACCTCCGCACTCACTCCTCTTTACGACTCCTTGAAGAACGTTGTCGCCGACCCCACCAAGGCGATCGATACGATCGGCAACCCGGGCGACCTGATAGGCCCTCTGTGCCACTTGCGCGAGGTTATCATCGCCGCTCCGCCTTTCGTCTTGGACTGCAGCTCCATTGGAGACTCGCCAGCCACCCTGTGGACCGACGCCTCCGAGTCCAATTCGGAAAGTCGTCTGTCCTTCGTCTGCCATGTTGGCAACCGACTGATATGCGGCTCCACGGAGGTCCCAGATAACGTGTTGCAGAAGCTCCGCGCCAGGCGGGATAAGGTCATCAATGTTCTCGAGCTCATGGCCGTTCTGTGGTCATTGCAGGTGCTGCAGCAGCAGCTACGAGGACAGCGCGTTCGCGCGTTCGTCGATAACTCGGCCGCAATCTTCAGCGCGTGGAAGGGCACCTCGCGCGACCTGCTTTTGAGGGTCTTCGCGCAGAAGATCCACATGCAGCTTCTAGCGGCAGGCACGATGTGGACGCTGCACTACGTGCCCTCGGAGTTGAACCCCGCCGACGGTGGCACGAGAAGAGCGCTCTTCGAATCGTTCTGCCACACCGTCGCGCGCATCAAGCAGCAACTCCCCGACTTAGTCGTGAGAGTCCACCAGGGTGGAATAACGTTTGGTGTCAGCGAGGCAGTTGCGCAGATCTGCGACCTCGCGCCCACGCCTCTGAAAGACGACGAAGAGGCCACTAAAGTGTCCACAAAACGGAGAAGACCCATGTAGACTAGCTTCATGGGGCTAGCATTAGCGTGAGGTCAGAACGTAGCGCATATGATCTACTGAGTTCGCTAATTATTCCCTTAGCAAGAGAGGCGCAGCGTGTGGCCTATTTAGGCGTGCAGCCCTCCTGCGCGCGGCGCGAAGACAACATCTTCAGTTGTGGCAGCTGGCGCGACGCCCCTGCATGTGCCCTGGGTCGAACGTTTGGCCCGGAGTGTCTTGCCAGCTTGGAGTAGCTTTGCTACAGGCCAAACACGCCACGTCCACATGCGGGAGCCAATACTGGCTCGCGGTGATGGCGAGGTCGTGCCCGCGAGCTTGCGCGCGAACGTACGGCAACCTCCCGACCTGCGTCTGGGAGTGTCGTGGTGGCGTTCGGGATCCTCCTTCGATTAGTCCCTACCTGAGCCACGCTTGTCCGCCGCCGTAGGCGCCTGCCTCGCCTCGCTGCCACGTAGCGCGCTTAGTATTTAAGTGCAATTTAAAGTATGCTTTATTGGTGTTTAAATACGAGTGCGCGTAGTGCGCGCTCCCCGGGGGGCAACGCCGGGTAAACAAGGTTCCACCTGTTTAGTGTTTATGAGGAGCGCCTTCCAGCGAGGGCGAGGCACTCCGGAAGCAAAAAGTTTTCCCGCCCCCCCCACACCCAGGCGTTGTTAGCATCCCTCGCGCTCAGCACGCGTCGACACGCCACGTCCACATGCGGGAGCCAATACTGGCTCGCGGTGATGGCGAGGTCGTGCCCGCGAGCTTGCGCGCGAACGTACGGCAACCTCCCGACCTGCGTCTGGGAGTGTCGTGGTGGCGTTCGGGATCCTCCTTCGATTAGTCCCTACCTGAGCCACGCTTGTCCGCCGCCGTAGGCGCCTGCCTCGCCTCGCTGCCACGTAGCGCGCTTAGTATTTAAAGGTGCGGGCACCTCTTAACTTATCTGGAAACACATAAGAAGTATAGTAGTTCATCAGTAATCAAAATTCTTCGGCCCCAAATTCTTGGTGTCTCATGTGTTGAATTGGGCCCACGCTTGATGAGTTAGGAATAAGCACATACTCAGATAAAACTACTTAGATAGAAACAACAGCCAGAAACATCAGAATTAGAGCTAGGAAGCAGATAACAAGGTCGTCCTTATGGCTGCGCGCGTGGTCTGGCGACACAGATAGGAAGCACCCCCACAGGCGTCCTTATGGCTACTCGCGTGGCAGTATGTGCATCATCATCCGAATCTTGCTCCCTTTTTAACCGTATCAGGTCGAAGGCAGCCTGAAAACGCTCCTAGTACATCGAAAGGGCAGCACTCGCGCTTTCCCGCCAAACCATCCCCTCATACCTGTCGACTACCAAATGACGGGCCAACCTGTGCTCATTGGTGGTACTATGGGCACGAACAGCTACGTCCTTGTTGGTACAGAGCATGGAATGCGAAATACATTCGGATCCACTTGCCACGGAGCAGGCAGAGCACTTAGTCGCAACGTCTCTCGGAATAAGCTAGACTATGGCGACGTGCTTAAAAGACTCGAGGATAAGGGGATTTCATTCCGTGTGGCGAGTCCTAAACTGATCATGGAAGAAGCCCCAGAGAGTTACAAGGATGTCACAGAGGTCGTAAACACCTGCCACGAGGCCGGTTTGAGCAAAAAAGTGATCAAGCTTAGACCTATAGCGGTGGTCAAGGGTTGATGGTACTGATGTCAACGCTTCCACACTATGACAAGTACTTATGTTCAAATTTACTATGCCCTGTGTATACTACCTCATGTCTCTTCGAGACCAAGACCAGCAACACGATCCTTTATTTCCACTGTCCGAATCCCGGACCTTTCGATTTGCGCACATAAGTATTAAGGTGTTGAAGATAACGATAAGTATGTCCTTTTCCTCAATGGAAACGCGATCGCGAACGATGTTTTTCAACCTCGTGAGTGTTCACTGATGTGATGCTCCTGGTTGTCGTGTTGCTTTAGTTTCAGCTACTGCTTGATCTACTTAGCAAAGTTGAGAAAGCAGAGTCAAAATCCTGGAACATCAAGGGAACATGTTGAGTGAGAAATGAATCAGCTCCGGTGAAGGTACCGATCTCGGGAGTATGAATCTGCGTTCTTTAGAGCTGTCCTTGTCGGATCACGCACGACTGAACACACCACACGATAGAATGATTGAGTTCGTGTGAATTCTCACCCAACAGACTCCAGCTCCAGTGAAGTCAGGCAGAAAGTCTTCTCTAAAAAATGTACGGAAGAATTGTAGCATGCATGCAGATCGGCATGCTATACTCTCATCAGTTTTCTTGGTGATTAAATCATTCATCTGCTTGATCTTCTATTATCAGATAACAAGTAGAAACAAGAAGTTGCGAAATACTACCAAAACTTGTTCTGACAAAATTTTTGTATTTGCTCTTTGTTTTTATTTTTCTAGCTTGATCCTATAGTATTCTCCTGCTCAACGATATTTTACCTGCTGACGACCGTGTTTCCACGACGGTCCTTCTATCGTAAAAAATGTGATCTACTACTCAAATAATCTGAGTAATATTTGGTTCAGTACTACTTCGCCGTTTTTATTTGGTCGTCTTATTCAAGAAAATGCAGCCGTTTCTCCAGGACCAAGGTCTGCTGGATGCTGCGGACACTTACCGCCTTCGCCCTCTCATCAATGCGCTGGATACCTTGACGAAGCCAGAGAAGGGTCTGCTGGCCCATGTGCCTCCTGAGGTGCTGGACGAGAGTCGCAAAGGCCTGCAAAAAGTGATCTACGCTGTCGCGCAGCATGGCATAGGCGCCCGCATGCAGGACTTTTTGCGCGTGAGCCTGGGACAGGCAGCGGTCGAGGCGATCAAAATTTTATGTTGTCTATAATATCAGTTGTTTCGAGTGCGACTGACAGGAGATGTACAACTAGTGGCCAACAAGCATCTTCGATGTCATTCCGGAAGGTGACCTCGTAGTTGTGTCTACGTACGAAGTAAAGGCGCATTCAGAATCCACTCTGTTTCTCCCTCTGACCTAATTTGAATATCCTAATTATGCAAGCACGTAAGTAGCTACCTCTCCTTGTTGCAGTTTCTGCAGCACACTCTAATCCAAGCGAGAGGCAATGGACTGCATGGCGCTAGTTCCTCAGCGTCGCTCGCGTCCAGCGGGTCGAATATTTCGACAGGAGAAAAGACTCAATACAAAGAGTTGTGTTAAGGCTTCGAGAACTTTGTGTAATTGCTATTGCACAAAACATAAAGATAAACTATTTACAGTGCCCTCCCCCCGTTCTTCTTGTGCTCCTACTTAGATGTCTACTCTAGGAACGCTATGCGACAACCGCATGTGGTCGTCATTTTTATCACATGGCTCTCAGTTGCATTTCTGGTCTTGATCTCCGATTCCTCCTCATCTTCTAATTTAGCAAGGTCTTGGACGCCACTGCTGAAGTGATATCTGACCTCGATCCGGAGACCAGGACTGCGATCATGGGCACTGCTTTCACCGAGTACATGTACGAGATTCTTCGGAAATGGACGTGCTACGAGGACGAGCTGAACAGTGCACTGCCCCAGTTTGGCGATAATACCTATGAGACTTCTTGCAGAAGTGTTATAGACGACATCGAGGCGCAGGCGCAGGAAGTGATATGGCGAGCAGTCTGGCTTCTCTTGTGTACCTCAGGTCTCTTGAGTATGCGCGAGCTGCTCACGCATGAGCAACTTTGGAGCAACCTCAGTCCCAAACAATCTCTTCGCTTATTGCGAAACGTGCTATGGAATATCGCATCGGGAGACGCCAAGCTGCCAGCAGTGGCAAAAATGAGCACACAAGGATATAATAACTGCGTAGTAGCCAAAGAGATCACAAACATCATCCTCCAGAGCCATTTCTTCTCGAACAACCTAGTGTCCGAGGCCGTTTATATGTCGTTGCCGGAAAAGTACCAGGAGCACCTGCGTGAGACAGTCAGTAATCTTTTGCGGTTTATGTACGTCTGGGTGGAGCATGAGAATAGAACGGTGCCCGGCTCTGTTGTAGACTCCGCCATCGATGACCCTAGGTCGCCAGCAGCCGCGGCAGTACAACAAGTGGGTTGCTCGTCTAGTTTTAAGAATGGGGATTGTTCTCGTGGTGCTGGTCGTGATATGTTCTTGGTGTAAGTAAGTATTTCTATTTTTTATAACAACTGACTCTATAATAACGATAATATGCTATAATCAAAAGCATGTACTATGTGATCATCGGCCATTACGTGACGCTGCTCAACCTGTACATCCACTTCAAGAATAGGGTTAGTAATGAAGCACGTAATTATTATTTTATGCTTCGCCCCTTGTCTTTCGAGCACTAGAGGGAGGGCAGGCTCTAAGCAAACCACAACATCAAACGGAGAACAAACTACCACGTTTTTCACAGACAGGCTGCACCTGATGACACGCCTTATCGCCAGGCTGATTATCACGCAAGTATTAAGGCCTAGGCCTCCCCTAATCCATCTCTATGTTTAAGGCTCAGCTTTCAATGGTCATTGGGGTTGGTCACTGAGATCGAAGAAGCGACCCCTTTAGAGAACAGGGGAAAAGGAAGGGAAAGGGGAGAGCTTTGAAGGGAGTTTCTTCCGTTCAGAGTCATGATGACCATTGAAGGCTGAGCTTTAATATGTATAAAGATCCTGCAACATCATCAGCATGCACCACAATACCTCAAGGAAGATAGTGGGGCATGATATTCTTGCGGGATTCCTACACCAGGGAGGGATGAATAGGGGGAAGCTCTAAAAGTAGTTCCATCATCCTCGAATGAGGACCGGGTACCGTTTCCTTCTTATTTTTATTCCCTCTTCGCCATTCCGAAAGCTGCGACGAACGAGGCATCGACACCGAGTGGAACGCCTGCATCTACGCCTAGTAGTATTAAGGCTTGCTTCATGCGAAACTATCGTATAATTTTAGTTTTTATCATTGTCTCATGCTGCTTCTAATCCTAGACCCGGCTTCTCACCGAACCAGCGGGCAAACCGTCAGGGTAGGGAAGGAACAACCGATGCAGCAAAATCTTTTCAGCTACTTCTTGACGTGTTGAACGCTCTTCATGTGTCCCAAGAAACACTAAAGACGTGGCTGCAAGGAGAGACGCAGCGCGGTCGCGTGACACAAGATTAAGGGTCACGAACACCAACAGCAACGCGATGATTCATGATCTTCATCGATCTTTACAGATACAGCTAATTTCTCCACTTATCTGGTTCCACCTTAGCAGGTTCTCAGAATTCATATGTGGGTAGCAGATTTGAGAATGACCACTCACGACCTCAACCTCTAAGAAGGGGAAGCTCAGCACGTATTCGATTTGTACGATCAGGGATTATGGCAGATCCTGGACGCTAGGGGATTCGCGACAAAGTTTCCGCAAGAGAGCGACGCCATATGCAAAGGGTGGGTTGGTAACTATGTCCTGAGATTCTATGGCGTAGAAGAATTTTTTCGGAGAGTAGTCAAGTCAGGCTGGTGGCTCTCGGCTGAAAAACCAGCAACCTGGACGCTTTACACCATTAACGGTCTCATCTACGAGAGGAACGGCAATCCAGGACGATGTTATGCACAGCACTAAGCTTTGTCATAGTTCATATGTTGTTTCACGTAGGGCAGGTGGGACAAATTATATTCGTACTCCTTGCTTGAACAACTATTCGCTTTCGAAGTACAACTACAAGTAAATGTAGTTAATGTTGTTTAAGTAGTTGTACAACTTACTAGTAAGTATAATTTTGAACTTGTTCCTTCGTTCTTTCTAATAGATTCGACACAGTGACGCAGATGGCGATTTTAGCGACGCTGATAGTGATGACCTCTGCGGGGATGGAAGTTCACCGACCGCTAAAGAAACAAGCTTGTATTAAGGCTTGGGAGTTGACATCTCTATGCGCGTCTCTATGGCTATCTCAAGTAGGAAAGCCATAGAAATGCGAGCTAGAGATGCCAACTTTCAACCTCTAATTGTATGGAAGCCCGAGCCGTTTAGCGCGTGGGCAGCTACAGCCACTGATGCTAGTGCAACATGAATACATCAGGGAACTCCTGGATCCTGAGAAAATGGTAGGTGGAAGTTCGAGCAAAAGCGGGCAAGGGCTGCTAAAGACGCACTGGGCTTAAGGCTACTACTTCACTGAGTAACTCTGCTGCTGCTCATACGACGCACATCGACATCAGCTTGTTGGCGGCATCTTCTTCTGTACGTAACTATAGCTTCTATTTTTTGACTGGTGCTCTAGCTTATCTCCCTCTTCTAAAAGTATCAAGATCACGCGCTGCAGTTTCAAGCCCTGATATGTGGCGACCAACTAGAAGCATGGTCGAGAGTCGCTCACAGTTGCGCGTCTCCGAACACGGTCAGTGGATGTGATATCCCAGCTTGGTTTCTCACCGAGTTCCGGACGCCTCAGGAGAGATACGCGCAGGCAACCGAATACCGTAAGTTTTTGCTCGAGCGACTTCTTTTTTTCGCTGGCTTTCTACGGCGTGGGCACAGCGTTGAGCAAAGACAGATCCATCTCAGGTGGCAGTATTTTGGGCACCACAACAACGAGAATGGGAAAATCAAAGCACTCGAAAAACTCACTTTAAGAAAGGCTACCGCTCAAGAATCATCGGATGCATGGCATCCTGAACATGAATATAATCCCTGGCCCTATTTCTACTTGAAAAGCGGACCAAGGACGCACTCAGGAATGCTAGCGCGGTAGCTCTAATCACTGCTTGCATCACTCGGGAGGAGTATCTGAACTTGCCGGCTTCAATAGACGCCAATGGAAATCCAGAACCAGGCTCAGCGAAAATTCTACCGCAACTTTTTCCAGGAGGACAAACATCTTCAACAGCCAGTGCTGAATCTTCGAACTTCATTATCCTAGGTGTGGAACAACGAGGAAAGAAAAAGATTGGCTTAGCGGAAATTTTAGACCCAGATGAAGACGAGAGCGGGAGTGGAGCGTATTCGCAGCCGGAGAGGGTTTGGCAAGTCGCTTTTCACTTGGCTTACACGTTTCCTGGTGATGCAGTAAAAACCTTGCTCGAGTACTGGGACTACCATCCAAAGCTATTGAAAGCCGCAGCCTCAGTGGTCATAGCAGATGCTGGTGCTCGCACCGAGCAGAGGACTTCGAGCGCCGGCGCAGGTGTTAATACTACTGTTAGTGAACAAGCCTTAGAGTCCGTCTCCGTTTGGAAGGAGTTTCAGATGTGGTGTGAGTTTTTTGGCCTGCTCGTTGAGAAGGAGAACAAAGACAATTACAGGAGGTCCACTGATCCACATGGCACTAGCAGAATCACAATGCTTGGCGCTCTTGTTTCTCTTCTAGACGCTTACATTAGACACAGCCTTCGCGAGAGCAGCAGGCAAGATGACTTCAATGTTGCCAGACAAATTTTGGTGCAGAAGTTGAACCGTCAAGAGTTAGCACAAGGGGCATCGCAACAAGTGGTCGCACAATGCTGGGACCAGGAGTGTCAACGACAAGGCCGCGAGGCGATGGAAGCGGAGCTCCGTAGCCAAAGAAATCAGATGGAGCAGCAAAGATTAAAAGTAAGGCTTGTTACAGTAATTTTTCATCCTAAGAAGCACCTGCCTCCTTTGGCCCCTTTTTTATGGGGAAACTACACGTCCAAGATGCTTATTTCATGTGTGTGCCCCTGGTAGTGCTGCTCATAGCACCCGTAGAGAATGAGCCTGGGTGTGATCATGATCGAGATCAAGACACAGACAGCAAGAGGCCAAACCAGATCGGTTAGAAAGATGCTCATGGTTCTGCTACCTTTCAAGATAAATATAAGTAGGAAGGCCAGTCTAATACCACTGTTGTGGCAAAAAATCGAGGAGCCAGTAACGCGCATCTGGACTCACCTGGTGGAAACATACCACCGCGACCACTATGGGTGGTACATGACGGTGGACGAGCATGTTTACATTTTAGACGCGATGAACAGACTTCTATTGGCACTACCGCACGTTTTGACTCAGCATTTTCTCCAAATGCCAGACGTGGCGAAAATCTTCGAGCAAGAAGACGGAAGCAATAACGAGGGCGACTTTATGGCGTTTGGAAGATAGTTTGTGAGTTATTTCACAGAGCCGCAAGGAAGAAAACTGGAAGTAAGAAAACCTGACCAGACACGTTCCTATTTATTTGTAAGTACTTTATGGAGGAGCGAAAGAACTGCAAAAGGGCCGGGCGATGATAAAGGTCAAAGCGTGGGAGAAGGTCGCGCCCGCGGCAGTTGAGTTCGTCGCGCGCGAAGTGTGACATCGGCCCGCACTACTGGCGCGACTGCGTGGATAGCATCCACGACGGTGCGGACCACGGCGACGGTGATTACACTGGTGCGCTCGACGACAGCACAACCACAAGAGACAACCTCGACCGGGTTCCCATCGTAGGCATAACAATCGCGCGACGAGGGCGACTGGTTTGCGGGCGTAGTTTGGACGGACGGGGCTAGAAGTATGCCGGGCCACGTAAGCACAAACCAAAACGCCCCCGAGTAAGTAAGTCCCCGAAGCTACAGTGATTAGCCAACTGCTTACACAAATGCCAGCGAGTGTCGCCCACAGAAGCGCACGAAGCTCAAACACGTGGCGGCTCGGTGTTGTGAGAAGAGCGCGCAACTTTGGCCACGGTCTTGCCTGGGTGGGTAGGGTTGCGCTGTGGCTGCACATCGACGGCGTGCGCCTTCGAATGCTCTGCGTAACTGTGCCCAGAACGGGCACGCGCTGCGTTTTGTCGGTGTTCGTTGGTCATCAGTCTCCCAGCAATCTCCAACAAGATAGACCGGCGGGCAGGCGCGGGCGCTGTGGTTACTGATGAGCCGCAAGCCCCACCAGTGGCGTCGAGTGTAGTAGAAGAGAACGCGGACGAGAACACGGCGCACGGCCTTACACGTCGCGACGCCAGTCATGAGGCTGGCAAAGGCAACGGCCTCGCGGACTGCGATGCCAATGAAGTACGAGGAGGCTGGCAAACGAAACGAGTCGCACGGGCCTACAGCTCGCGGCGACGTCAATCACGTCCAGGATGCTGGCAAAGAAAGCGACGAGAATGGGGGCGGCATCGTCGTGCCCCTGCGGTTAGTCTGGTCTATGTCATGCGTAGCCCCCTGAAGATGTTGCCGCATTTGTATCCACTGGCCCCCGCGCTCTAGCCTTGAAGGCTATCACTCCCTCCCACCCACCCACAGGGATCGCCGCTGAGTCGTGACGGGTTGGGCTTGGCGTTGGCGACGTCGTGGAATTCAACGAACAGCGCACAGGTGAGCCATGAGGAGAGGAAGGGAGACGCGACAGAAGTCCCCGAAAAGAAAGTGAGCCAATTTGCGCGGGCTGCTTGGCATGTCGGAGACGAAGCATGGCCTGAGGGGCATGGCTGACGGACTGGCTGGCGGGGCATGTCTGCAGGGTTGTCGCCCATGGAAAATTGGCCGGCAACGTGCAAGGAGCAGCAAGCTGTGGCTAATTCTAATCAAGGGGGTGGACGCTTACACCGGTGAGACGTGAGGCCTTTAGCTGTGCCGCTCACGGAGATGCGGCGGACCCAATACACGCCGAAAAAGGCGAAAAGCCTCGCGCAGGCGCTGGATTGGGCAGAGGTGGGCGGAAAAATACGCAGCCAGACCAGTGGGGACGACTCGGGGGCTGTGATGGTGAAGCCCAAGAAGTGAAGGACAGTCGACCACGACGCGCTGGAAAAGACCAAGAAGGACGGCCCGGGCCCACCAGAATTCAAGGGCGTTCATGTACAAGGAGGCAAAGGCCTAAGCTGGAGGCAGTTGCTCCAGCAGGCGGAAACGACGGCGGGACGCAGTTGCTCCACTTCAACCCGCGGAGCTTAGTGGCGACAGTTGAAACACGTAGCAACAGCAAGCTACTACTTTCAGAGGGGGGCCGCCTAAGGCTGTGGAAAGTTGTGAGTGCGGGGCAATCACATGAAAGACCAAGCACGTGAAACCGTGGCCACAGCTGGCCCATTTTGCTGCGGTGGGGCTGTTGGTCTTCTTCTTCTTCTTCTTCTTCGTTCAGGCTTGTCCAAAGAAAGCGTTGAACATTAAGCACGTCGCCGACGCCCCCGATCTTGTTCTCCGCAGCCCAGCTTTTGAGTTGGGGACTCGTCTTGTCGCCACGCACCTTATTAACGAACTAGAGTAGCCAGCTAGTCTTAGTTTAACTACCTAGCTTTTTGTTCTTAAGCGGAATTTTATCCAGACGCTAAACCTTAAGTAATCCTTTAGCCCCGCCATATACTTGCGAACTTCTTCAGGCACTATCTTTAGCTATACTCAATTACACCATAGAAATCATTATCTCCGTGTCGGAGTCGGGCTAATACTGAACAAGCTGAAGACTAAGTAACAGGCCACGACTAGCCGCCATAAACTTCAACAGCATGCTCTCCGACTCCGTGGTCTTTGATTATCCCCAAGCCCAAACTCAACATTTTCTAATCCTACATGGCAGGAGCAACAGCAAGAAGATGGCACGTTCTCTCTGGCGTACCACGCAAACCGCATATTCAATGACGAATATGACGACCAGAACCAGGAGAAGTGGAGATATCGTCGCCAGTGGTTTCTTCTCCAATTACTCCGACAAGGTCCGCATCAGTTCTTGATTGTGGATTTATGGCGCTGGTTTTACATCTTCTTGCCATCTATTGTATGTTTGTGACTGTGACTCAAAAAATATGCGTAAGCCTAAGCGTAGCTGTAGGATGAACTTGAGCGTTGATCTACCTCTCACTTGTATCTTGTTCTCTAATCACCGGCGCCCGCGGATCCCGACGTGATCGTAGCGAGTGGATTGACCGTGCGAAGGCAGTGATGGATCTGCAGAGGGGTTGGAGGAACGACGATGAGGAATATCGAAAAACTTTGGAGGCTTGTGTGCGTGATTTTCAGAAAGCGCTGACGCTACGCCCAGCATCCGATAACGACGACCAGAAGATCAAGGATATTATAGAAGAAACTCTTAGACGCATGCCTATCATGCCAAAATGAAGATGAGGCTCTTTTTTGTTTGTTATAATATTCTTCATCTAGAAGTACTTGTTCTTTATTTTCGTTTTCTTGATGGTCATGGTACTGGTAGAGAAGTACGCCAATTGTACTGAGCAAGAGGCAGCGCCTCAACACAGCGAACACCAACTGCTAAAAATAATACAGTGTACTTATGTATGATATCTGCTCCTCAACCTTCATCTTGTTCCTGACGCCGATCATGATACAACAAGCTCCGAAGTTGCACTGGTTCAACTTGGATTTGAAATCTGCTAATTAAGTCAGTCGAGAATCCCCCGTCGCCCTACCCTAGGCAAAGCTTGGGTCGCCCACTCAAGCACTAAAAGAATGTACCACGGAGGACGTTGTAGTTGCCCTATCATCATGTCTTATATCTTGCTATTGCTTTTTCGCGACGCCCATTCCTTTGTTGTATGAAAAGCAGGAGAGATCCTTCAGCATGGTGGTGGTCGGAAGGAGGGGCTCCGACAAGTGGAAGGAGTAGGAGAACTGGGAAAAAATATCTCAAGAGATGCAAGTAGAGGGCTCCACCTCGGCCTTGATGGAGATTCATGGAAAGATCCTGATCAGGTCTTATACTCAAGGTCGAAGGTGTATGGCTGTGCAAGTGAAGATCCAGGACGACGAGAAGCGGTATTCGAGAATTGTTGATGGGTAGAAGACGAAGGATCCGTCACGTCGTTGTGTGTCCCATGATATCACTGTATTCGAGTAGGAGCTTATCGTTATCCCTGGCGCAGTCGACAATATCATCATCATCATCATCATCAACACCTTCGGAAAAAAATAAATAGCGAGGGCACGAGTGAGTTGTGAGCGAGTATCTCCAGTACGAACCTAGTGGTTCGACATTCTAGCGCTCCAAGATCACAACTTTGTTCTTCATCTACTTAAGTTACCAATACCACTACGCGCACCAGAACTCTCTTCTTCTTTCATTGACAACACCATTGGCATTGTCAACATTGACAACACCATTGTCAACATCATCTCCTTCCTAATGAAGTGAAGATTCTCTAATTTCTAGTGTCATCTACTTACATAAACATAAGATCATCAAAATGCAGCAACGTGTGGGTATCGTTGGCGCCACTGGCGCAGTAGGCCTGGAAATGCTTGAGGTTTTGAGGGAGCGAAACACCCTCGAGACCTTTGGACCTACTCATCTGCGACTCTACGCTTCGAAACGATCCGCTGGAAAGGAGATTTCATGTCCGACAACTTTGAAAGCTTCTCCTGGTGGGTCTGTCACGTTTACTGTGATTTATGGAAAAGCGTTGTTCAACTGTTGTAGTTGCCGCTTCTACAACTACTTCTGCGTTACACTATAGCACTTGGAAGATGACTATGCTGTGACCGTGACGGACGAGAACTTTGGACTCTAGCAAAGGGTCACAGGGTTTTTTCAGCTGCTAAAAAATTTTGAAATCTAACGTGTCGAATTCTCTGTCCCAGACGTTGTCGAGAATTGCGATATCCTCTTGCTCGCCAGCTCTAGCGAATTCGCAAAGGAATTTGTACCGCAAATCCACGAAAAGAGGGGAGACATGATCATCATCGACAACAGCTCTGCTTTCCGATATGATGAGGCTGTTCCTCTAGTGGTGCCGGAGGTGAATGGCCCCGACGCTTTTCGTGCAAACTTGATCGCCAATCCGAACTGTACCACGGCGATCATGTCGCTGGTGGTCTTCCCTTTACACAAGAAGTTTAAGGCTTGAGGTTGACGAAGCGCGAGCGTGAGGAAATCTTAGATCTTCGTCGCATGATCAGGATGACAGGGTGTGATCAGGACGATACTAGAGGTTTTCTTCAAGGCGAAAGGTGTGTCGTGGTCTTTTCTAAGAGCAATAAAGTGAAACGTTTCTTAAGCTCGACGTATCAAGCCGCATCAGGAGCGGGGAAAGCGGGCATGGAGGAATTGGAAGCGCAAATGACAGCTTTCAACGCGACCGGATCGGATGCGGAGAAAGACTCTTATGAGTTGGAATTCAATGACGTTGTGGGAAACGGAAAGGTACTGTGAGCAGTACAGACCACATAGTCTACTCAGGAGTCTTCCTAGCCTTGTTTGTGTTTCAGAGCTACTAGTCTCATTTCAACGATTTCAGAAACCGAAACGTCCTCTCCTTCGGATGAGAAATAAGTTGTCTGTCTCTTCTAAGGCACAAGCGGTGCTACCCCGACAGGCGTGAAACCACCTGAAGTTTTCGCTTACCCGCTGATTGCCAATCTTATTCCGCAGATCGACGCGTTTCAGGCAAATGGGTACACGAAGGAAGAGATGAAGGTTTCTTGGGAGACAAAGAAAATTTTCGCCAGTGCAGCAGCCGTGGGTTTGGAGGGAACGCAAGATCAAGACGTAGTAATGGAAGATGAAGAGCTGAAGATCTCGTGTACAGCAGTACGCATTCCGACCCTCCGGTCTCACGCAATGTCAGTCACGTTGGGACTAGCAGAAAGCTTCAAGGACGCGGATGAGATTCTATGAAATGGATTGCTTTTTCTTTTTGTATTTCTCGTGTTTGGTATATTTTGTGTGATTGACCAGTGGAGGTCATGGTCACCCTATGCCATAGCGCAACATAGATAAGTCATGGCGTGGCCAGCGGCTCTCGTGACAATAGACGAAAAATGGCATAGACCATGAAGTGAGTCTGAGTTAGTGACAGTAAGAGTAATATACTTTCTTCCTCTAAAACTCAGAGCGCATTTGCAGAACTGTTCGAAGGAGTTTATGTTTCAGGTTGTAGACAACCCAGCAGAAAAACGATATCCAATGCCCCTTACAAGCGCCAACAAGTGGGAAGTTGAGGTACCTACTGGGCACAACCTGACCTTGAGTCATCCACTCCTTTCGATTCCCTTAGGATCAAACCCAGGTTACCAAATACCAGAACCATACTTACATCCTTTCGAGCAAGAAACAAAAGCATTTTCCATAGTAGATGACGAGGACATTCTGCTCCGCTATCGCTATGATTTCCTACATGAATTTTTCAGGTTGGTCGCATCCGTAGAAACCCAGTTTTCGACAACGGCCTGGACATGTTCGTTTGTGGAGATCAGTTACTACGTGGCGCAGCGCTCAATGCTGTACTCATAGCAGAGCTGAGGATGCAGAATAAAGCCTGATTTCGACGTCTTGAAAAGTTCCATCTAGATCTAGTGAGGCGTACGACCGCGGTGATAGTTGGTTGTCGTGAGGAGCGCAAGAACAAGCAGTTGAGGGTGGAAGATTTCGACTTGGTGCTAATGGGCACTGGAAAATAGGCTGCGTGCACGAGCATGGTCGCAGGGTATGGGTGGGCCAGTTGGCAGCTTACAATATACACTAGCTCGAAGAGCAGGGACGGAAATGAAATCCCAAAGGAGAAAAATCTGAGCGGCACCTCAAAGGAGAATGAAATTGTCATTGATGGACAACAGGATAGACCTTCAGGACGTAAGAAAAGCTGATTGTTACCTGTGTTTCTCGGTTTCGCAACAAAAACTTCAGGACGCGTTTCGGGACTTGAATTCTGGCGCGAACTCATGCAATGGCTCACTCGTGTTCAAAAATCTAAATCACTTCCACCTAACATTATGTCCTAGTCTACATTTTAACACGGCCAGCTTTCGCGAAAATTGTATGACTTTGAAATCCACACGAGACACTGTATGCGTGACGGGCCATTTTTATGCCTTTTTTTCGCTGTCTCGTATCTTCAACACTCTCATTCTCTCTTCCCCTCATCTGCTCCCACACACATACCAGAACCAGAGCACGCCTAGCGGCGCCACACGCCTGCCCCTCACTATCCTTCAACAACCACTTTTCCTTCAACATCCTCCTGGTGGCAGAATGAACAGCCTTTTTCCAGTGCCTTCGCTTGTTCTGACAAACCAGCAACTTTTCGCTTGTTCAACATGCGTTTCTTGCAAAATCAGGGATGAAGAATGATTTGCTTCAGTTCTTTGGGGATAAATGTTCGTGCTCGCAAAGCAACATACAACATGATGGCCGTGTCATTCATCTTGTCGTGTATAATGATATTAATGCAACGCTTTTATCCATGTCCGTCATGCTTCTATCTTGTGCATGTGGTCCTTGTGTTTCTCACATGATCATCCTATGTGTGCTTTTGGTCCTTGATGTGCTTTCCCACGAGTGCCCTTTATTCTCGTGATATCACGGGATTGCATCTGCTTTCGCGTGTTTATCATCCTTTAATCACAGACAAACTATAATGAAGTCCCATTCCAAGATACGTCTATTAAGTATCCCGTTCCCGAGTTCGGTATTGGTGCGCGGTTTTCTGACCAGCATTCTAAAAATTACAGAGCGAAAAAATACTGGTACAGATACGTCGCATGTGGAAGAGAACGAAACACCAAAATAAACGGAACCACAATTAATCTGAATCTGAATCCTATGTATAGCATAAACGAGCCCTGTTTGATATTCACTTTCACTTTTTTTTACCTTCTAGCTGACAGTCATTGTCCCTCTGATCCTTGCAACCTAAGCAACGCAAGATTAGTTGTAATAAATATCCCATGATGCAAATGTAAATGTAGTAGAGGTGGCATACCTTTACCTACCGTCGTGATCTTCAATCATTGTGCCGTTATGTCATTCGTGCTTGCTCTTCATATCCTTGTCGATGCGGAAAAAAATAAGCGAAACTCAAACATCTTCAATCAAGCAAATCGAGTATTAAAGCTCACTGTACTCAACTCTTCAAATGCCGCAAAAAAACAGAAACACTAAGACGTTTCGAAGCCTCGGCATTATGCATTATTTTGCATTCGTCTCTTGCTGCTCCCGCTGCATCGCGAGTAAGCTAGCTCGAGCTCCCTGCTCCGCATAAAAAAGCTCACTTGTTATTCAGTTTCACATCATTTCCACTTGTAGTACTGATGGATCATTGCCACCTGTACTGTACTAGAAAATCTTCCAAAAATACAAAAGAACAATAATAATTTCATGACCTAGAATTACTCAGCGGCTCCTGAGCGGGCTCACTCTGTTTTTCCCCCTTGTCTTCCACTACACCAAGACCTGAAACGGCAAGGTGGCTCGTCATATTAGCAGATGAGTAGCAGTTCATCGATCTCCACTACTCTAATTAAGTGTCTCCACCTGTCCTGTAGTTCACTACTTAGGTACTTCGACCTAGTAGACTACTGTAAAAAGCGGCTTCTTCCCTGGAGCAAGGGCGGCGCAGACGATGCCCGCCTCTTATTTCCAAAGCTACCGATAGTAGTACTCTGCCCTTGCCAAAGACCTGAGTCTTCGCCACCACTACCAGGCGATGTCGCGTCGACCTCGATGAAGGTGTTTTTTACTTGGAAATGCTGTCCTGGACCGAGCCGTCCCTCTGACGGATGCTCATGCTGTGGTGGATAGGCTTGCCGTCCCTCTGACGGATGCTCGTGCTGTGGTGGATAGGCTTGTGGACGATACGACTGGTGTGGTTTAGAGGTAGGTTTTTGGTGCTCGCTTACCCCGCTTGTTATGCCTTTCTCCCGTAGGAGAGGCATAAAAAGCGGTAAGAAAAGCACCTTTAGCCTACCCTTAAGTGGTGTTGTCGATGGTGCAGAGTTTCCGCGAGTACGACGCGATGAGCCTTCTAAATCCTCTTCATCATCGTGGTCCCCTAGTACCTCTGCTCCCGGTTGATGTTGTCTTCTCAGTTTTAGACTCCATCATCAAGTTCAAGCTTCGCCTTCGGCACCTAAAAATACTTTAATAATAATATGACGAGGACCTTCTATTTGATGTATTTCCTACAACAAGAACAAACTGACAGGAACTACATGATCAATATTAAAACTACTAAAAATAGTGCATAGTTGGTGTTGGCATTGGAGATGACTTAATGAATGTAGGTGTAAGTATTTCTATTCTCCTCCACTGCCATAACAATGCACTGGTGTCTACAACACGTCTGCCCGCAATCGGTAGCTGCCGCACTTCGTCTCCTGTATTGTGTTTTACCCAAAGGAGAACCTGAACCTCTAGAAAGAAAATTTGTCGCGAAGGGTGGGACTGCTGGTTCGTCACGGTAGGATCATGGGACAACGACAATCATAATAGGATACTAGAAGATGTTAGGCGAGCACTCCTCCTGGTCTACTGAGTGGCCGTCTTTCTTAGAACATATCTAGCTATGATGTTCATCTATTTAGTGCATTATTACTTACTTTCACGACAGTAGTATATTTTTTAGTCTAGACTATTACATTCACAACCACAAGGAAGGAAATAGCTCTAAAAGCAGAAGGTCGTACGTACTTCCTTTTATGTAGTACCTCCTGCTGTCGGAAGATCAAACTGACTTCCCGAAGCGTGATGATCCTCCCGACCTTCTGGAAGCACACCTAGCGGATGTGAAGGAGAAGGAGAGTTAACAACTCGTGGAGCTGTTGCTGTTCCATCTTAGAGGTCGAAGTTCATTGGTCACTGGTGCTGATGAAGCAACAAGGCCCCTTGTTACAGAGCTTCCGCCCTTTCCCTTAGTTTTCCCCTGTTCTCTCAGGGGTTCTCCTGCTCTTACGTATGATGTCAACAGCGACTCCAATCTACTAAATGCTGACCAATGAAAGTTGAGCCTTAACCATCAGCCACGACGTATGTTCCATCAGGCTCCTGCTGCGTCTGATTGTAGAACTGAAGATCATGTTCTCCAGCTCCAAAACCAAAAAAGCCTTCTTGTTGTACATGTTGAGCCATTAGTGACGAAGTCAACATCTGTTGAAAGAATACTTGTTGAACAGGCGAACTCGGGTGGACTTGTTGAACATCGTTATACAGAGGTTCTGGCTCTCCTGCTGGTGCTGCCACTTGATAAAAATAATCCAACTCTCTGCCTGAATGAAAGAAGTCATGCACGAACTGCGGCCGACTACCGTATATTAACGGCTGTGATATGGAGGCCACCCACCCAAAGAATTCATCAACTGGAAACGAGCTGCAATTAGAGGTAGGGTTTTGCTTTGGTGCAGTTTCTTTTGTTCCCGTTATGAGAAGTTGCGCTTCATTTCTCCCATAGTAGACCCGTATTAACTACAAACGGTTGCGGTTCTCCCCTAGAAGGACCATATTAACAAACGCGAACAGCAACACCGAACAAACACCAAAAGCAGAAACGTACGCTTAATGTACTCTGGCTGTCCTCCTTGTGCGAATGCGCCACGCCTCCTCTTTATTTTTTCTTGCTCCTGCTTATCTCGGTACTCCTCCAGCCGTTTCATGAGAATACGTGCATCCTCGAAGAGAGAGCGCAAATAGGTATGATGCGGTTGCTGCAGTGTATAGTCCTGCTGTTTGAGATTAGAGCCTATGCATGCAGCTTCATACTTGGATTTTTCTAGACGGGAAGATCATGATCCACAATCTTCATCTTACTTCTGTCATTAAATGATCAAAATTCACATAGATTGTTAAGTTGTCGTGATAATTATGTCTCTATCTGCTTTCTTGATGAAGCACAGAGAAGCGAGAGAATAATCAAATACTGTGCTTTGCTGAAGATGATCAACATAATGATCCAGTCTACTTAATGATTACTTTTTTGTTGCCGTTCGCTGCATTCCTGCGGATTTTGGCGCGCGTTCGTTTTCCTCCGTACTCAAATACGGTGCTGGGACCTGTGCTCGCAACCTCTGATGCCGTGTCCAAACAAGCGCTACCGTGCGTTCTTAGATGAAATTGAAAACTTTTGTGTCAAGCCCTGCGCTCCTTACCTACGGATGGCAAATAAAAAAAAGCCCAGACCCAGAATGAAAAGCCCAGAGCCAGACGAGATCGAGATTGTTCATCATCTATCAACAATCGAATAGATTTTTTTAGATTGAAGATAGGGACTATGAATGTACAGAGAAGTCGAGACCTCGGATCCGACTACTTACTTTTCAACATCATAAAGCGGTATCGTGCATTTTTTGTTTCGGAGCGTTCGCGGTGAAAGGAACGATCTCCACAATTCGCCCATTATACGCCTGATTATGCTCTCCAAAAATTCGAGCCTGATACAGTCCTCGTCAGTGAGTACTTACCCATGCTAGTACGCGTACGGGTCGGGACGGGGGATTCCCTTCAAAAATATCAACTTGTGCCTATATGTCATTCACGATAAATCATCAAGACAAATTAACAACTAAGTACACAAACACAAAGACAGAAGAACAGCAAAAATTATACTAGGAAGTAAATAGAGATATTTTTATTTTATTTCGGATAAAAATTTTCACATCGGATGCTAGGCAGCCTTAAGAATAGAGCCGCCTCATCCTCATCGTAGAGAGTGATGTACATGAAAGCTCGTTTCTTGTTGTCACCATTTCCACCACCTTGCCCTCGTTGCAGTTGGGACATGACAACTCCCTTCATCCGACTTTTTAGATCTCACAAAAATTCATCTTCCACGTTGTCCATAGTAGAAATTTGTGAGCCTTTTTGTTTCCTTCTTCATGTAGGCAACCTAGAACAAGGAAACATCAGAAAGGGAAGCACGCGTCCTCACTGTGAATCTCAGAATCTTCCTAGATAATAGAGGAAACATCAAAGGAAAGTAGCGCTCTCACGTCCCTCCCTGTGTGTCTTTGTGAAGTATAAGATGAGTTATATTATGGGCTGCCTTAAATTTTCCTCCTCCCGAATCCTGCGGAGCGCCAAGTTTTTGCTGTGCTGCTCATGGTCTGCTACTTTGCTCGCGCCGGTCGTATCACTTTCTCCATCTTCCTTGACTTCGCCAAGGAGAGCCATCGGACCTGAAAACCGCGACGCAGGACTGAGAAAAATTAGAGCTGGTCTTTGTGATGTATTTCGAATTCGATGCTTTCCCTTCTCTTCAGCGTCAACGACCACGACACCTTCTCATGATCATCTACAACGTATATACTCGTCATATATATAAATATATATACTAAAAAATAAATATACTTTTGTAATATTGTCCAATGTATGGCTCCGGTATTTGGTAACCTGAGTTTGATCCTAAGGGTTCTCTTCTTGTTTTCCCTTATGATCAAATTCAGGCTATACCAAAAATACCGGAACCATTCATCCAAACATAAGAAAGGGGCAATTTCCAATCTAGCAGAAGGTTGCACTCCCAATGACGAACCGCCCCATTGAGACGAAAGCGCAGATGCTGCCAGCACAGAGTATTGCGGCACACTTGTGGCCCGAAGAACAATGTGGTCCTCGTCTCCAATTTAGAAATTCAAATTTCACCTTATGTAGAAATCCGTCTTCTTCGTCGTGACTATCTTGGTGCCTCTTTCTAATCGTTTTTTAATTTCATTTTTTGCCTCTTGTTCGGCAAGGATAAGATAGGAATAGGAATAACGTCGAGATATTGAATGGTTTTTTCACCTCTTTGTTTCATGATCAAAAAAAAAAAGGAATAACGAGGTATTTATTGATACGATAAATATTATTCATTCTTGGGCAAATGCAGATTCAAGATGGAAATGGATTTTGGCTCATCTTCAATCCTTAACTAGGGGCTTCAACATCCTGCGTTGCAAATCTCAGAAGGTGTTCGTAAGCCGGCGTCGTCCCTTTGTCTTTCCAATGTCGAGATCTCCATGCTCGTCTTGCGTCGGGAGTGTATGCGCCTTTTTTATCATTGAGGTTAGAAAAAGAAAGAATCCCTGTTGTAATCAGAATTTTTGAGAGCATTTGAGTGGCCTTAACAAAGTAAACGAGAAACTCGAGATCCAAGACGAAGTTGGCGGCGTACTCAGCCAAAAACCTTTTCCAGTCATCCTCTACCCTTGTGAGCATCGCGTTCCATTCGTGTGCCACTCCTACCTCCACTGATGAGTTTTCTGTGGCCGCTGTAGTTGGGCTTTGCTGATGAACTGACTCTGTTCGTGCTTTTTGTGACGTTGCTTCTCCTTCTTCTTCTGCAATGGTGATCCCCAGGGATGACAAAATTAGCGTTGATTGTACCATAAATGTGGGATTCTAAAACAAGAAAGAAAAGACTCAAGGTCAGGGTCGGAAATGCCAGGTCTGACTTTCACTTTCCGATAAACTGAAATACGCGAGTAACTACTTAAAATAAGCGAGATACTGAACTACAAGGAAGAGTAGGCCTGTCAAAGCTGGCTCCCTTATTTCAGTCAGTAACTCGGCTATTTTCAGTTTTCGAGGTACTATTGTTCACAAACTCACTCTCATTGCATCAACTACATTGCACAATTCAGATTGCACTAGCCTTAACAGAAGCCTGCTCACAAACGATGCCTTCTGGTGTTCCCCTCCGCCCTCTTCTCCACCATTTTGTTGCTGCATGTGAGTGACTGTTGCTCTGCCTTCTTCCTCCTCTTGAACGGACGCGACAGTCAGACTCACACTCTGCTGACCACTATAGTCCGATGCATCCTTCTTGTTAGAAGTTGTAGTAGTATAGTAGTAGAGGAAAAATTCAATAACCCTACATCTAGCGTTCCACCTTACCGACGTCATCATCAGAAAGTGACTGATGACGATGAGGTACAAGAACTGTTAGTGTAAGTACTTACAAGTAGAACGAGAAACGAGAAGAAGTAAAACGAACGCGATTTACATCACGGAAATGACGAGTAGGAGGGCCACTGTCTCCGTGATAGTACCATGATCATGAACGCATCCAGTAGTACTGCTCTTTGTTACGACTTTACCATTTTTACAATGCTAATGTTGACCTTGATCTCCCATAACGCTAACTGTGTCATCATATCCCAGCAAAACGTGTCCTCGTCGGCGCGCCGCCTTTAAACGAGCTGGCACATCTACCGAGTCCCCGTCTCCTCCATCAGGAATCTTAGCCTTGGAGACTTCATGCGCATGCTTTCCCACACGATAGAAAACCCGTTTTGATTAGAACTATTTGAAGTACTGAATGGCTCCGGTGTTTGGGAACATGAATTTGATCCCAAGGGTTCTCGTCTTCCTATCCCTTCCCCTTGTGATCAAAAATCAGGTTACCCAATTCCAGAACCATTCAAGTGCAAGAACTTCAATGAATTGCAACTAGTACTTATACTAGAGCTCATCGCCTTTCTCGAGCAATTTGAATCGAAGTAGGAGATGAGCTCTAGTACAAGTAGTTGCATGGAACGAAGCTCAGCCAAAAGGATCCCTTGGGGGCCTTGCCTAAGCCTCCGACTTTTCTGCCTAAATTTTAAATTTAGACAGAAAAGGGCAAACTCGAAAAAATCCTAAGCAAACTCGAAGGTTTAGGCAGACCGGCGCGAAGGGATACTTTTGGTACAATCTTCGTTCAATACAACTACTAGACTTAAATACCTATACTAGAGCTCGTCACGCAGTCGTTTGCATTATGTTCGGGTTTCTATAATTACTTAACTTACTAACTAACGCGTACACCTACAATCTATCTCTTTCCATCATTCTCCTCATAGATACTAGAGCTCATCTCCTTCTCGACCACGTGGTGATAATCATTCATTGTCTTCTGAAATATAAGTAGAAATAGATTCCTTTGCGGCCGTAATGAATGAACCGAACGATTTTCGTTTCGTAGCTGTCTCCGCGGGTGGCTCTTGCTCTTCTGTATCCCATTTGCAGGTTTTTGTTAGCTTGCGAAGCGATCCCCGCAGATTGACACTTGCGTTCGTCGCGCTCCCCGTGCAACCCTTGTCGTTGATTATCTTAGGGTTATCGCCGTTGCATCCCCTATCACATCGTCCTCTGGTTCTCTTCCTAGTTGAAATGGAAGCCGAGGATGATGTTGAGGATGCTCCCTGCGTTCTTGCCTTAATTATCCAACACTTTGAGTGCAAGCCAATACCAAATACCCTCGTAGCGTTCCACCATCAAATCGAGCACTCGTGACCCATTTTCATCCCCAAATAGCCTGACTAAAACGTCAGGACCTTGTAAATGTTTCAGCAGCGCGATTAACCACGCAAGATCCTGGTCGTCCTCCACTGAAGACTGCTCGTCCACAGCTGCTATTAGAAAAGAGACTGTGGACGAGCAGTCTTTAGCGGAGGACACAAAAGGAATAAGACACTGAGGACATTGATCATTTTGCATCCAAATGGAATTGGGAATCACAGACGTCAAGGAACTACGGTTGAGTGGGGAAACCCTAGCTTGCTAAGCTTCATCAAGAACAAGCCCAAATTTGAACAACAACACAATTTCTGTGTGTTGCATGATTATGTTCTACTTGGTCGGATAATTAATTCTCATTCAACCAATCAGATTGAGAGAGTCAAATTCTAATTACAAGCATGATGAAAAAGCCTTAGCATCATTGTTCCAGTTGGTGAGATCAGTCCTCCTTGAAGTTCGTGACTCCAAGATGTGAAGGCTCCTGGTGTGAATGACTGTGAAGGCTCGTGGCCGCTTTGGCCCCAAACCCAATTGCTAGTCGCCGATTCTGTTGCTCCAGCACTTTCTACTCTTTCAACCACAATATCATGTCGCGGCTTCCACCTTGGTGTACTAGGAGCAACTTGATCAACAAGAGGAGCACTACTCAACAAGCTAGTTGCTTGGGAATTCATACTCATGCGATCTTCTCGAGCCGGCTGCTGAAGGAGGCCGCCTGATCCAGGGAAGCTCGTAGTCGTCATAGTCTCACTATCAACGCGGGAGATAACATCACCAGCGGGTGAGAAGGGTGCCGGTGCACCACCAGTCATCGTCATACTATTTGCGAATACAGGTGTACAATCTTTATCGAGAAGTGCCGCATCTGCCCCAGCGCTTTGATTGCTACCATCAAAACAACTAGTGAAGTTGTTTATGGGAGGATCCTCAAAACTCTGACTGCCAAGTGGAGATGCGAAAGTCGATGGTGAGTGCTGGTTGTAGAAAGCCCCAGGCCAGTGGTCAACACCCGGCTGGTACGGTGGCGGAGGTGCAGATTGGACAGTAGCATTACCATACGCATCCGTGCTGTAGCAGTGTACACCAGGCACCCGCGTTATTTGTTGTTGTATCGCATCCGCTGAGCAAGAAATTGGACTCAAAGCGACCTCTCTAACCTGCGGACCTTGATAGAGACTGTCTTCTTGATCTCCCTCACTCCAGGATCCCTTGGCAGCAGAGGAAGCCGCTTGTTCTTTCATACAACCCATGCCCAACATATCAACATCTCCAGAGCAGTTGTAGGCAAATTCTCCTTGTTTAGCTGTAGATGTAGAAACACCTCCTCCATTATTTGAAGAAAAAGAAATGCCTCCCTGCTCGATCCACTTTGTGTTGATTTTGCCCGTGATTCTGAAAAGCCCCAGCGTTTGCTCTAGTACTCTGGCGTTGTTAGAGTCAGCTTTTATCCGTCTCGGCCCCATCATCTCGACCCCTTTCCCATAGAATACTCAAGGGAAAAGCGCACCACGATGCCGTCGAGCAAGATGTATCTATATGTAAAAGGTGTATAAATAAAAAAGCTAAAGACCACCATAACGTTGTATTGAATATGCTGGTTCAGTGTCTCCGTTTTATCCTCCAAATACTGCTGAATCGCCACCGCACCTTCCAAGCTGGTGACCTCCCGCAGGAAATTCTCAGCAATCTGCTCTTCGGATAGGAGTATGAAAAGGGAATCCCTTGTTTAAGGGATATCGCTATCCCGGCAAGTCGTGGCTCTCGTGCGCTAGAAGATTCGTATAAGTAAATAACTGCAAGTGCGATCTGCTAACAACTCGTCTTCCTGTTCATCTAGTTGTAGAAGTAGTATCTTCAGGTGTACCTTCAGGGGTATCGCTATAGGTATCATGATAGACGGGTATCTACAATTTCTAGGTGTATTATTTTTTGTCAATTGTCATGTGGATACAGAACAAGTTCAAGTTTTTTACCGAGAAAAAGCATTTCCCATTTTTTAGTTAGAGTTTTTGTGATGTCGATTCATAAACTGGCGTCCGGTTCTTGCATCAGTGGTTTCAGGAAACACAATTTTCCAAGCATAGGCAGGCTGAGCGACTTGTTTCAAAACTTAGAGGCTGTACTAGTCAATGTTGTCAGTCACTTTTATCAAGCATACGTGGTTGACAGACTGGTCAACATTTTTCATCCTTGGGTGTTAGTTCCCCATGTTGGTTAGTTTCTCCTTGAATTCATCAATCGGATTCCACTTCACGGGATGCCGCACTCTCACGCCGGATAGTGACTTGACTAGGTACAGTTGTATGAAAGAGAAAGTATCCTTAAAATAGAGCGTCAGGTCCCAGCGCTGAGTATCGATCCATGTTTACGTTGTCCAAGGACAAGAGGTTACCGAAATGATGGAACTCCTTGTACTTGTCGACAAAAGAAAGTCCCACACTATAGCTTCTCCTCGTTGTTCTTGCACCTCCAACCGGAAGAAAATGTTGATACCCATTCATGACGGTGCCATCCGAACTTGGACTTGCAGAAGTTGCACTCGAATCATTTTGATTGCCTTTGCCATTTCCCTTGTTCGCTGTTGATGTCTCCATTGTTTCATCTCGCTGCAGTTGCATTGCTGTCTGTCTATCACGCATTGCTGAAGGCCGTTCTTGGGCAGCAACCACAGAATCAGGCTGCGGCGACGGCGTCTGTGCTGCTGACCCTGCTGATGCAGCGTCCGTTGATGTACCTGCACTCGCTGACGAGAGTACCTGCGCTCCAACCTGAACATTGAGTCCTGGTGACCCTGTGTGGAACTTGTTCAAATGCGTGTGCGCATCAATCGCCTGGCCTACTCCTGGCCACATTCCATAACCAACAACATACGCGAACCCTGTCTGTTGAGGGAGGCCGCCCATCGGGATTGGCATAGCCAGCACTTGTGGTCCCGGAACAGACACTGGTGGTACCGGTATCATCAGCGGCACTTGTGGTCCTTGTTGGATTGGCATCTGTGGTAAACCTGACTCTCCCACCACTTCAAAGGCCGTAGCTCCACTTCCAGGTACGAAAGTTGCCGCTCTCGGATTCAAAGAACCCGCTTTCCCTGCTTCTGGCACAGCAAGACTTTAGAAGAAGAAGAGACTTTAGTAAGTATACGTCCGACAACAACCACAGAAGTTGTCTTTATTCTCTAGACTATATAATTATAATTACATATGAAATCTACAAAAATTTTCGGCTTTTTGATGACTGGAAGGCGTTAAGTTTAGAACAATCCACGTGCTAGGATTTGGTACATATCACTTCCGACATTTCATTGGTTCTACTTGCCCTTAACTGCTCCCAGCCTGCGTTGCAAGAGGACCAGAAGGCGGCACACCTTCTACGTGGCCGCTTAGAAACTCCGCAGGCGGTGTAGTCCCCAGCTTCCAACCAACTCCATTGTTGCCGAACCCAGCTGCACGCACTAAATGTGCAGAAAAAGCAAATGTCAAAAAACACGTCGACTTCATCACTTTTTCTGTGGCTCTGGCGCCGCGTCCGTTTCTTTTCATCATCATCAAATCAATAGAAAATAAAAATCTCCCTGTGGTCAAGTACCTACGTATCTATAATAAACAAAGCATAGAGAGGGACTTAGGATTTTGTTCTGCTTCTCTACCTCATGTCTTAGTCTTGGGGTTCACGTTGATTCAGGTCAAAACTCAAAATATGGGAATTAGGGTTTGGGTTGGTGCCTTGGTTGTTGTCCGAAGAGTAGTAATACGAATCCAAAACACCTAAGTGGAAAGTAGAAGTAGAACTATCAGGGAGCAAATCAATCACGTCGCAGTACTAGTTAAACTTTTTTTATGCATTGATCGGCCAGATACGAAAACTAGTAAGTAATACTTTTTTGCATTTTCCTCAGACAGAAGTCCAGTATTCTTAATACTTGATACTGCTATGATGCATTGTAAGGATCCCAAGGTGCAAAAAAACGAAGATCTTAGTATTTTTTTTGAAAATAATCTTAGTATGTTCTCTCACTCTCGACAAGAGTGAAGATAAACAAGAAGTCACTCGCCTGCACCTGCAATTTGTCGTTGAGGAAATCTATATTATCATGATTAGGCTATGATGTATTGCTAATGCTAATGAGCACGCCTCCTTTTAGGGTCTGGCTTTCCGCCTTTGGACATACGTCGTGTTTAGTCATATTCGCGCCAGGTTTGTTCAGGTTACTTGTTCAGCGACTATGGTGGCAACATCCTCCACGACTTCTCAAAAGCTGCAAAATATTATCCTACTTGTCGAACCCACCGGAGACTAGAAAACTACTAGTGCCGTGTGCAAGAGCTGAGCAGGAACAAAATGAAATTCCTTGTCTCTTCCACGACTCTCCTTTCAAGGTGGCTTAACTTTTGATTGTGAGCACATTTTGATCTCGAATATGGGTCCATGGATTTGGGATTCCTTAGTTCTTGGTGTAGAAAGATGCAGTAGCCAACATAAACATTTTTGATTCTTGGACAAGGACATCAGGTCGTGGAAGCAATTTTTCAGTTGAAGAGTGGATATCGAATGCGATAGCTGTACAATTTCTTTGTAGTTTTGCGTTTCAGGTGATTGCTTCATATACAACAAGGCAGAGAGTTCGACGTTACTCGTGATAGCCGTGGTCGTGGTAGTTAGTTCATTGCTGTATTTGCGAGGAGAAGGAGAGGACACTTGAAGATGTACATGATGACAAAACAGGGATAGTAATCTCACACACATTCTCTTTTGAAGTCGAATCTTCAGAACAATACTGGGTCGATGCTGCAACAAATTTTCTGTTTCATATTTTTACCACTTTGAGGACGATGAGGAAGTGGCAGTACGAGATAATAGCCCGATATGAATTGAGGGAGCACAAGAACTGAGATGACGAAATAGAAATAGCACAGCACGAATGACAATATGCATATTCAAGCGTAATGGATGATATTGGACTTCACAGAGGCCGCTGATTGGAGGTAGTAGTTTAAAAACTTGCGATAAACATAATAGGTGATCCAGAAACTCGCGAACTCGATTTCAATAATTGCTCTAAGTAACTAACATAACTTGAATATCCGTCTTAATCTTTCTTCTCATCTTTGTCGAAGAAGTCATAAGACTCTGTTTTTTGGAGAACATCTTTAGACAACGCGAGTGCTTTTCATACTCCGAGATGACAACAAATGTAAGCGTATTCATACTGCGAAAATAGCCAGAACATAATTTTTCAACCTATCCTTTGCTGACCGTTCATTCTTGTGAGCAATGCGAATGCGGTCAACATCCTAAAAAGCTCTAGCTAGTGTATTTGCTATCTCGTCTGAGGCTGTTAATCTACTTACTCTTACATAATGTTATTCATAACTTTGCAAGGACTATCGTGGCAACAATGAAAATAAACTCTTTACATGCTATTAGAATCTGTAGGACTACAAGGTGAAGAATATCGTAATTGCGCTGTTCACTGAGTTGCTTAAAAAACATGCTTGATCAAACGAGTAATGAACCAACCGAAATCGATGAGTTAAATAACTGACAATTGATATCTAAAATCATTCCTTTTGTAGTACTAGAAGTTGTAGTGTTGTAAAGCTGCAATACTAGAATTCTTAAACCTGAAGCTCAGCAAGGGAACATGGTTCTGACCATAAAGTTCAACTATATTTGATGTCCCCACTGTATTCTGTTGATCAGCGGGGCTCTTGTTCCGCGGTTACGAATTCTACTTCACGAATTTCGTAACCGCGGAACAAGAGCCCCGCTGATGACAGACCGCCGCCGTCACCAACTATGAAGATGCTGAGTAAATAAGAACAAGCGCACTCAGTGCCTTGACAAGCTTGTTCTTTCATCTAAATACTCCTTTCCCCAATAGATTCGAAATCCTAGGGTTCTTCGCATGCCCCCTGGAAAGCAGACATCACTTCTTCATCTTCAGGCGTCGGCCGTCGTCGAGGTCGCTTCATGGCGACAGATGCTCGGTCAACATCGACCGACCTATTTTCCGCTGAAGCTGGACGAGGCGATGCTCCTGGTATGTGATATCTCCCTACGACTCGTGGCTGCATGTTGTTGCGCCGGTCATCTACTTGATGTTGATCTTGCCCATGAGTAATATAGTACTCGTCTGGTGTTGAAGCTAATGGTCCATCAAAAATAGCTTCTTCATCTAGTGTCGGGATCCGTTCCGCCATTTCGATAGATGTGCCTGGAGGATGAACACCTCCTGCTCGACTCCAACTATACGCTGACGAACTACTGGTGCTAGGATCAATATAGTTGCTAGTAGTACAACGAGGTCGACTTCTTGTATTGCTTATCCCAGCATTTGTTTTCTGGCACATCATATTGAGGCGACTATTCGTCCTCGGTGAAGATCTTGAAGCACTTGTTCCTAGTGCATTTCTACTCCAGGAACGCGAAGAGGAAGACGCTAATGGTGATGAAGGTGCTGCGTAGGTGTGAGCACCCTCAACTACTAAGCTTGGCGCCGGTTCCATCGTGCCTGTGGTCTGCGGCTGGGCTACAACTGCATCTGGATTCGCACCTGCTGCTACAGCGGATGGCCCAGCGGATACAACTGCTTCTGGCTGGATTTTTAGACCACGTTATGATGTTTACTAATTCCTACTCAAAGTTATATATGTACCAGGGAGGGAGCCCCCCCTGTAACTAAATCGTAATCCTAAATCGTAATCTAATCCCTAACCCTAACTTCTATTTCTAATCGATATTGTGCCAACGCAGACAGAGATGCTCGATGAAAGACTTCTCTGTCTCCCACTTTAAATTCATTCAAAAAAATGCTCGCTTCTTGCAGATATCCAAATCGTTCCTTCACTTCATTTCACTTAACTTCGCGGCCGCATCACCATCCTCCCTGGCAGCGTCTTCCAATACTAGTTTCTTTCCAGTGAGGGCCTGCTCGCGCTCTCTTGCCTCACGCTCGTTTTCTTCTCGCAGTGCCGTGATCAGTGAGTTTGTCGATGTTCCCCGCGTGTTTTGTATGAAAGACGAGTACATGACGATGATGATTGTACTCAGTAAGTATGACACTGATGATGATACTGATAGACCCATTCGTGCAATCAGGGGCTAGACCAAGATCAACATGATGGTTAACAGCGAGCTGTTATAATACAACCGGTGGAGCACGTCTAACTAGGAAACAAAAATACATATATAAAAAGGAAGAAATATCTTCTCTCTTCATAAGGTAGTCCACCACAATAAAGTTCTGCTTCGGAATGACATCACTGCCAAGAGCAGTTGTGAAACTGCAGTAGCTTGCTGGGATGTAAACGTGCCTTCTTTTCGCACTTTCCATCCTTAAGAAGTCCTTCACTTTCTGTCTTCGCTTCTCTAACTCCTCTTCATATGGCCGGTTGCCCTGCAGGCACCAAGCCGTTGCCGCGAGTTTTCTGTTGTTGTGGGCAAGATTGATATTTTGGTAAGAGCCACATGACTGCAGCTGTTGAAATTGTAGTTGTAAAGGAACCCTATTCGGAATCAGAATCAATATTTTTTCTATTTCTTCGTCGATGCTTACTACACCTTGCTTAGGCTTAGCACCAAGTTTCAGACCAAGAAAGAGGACAAAAGAAATTGAACTTGAAATTGAATGGTTCCGGTATGTGGTACTAACCTGAATTCGATCACAAGGATTCTCTTCTTGTTTTCCCTTATGATCAAAATCAGGCTACCGAATACCAGAACAATACAAAAATCCATCACATAGCACTTGAGCGGATGAAAATAGACGCTTCATCCTACAACACCTACATCAGCACGACCAAGTTTGAGACTAACAAGAGGACAAAAAAAATCACATAGTACTTGAGGGGATGAAAATAGACGCTTCCACTATCGTCGAGTCCTTGGATAGTATCCTGTCGCAGGATGAACAACTCGACGCTTTGCCTATCTGCACCCGCTACCACCAGAGGTTGTGCCATCACTGTGTATGGATACCTTTTTGGTGATGGAGTTGTAAAGATCATGATGGCAGTGACAAGGATAACACTAGAAAGACAAAGATAGAACTACGAGGACAGCAGTTGGTCGTTAGAGTTTGCTCCGGTCCAGGACGAAAAAATGGAAACGAGGGGTAAGTGTGAGATAAGTGCCAAGACGAGCTTAAAGAAAGTGATTTCCTTTCGCAAGAATGATTTTTATGGCGAGGAGAACTCTTTCATCTCTTGCCTAGTTTTGAAGCCACCACCACGACCAGAAACATTATACTTATTATAATTTGATAAAGTGGAATGAGCGAGTAATCTGGATTATAAGAATCGAAGATACTCGGTTATTGTATATGTTACTCGCTTATTTTCTAAAACAGTTTTCGAATACTTAGATCATATTCATTTGTAGATCATCTAGGTGGATCAAACGCTCAAGTTCAAAAGCTCAAGAATAAGCTTGTTGTATAAACAGAAAGAAAAGCTTAAAAGGAAAGAAGAGAGAACTAGAAGTAAGGTAAGAAAAGGAACTGATCTCTACTGTGATATCAGGTCGCATCGAGAAGAAGTTCAAAAGCTCAAGTTCTTGTATCAAGATGTACCCTTTATCCGTTTTCAAGCTTTCCCCATTGGTCTCCAACGCGCCCTCCAATCCAAAGAGCATTCCCTTGTTGTATACACCTATGAGTTTTTCGCCTTCTGTTATGTCCTCAGGTTCCGGGTCTACTGCTTCGCACGCTCCGGAAAAGACGTTGTAGATGTTGTAGGGATCTTTCTGGCCCTTCGCGTAGACTATGTCACCTGCAACGCACACCATCGGACGCATCAAGGACACGACGTGAGCGATGAACCAATCTCGGTACAAGAATCGGGGTCGGAACAACTTCAGCTGCTTCAAGGTTTGCCGGTGCACATGAAGCAAAACCTCAATCCTAATGTGCACCGGAAGCTCCATCAAGTAAGCTGATTAAGAGTCGGAGGTACTATTATCGGAGAGGGAAAAACGAATGTCATATGATGCTAGAGGACTACTTTTTATCTTCGAATTTTTCAGACCCGATAATGTTCGGATCGATAGGAGAAAATGATCAAACAATAAAAAGAGCCTTCCTTTCCAAATCCAAAAGCTTCCGCGAGAACTTTAATAATGGGAACATCAAAAGGACAAGTACTTTGCTCGTCGAAATTGGACTTTTGCTCCATGTAGAACGTCATATGCTTTCGCAACTTCGTCCTCGTCACGAGCGAAAGATTGTGCCTGGAGGTGGAGAGAGGGATTGGGATAAAAAACAGATGTTTGAATGCGAGGATGACCACTAGAATCATAACGATAACGACGCGCAAGCAGGAGGAAAGCTATCATGACAGAAGAAGACAAACATACCAACATGATAGATGCTTACTCTTACATCAAGATGGATCACCTCTACGTTACCTCCCCGTCAACCAATCCTGCTAAACCAACACGACTGGTAGTACCTATCGCAGAAGTCGTAGACTGGTTTCATGCTAATCTCCCGTGTGTCGGTGCCGCTTGCAGCGATCGACCCGATAATGTAACCGAACGCTGTACCACCGATGAACATCACGAAGATACAATAGATTCGCTCAGCTGTGCTTTTCGGCACAACGTCTCCGTATCCCACCGTCGTCATGGTCGTAAAACTCCAGTAGAGACTGGCGATGTAAATCTCTTAGAGCTTACCTAAATTCATCTTGTGCCCCTGACGTCCTTTCGTAGTCCCTGACGTATTTTCTCCTTCGAGAAAAGGTCAAAGATGCTTCTTACGATGAATCGGGGCAAGCCTTAATTTTCGTTATCCACTCCGGATATCAGATTGTCTAGTGCAGGATACCAACCTACCAGAGGCTGCTTGCCATCTACTACGCCGTTAGCTGTACAGAATCGCTGACCTCCCTCGCATGCCTCCATCGTGTCTTGTGTGACGAAGACATAGAAGAAACCACAGGCCAAAAGATGGGCGAGGAACGTAAGCTGGCCCATCAGGGATAACGAGTTCAAGGCACGCTGCGAAAATCCCATCTGTTGAGGTTGAAAAAGATGAAGACGTACAGATTGATAATAGACTTAAATTTACTTGATCTTCATCACAATTTTTGGGAAAACGACGAACAAAAAATCGACAAGATACTAGAAAGAGTCCTCCATTTTTACCTCTTGCAAGTCATCCAGGAATTTCGTCAGCCTTATCAGCCTCAACAATTTGAAGAGGCGGATGAGACGCAGCACACGGATCAGTTTTGACTGTCGCCCGATTGGCAACAGCTTATCGAAAGGTATAGTTGAGACGAAATCTATGACAAAGAATCCGCGAAAATAGTTGTCTCGTATTTTGCGCCAATCGCTGCAAACTGTTCCTTCTCGATCCACGAAGGCCGTTCTAAAAGAAGCGCAGATATCTATCGCAAAAAAGATATCCGTGATCCAATCAATGATGTCGCCAGCGCTACCAGGTTCGGACTATGAAAGAGGGAGAGACAAAGAGTAGCAGCGCTAGTGGTATACCCATTCTGTGGGTGAGAGTGAGTCTGAGGTGGGAAGAATAAAGGGGCAGCTGTCGAATGGATGTGAGTCTACCGCAGACGGGACCGGGAGAGGGTGCTGGAAGAGTAACAGCAAGTAGTAATCAATCATGATTCTTCTAGGTCTTGAAGACACAGACCACAGGTGCAAGAAGTCAAAATACGAAATGATAATAAAATAGACTTAGACCACTTACAAGTACAACTTAGCCATTGCCATTCACATAATTCACATATCTGTATAGTATACAAATAATCCTTATGGAATGACCATGATGGAGCTTCTTCTAACTATCATGTCATAAAACATCGACTTCGAATCCGATTCGGAAGGGCACGACGATGACGGAGATGATGATCACCACACCAATAAACATATCCCACGCTTGCTTTGGACGGTACCGTGGTGGTATGATCCACTGCAGACATTAGAGATGAACTTCTTCTCCACTAGGGAGCGTAAGAAAGCAGCTCCTTGTTATTCGTGCTCCTTCTCGCGTACGTGTTACAGATTCAATAGCAAAGAAAAGATCGCTTTTCTACTTCATCGTCTTCTTCGACGAGAGCCTAATGCTAAGCTCACTTGCTAGCGCATAAATTAGCAAACGAAAAGAATACATAGACAATTAAATTCTTATATCTTCGCGTCACCCAAACCAATGATAAAATGCCTTCTCTAGGTAGTGATCAGTGACTGTGTCCACCTCCACATCCAAAAATATGGACCATAATCAAATAGTTCTCTTTCTCTTTTCTTTTCTTCGAGTTTTTGGTTCGATATTTTGTCGTTGAAATCGTCCCTGAACATCATTTTACTCGCTCGCAGTACCGGACTAGGCTTGCTTGCGCTATTTGACGTTGCTCCACCGTCTGAGCTTTGCTGTTTTTTGTGTTTGAGGTTTGAATCGTCAAGGTCAAAGTGAGACGAAATTACCCCACCCTGGTGCAGCTGCACCATCGATCCTAGAGGAGATATAAGCACTACTCCTAGCTTCTTAAGGTATAATTCAGTGAAGATATTCCTAACCGTCATCCTAGTGGACTCAAATAATGCACAGGGACTAGACTAAAAGAAGCTATAGAACGAGTACCCCTTCACTCTTCCCCCCGCTTTCTACTGCACGCATGGCAGCTTCGTGCTCCTCGAGCCATTCTCTCCTCTGCTGGATACTATGCTGCACCATCTCTGCCATGGACTCTATCAGGGGGTTGGTCATCTTCCCCTCTCGTGTCAGCATCGTGCAATCGCTATCCGTTCCACGAGAGCTTAGAAGGGTTTATTCTTATTGTACTTTTACTCTGAGTACTTAGTACTAGCTACCATTAGGGTCTAGTTTATTCTTCGAGATAAAACAAGTCATCTTCTTGATCACGACAACGTAGTTCTTCTATCACTAGTAGTGGTTATGATCTTTTCTATCACCAGTGCAGCGCATCATGATGGTTGACACAATACATAGCATAGGCAAAGAACATTTGAATTTCTATTTCCAAAATCACCATCACGTTGTCATAAATAAAACACCCTCTGAGTACATCTTCGCATGACGATCTCATCATGCTCTTTGTGTCGGTACTCCCCGCTCCCAATGCACTTTTCGAGCATCCTTACTAGATGTGCGCAATGCTTAGCACTACTCTGCATATGCTCCGGATGGTATTCGCGGTATCTGAATGTGAATGTAGTCATATTTATAAGTATTATCTTCAGTGTGTAGAAGTACGTGTTGAGCAAGTGCTTTGCTGTTGCTACTACTTAGTAAAAGTTTTTACCCACGACGACCAAGAGCTAGTACCATGAAAAGAAAATTATACAACTCTTAGTCTTAACAAAAACAATTGCTCCTTAGTCGTGAAAAGTAATATGACTCTTACGTTCTCGACACAACGTCTGTCGGAATTGCGATTAAATCGCATGTGCTTTGTGCTAGGTAGGTAAAGTAGGATATCCGATCGGTATCGTTTGATGCCCTAGGATCAAATCGGGTCTGGAAATACTCACTCTTCTCATACACCGCCACTAATGCAGAGTCGAGGACGAGGGTCTGAATCTGTGTTTGTAGGGGTAAGTTGTGCTTGTGGGGTGTAGTATTTTTTGTCACTTACTAGTGTCGGATGAGTGCCTCACTGTAGCATGTTGGCTTTCCTTTCAAACAGATCCATTCCATCTAGTTCCTCAATCAAAAACATCGACTCGCGTCTGCTAATTCGTACCTCCGTCTTCCCTTCCATGACTAGATCCTCTGTGCTAAGATTTGCCCAATGGAACGGCTCTGGCAATTCACTGACGCCTCGTCGCCACTCTGCTGTGTAGTTAGGCGTTTCTCGCACTGCCTCCTTCGCGAATCCATCCCTATCCATCAAACCTTCCAAATTTCCCGCGACGGATATTAGAAGCGAGAAACGTGGTATTACCGAAGCGTGATATCAACAATAACCCGCGCTAGTTACTTGTACTATGGTGCCACTGATCATTTGTTCATGGTCATGTACTTCAGGTTCGACCCTTACTGGCCATTTTTGAAGCAAAGCTTACTCATCATTTACTCATTCATACATTCACTCACTACAAGTACAAGCTCTCATTTACGTGGTTACAGTTTATGGGATCATGCGGTGGTTACGGTTTAATAGTCATGTGAATGGTTCCGGTATTTGGTAACCTGATTTTGATCATGAGGAAAACAAGAAGGGAATCCTTGTGATCAAATTCAGGTTACCAAATACTCGAACCATACATCATGATGATCTAAGTACTTGCTCTTCGCCTCCATAAAATAAAATAGATATCCTCCAACAAGTCGTCTTGTTTACAGAGGATGTCTCCAGCAAAGACCTGCTGTGGTCGAAGATTGCCCATCAGGTCGCGCACTAAATCGTACCCGATGAGATCCTCTCCTGCGTTTCGCGCTACTGGAAAGAGAGCCCTGTTATTTGTTTGTACTAGTTCTTGTGATGGATACGAATTCTGTTTTTGTCTTCTTGGGGAATGATATTAATAGCAATTGCTACAGGTTTTTTATATAAGGTCTGGTTTTGATCTCATGGCGGAGTCCAAGTATTTCTTTCATGCGAGAACTAACGAGGAGATCATGTAAAATAAAAGGCTCAAGAAACACGCAAAATGATAGACTATATGTACAATGTCAGCGCGTTGACATACTGCGGCCACACTCTGTCGATGATTTCGTTTCGCAGATGTCTTGGTAGCCCTTCTATCAGCATATAATCTTGATACCTGTAGTCAGCTCGTAAATTGATAATGGACGAGAGGTTTTCTCTTCATCATTGCTGATGTAGTAGTACAAGATGCTGTGAAGTAACGAAGTTAGCTTGCTACAGCATCGAATTCGAACTCGAAGCGAGCTAACGAGTAGTTGTATTACCCACTAGTACTGCTCAGCGTGTATTGGTAGTGCTGTTTTATCCTCCTCTTCAAGAGTTGGTCGAACTCGCGAAATTGACCCCACTCTGCTATCATCTTCAGCTTCACGGTTTCCTGACCCCTAGAATCGACCGAACGTGTGATTCCGGACAAAATGTAACCTGAGGCGTAGTGGTGTCATGGGGAAATTTGAAGTAATACATAAACATAGGGCACGCATTACATGAACATTTGATCTTATGCTAGCTTACAAGGATTCTACCGGTGTTTTCAAAATCCTGCTTGCATGCATCCTACATTTCCAACAAAGTTTTTTGAGAGCTTATTCCGCGAATTGTTAATATTATGCTAATGAATTACCATAAACCACAGCGCCTCCTAGTTCGAGAAAGATACAGAACAAGCGTTCTGATGTGTTTGTTGGGAAGATGTCTCCGTATCCCACTGCCAAGATTGTTTTCACCACGAAATACATGCTGGACATGTACTTGCCTATATTCGCCATTTGGTAAATCTCAAAAGCGCGCACCCACGATACATTGTTGTTACACTTCACGTCTGGGTGGCTGTATACCTTGGAGAAAGTTGTAAGAAGGGTCGTGTTGAACTTGAATGATGAAGGTTGCGTTTGTTCTTGTTGACGTGTTTGTAGTGAAACTTCATCGACTTAAAATTGTTTAATTCTGAAAAGATGAATAACTGACTATACTGTGAGGACTTGCACTTTCCAAACGCCCTAATGAAGCTAAGCCGAAAACAAGGTGATGAAAGTGAAGATATAGGGTCGTAGATTACATCGTCCTTCCCCAAGAAGGATATTGGGCACTGACACTGTGGGTCCATCACATGTGTCCAGCCTATCCCTGTGTTGTGTGACGCGTGATCTGCGAGGTCAGTTGTTACTGGTATCGCCATCAAGTCAGCATACTGATGCAGCGTATCTTCGCCACACTTTTCACTACCACTGTTGCCGGTAAAGTACCTCTTGTAGGTATCGTTGTGGTGGAATGACGGAAAGTAAGTGCTGCAGAGGTAAAAAGTAGTACTGGTTAAGTTAAGTTAATTAGTACCGAAAAATTTACTAGTACAGTGGACTAGGACTTTGTTCTACATAAATAGATGAAGAAGTTCATAATTCTACTTGCTGAAGTTTCGCAAATCACGATATAATTGACCACAAAGCAACTCGTCGTGGTCCAAAATTAATATTAACCAATACCAAAAATTGGTAAAATAATAACGTAGGAGTACCATGCACATGAAAACAAGTGACAGATGTAGCAGATCCATGCTAGAAGCGTTATGAGATTCGACGCTGTTTCCGACACGAAGGAGTCGACGAATTCCTTCACCTGTTCTGTTCGTAGGATGCGCAGAAGCTTTCCTAACCGGAAAAGACGAAAAATACGCAACATACGCAGTACTCGCACATCCTCCTTCGCCACATCGACAAAAAGTGGGATGATCAAGTCGAAGGGAAAGGATGATAAGAAATCCAACGTGAACCTGTGTTGGAGGTTAGAAGTTGGGCCGCTACCAATATTGGTGGTAGACAACGACAAGATGATCATGGTCGTGGAGGTGGCGTGGTATTGGTGACGAGCGCAGGTAGAATGTAGTTCGTCTTCTTGCCGTGTTTGTCCTAGTATAACGAGGGATCAACCAGAACAAGATGAAGATCTTCTACATCTTCACAATAAATCGAACTTAGTCACCTCTACGATCTACTAGTACAACTAAGTACTTGTTTCCTAAAAATTAATGCGTAAAAATCTTCCAAAAAACAATAAAGTTCACGACCATCCCCTCAAGTAGTTATTCGCAATTCGCCGCGGGTTGAGGACCAGCATGTCTTCTTGGTAGTAACCAGTGCGGAAGTTGATTACTACGTCGATGTAGAAAAAGACGTCAACGATCCAATCTAGAATGAGCATCCCGCCAGTTGCAGGGACGTTGAAGCCTATTCTATACGGCGAGACACAGATTGTCCACAGGATGTTCACGGATATCATGATATCCCACGCTACTTTCTTCTTGTCCTTGGGTCGGATAATCCACGGGTACAGCCCAACATCCTTGAAGCCGTCGGAGGATTCGCTGTGGGTGAGTGTAGAATTAGAGGGTGATGTGCGAGATCAAGAAGTCATAGTTCTTGTAGTAGTAGAAGTAGAGGGCATCCTCCTCTTCATAGATGATGTGGAGCAGGAGAAAGTCAAGCCCCTAAGGAAAGAAAGTCAAGGCTACCGAGACAGCGCCTTGTTATATTTCTACTTGTCCTTCTTAACAAATAAAAAGTAAAACAACAAGATCCTAGCCCAGCATTCCTCGGTTCCCATTTTTATGCCAGGACAATGTAATGCAGTTTTCCTAGTGTCATGTCAGTTCCCATTTTATGTCAGGACAAGAAAAAGAATGTAAAAATTCTAATTGTTAGACCACAAGTAAGATCCAACAAAAAATCCAAAATTTTGAGAAGACCAAAGTCATTCAAAAATCTCAAAAGTACGTTGCACTCCTCTGGAACTGTCCTGTTTCTTCGTCCACATCGACGAAGGATGGGAGATGCTCGAAGAATGAGCCTCTGCCTGGAATGGCGTCTGACCCGTTAGAGTTCTTCAGCATGGACGCTCCTAGGCTACTGGCATCCTTCTCCATAGCCTTGCCCTTCTTGGGCCCCTGCGTTCGCAGCACTGCGCGAATTGCCGCCATCTTGTTGTATAGTAGTTGGGCTGGGTAGTTCTTGCAGCTGTACTAGAGGTCTGTACTTGTTCTTGTTCCTATTTCGAACAAGTAAGTTCACTCGTAACAGGTGTCGTCTTCGTGATCTACCAGCAGGCGACGTACTAGACGCACTAGAGTAGAGTAGCTATCTGTATTACTAGTTCGAAGTCTCACGTGATGAAGGTCTTTACGGCCTCTGCACGTGGTATTTTCGGGGGCCGGAGACAGCACTCGCGTAGAAAGAGTAAGAGATGCAGATGGAGAGTTGATGCTCCGATCTGCAGCCCGTCCCGGCTACTAGGAGAACCAATTAACAACTTAGAACAGCAACACGTTGTAGAACTAGAAGTATCTATTTACTTAGATTTACTAGACTACTAGTACTGCTACTGACAGCTGCAGTATACCCTTACCCTTAGTGGGAGAAGTAGCTCTACTAGTAGTGTAGTGCTAGCTTTAGTCGAAGGTCTTGCTGTCACTGGGGTGATGATGACAGAGACGAGATGCAGATGATGGAGATGATGACGTCACATCAAATAACAAAAATAACAAGGCACATCAACTAGAGCAAAAATACAAATAAGCCAAGTACGAAAGCTATTGTTATACAACTAGCTGCTAGACAAGCTAAGCTGTCATGAAACAAGTCATGAACAATCAAGCATCAGCAGGCACACGACCCTACCGTCGTCCCTTGTCTACTTGAAAGTAGAAACTCACTTGAAAAGATAACAGATGCGCGTCAAAGAAACGAGAGTTATCCAAATAAGTAAGTATGTGTATGAGAAAACGAAAAATAAGTCGACAAAGGGACAAAGAGGTGCTTCGAGCTGCCTTTGTAGCTTGTACTATGAAATCCTTGTTAATGTAGTTTTTCTTCCTCCTTCAAAAAGCAGCTCAACGACAGCGCAAGCCGATCGCAGAAGTCTTGCTCCCCTGGTGCGGGAGCAGAGCAGACGGGGACGACGTCGGCAACAATAGACCCGCGCCGCCCGCCTTATTACACATCATTTTTTCTTGCTCATTATCATTTTACTCGCAATTATATCATTAATATACTCCTCCATATATACCTTCACATTGATTAGGCCACAAAAATACCGGTCCACCTAAACGTGCTATTCTTGGTGATTTTCGTTGTAGTTGTTGAGGGAAGCAAGGCGTTCTTGACGTGCAGAAGTTATTTTTGTTGTTGCTGGCTTAGTCTGACTGCAATTTTTTGTCCATTTTCTTTTCGAATTTAAATCAAAAGTTTGGTGGTCTAGGGAGGTGTGCTTAATTTCAGGATCATGGCGGTGAGGAGGAGAAGGTGGACGGCTTTGATGCGCGAGTGCTGGGTGATTTCTCAAGACGAGCCAAGAATACTTTCAAAGATGCAGCACCGATGAGTCAATCGAGTTGTCCCTGTCAATGTTTACTTTGTCCCCTGTCAATCGAGTGTCCCCATCACATTTCTCCAGCACTACTCATCTCTCGACGTCAGCACCACTACTCATCTCGCGTACCCGTTCCACGACAGGGATGATCGCGACATTACGTTCACAGCGACTTTAAGATCAACCTTGTTTTTCCGATGAATAAGAATATGTCATCTTTTTCTCTCACCGCAAGCCGAGCGCCGATATCAACACTTGTTGTCGATCAGATATGACGAGGCACCTCTACTTCGAGAATGCAGCACGACTGAAGGAACAATTTCCGAAAACGAGATAACGAACACGATGACTCTGTAGTCCAGGATAGGATACGATAGGATAGGATACGATTTGATTCACCTCACGTGATTGAAGGCAGATATTGAATTTCATTTATTGAAGAGTAGAAACCGAAGTTGTCAAGAATAAGACTGTGCGTGTTTATCTTGAATGAATTAACGTGCTGAATGATGTTCACACCACTTTCACGCATGTCGTTTAACAAGATCTTGTAGTTAGTTCGCCTTTACATAGAGAAGAATAGCTACAATGAAGAATTTTGGCTTTCTTTGACTTTTGTGAATGGAAAATTGTACCTCTTCTAACAAACTGCGAATCTGCAAGTAGCTTGTTCTATGCCATGCTGTAAAGAAATTTTGGATGAACAAAAAACTCTAAGAAGTATACGGGAAACATGACCTCCAAGGCACGAAGTACCCTTTAAAAAGTCTGTGTTCTTTTACAAACTAGTATATTTCTCATTTTCTTGTTCTTGATTTCTTGGAGTCTATCTCTAGTCCACAGGATATGATGGATTTATGAGGATATCTACTTGCAACGTATTTATGTTTTTAGTTGATGGATTTACAAAATGTTATTCTTGATGTTTGCATTTGCCACAGACAGCGGCGCAGCGATATTGATGAGATAGTACCGTATACTGGTTCTCTTTGTGCCATAAGAAATTCAGGTTCATCATCTGTGCAAAAGACGAAAATCAAAATGCTGCGGTACTACTGGTACCACTTCTACCATCTCTACTACGTAAATCTTATAAACTAAAACTTCATCAAATTCGATCTTACTTCTTCCCCATTTTCGCCGGTGACTTCACTTTACTAGTATGCGCAGTCAATAGCCGCTTCTCTGAACCGCCTTGCGCCACGGCTAAAAACTCTTTCAGATCCACATGTCCGTCATGATCTCTATCCGCCTTGTCAAACAGCCTTTTGAGGTAGTCTGGCGGAAGTGCCTTTTTCATAGACTTCTTCATCGGAGCTGCAACCTTCTTCACTGGCTTTTTCATAGACTTCTTCATCGGTGCTGATGCGGCTTTCTTCACTGGCTTTTTCATAGAGGACTTCTTCATCGGTGCTGATGCGGCTTTCTTCATGGACTTCATTGCTGGAGGAGCTGGTTTGACAAGCATCTTCTTCATGGACGCATTCATCGGTTTCGGAGCTACAGCCATCTTCATCGCCATCTTCATTGCGCTCTTCATTGGTTTCGGAGCTGCTTTCATGACTGCTTTCTTCATGGATTCTATTTTCATTGCGCTCTTCATTGGTTTCGGAGCTGCTTTCATGACTGATTTCTTCATTGCTGCTGGCTTCTTTACTCGTGCTGGCTTCTTGACCACTGGTGCTGCTGCTTTTTTCATACTCACCTTCTGCGGAGCAGGGGTAGCTTTCTTCATGCTGCTCGCCATCTTCATACTAGCCATCTTCATAGGAATTTTCATTGGAGGAGCCGCTTTCATCGCACTAGAACTAGAAGACATTCTCATCTTCTTCATCGAAGATCCTCCATAGCCTTTGCCGTAGAAGTCTTCAAGCGCCGCATCAGGTAACAAGCCCTTCTCTAATGCTTCATCTGGCAATCTGCCTTTCTCCAAGGCTTCATCGGGTAAACGCTTTGCGCGAGTAGAACCTCCATAGCCATAGCCTCGTCCAGAACCATAGTAGTAAGAATTGGAGTTGAAAGCGTCTTCTTCGTAGTCATCCGAGTCAGCAATAGCGTACTCCATAATTGGCTTCTTGTTCTTACCAGCACCTGACATGATGAAGCTCTTGGACTGGTTGACGTCATAGGAAATGTTGGTGATTCCGAAAGCACCCATAGAAGAACCAACAACCAAAGAGGAATTCATGTTTGCGTTCTGGCGTCCGGCGTAGGTTTCCTTCTGCAACGTCCTTGGCGAGTTCGAACTGCGCTTGTTGTTCAGATTGAAGTTCAAGTTCAGGTTGTTCTTGTTGGCGCCATAGGAAGCCTGGTGTCCTCCTGCGCCGTTGGCTGCTGCATTCACCTTCATTGCTGCGGCTGCAGCTTTCAGCGCCTCTTTTTGATCTGCGCGAGCACGAGACATACGTGCCAGCACCGTCTTGGACGACACATTCGACGCGGAAAAACGAGAATCCAAGAGAAGAATGTCTACGATCAATTCACGACGCTGCTTTTCGTGCGGAGTGAGACCCTTCCTTTCAGCCTGGTCTAAGGCGAGTTGGAGAGCTGGTTTTCCCGCACCAATTGACGCAACTCCAGAGCTCGAACTCGACGCACTGCCTTTCTTGTTCTTCTTCCCCTGTTCGGAAGCCAGAATCGTTTCCGGCGCCTGAATCTTGAGTCCGATGTTGACACCAGGGTGTTGCAGCAACAGTTCCACACCTTCGACGTTACCGAGTTCGATAGCAAGGTGAAGCGCAGTTTTGCCATTTGCAGAGTAGGCGTTCACATCGATGTCGTCACGGTTCATCAGCATGAACAAAGGCTTCCAGAAGATGCGATGGTCCAGAGTCCGAGTGTCGTTTTCGTTGCCGAGCTGTAGTGATGTAGAAGTTTGTGATAAATAATATTTATGTGAAGACTATAGTGCTCCTGATGCTGGCACGATCAAAAAATTATCCCTTCAAACAATACTTAGAAGTCTGACTTCTAAGTATTGTTTGAAGGGATAAGCCTAGGGATCGAGCTGAAAAGTGGTTGTTTCTAAGAAAGTATTTAGAAGGAGAAGAGCACCATGTTGGAGCAAGAACATTCTTCATCTCAAGCTCAACAGAGAATCAAGAACATGAAGCAGAGACCAGAAAGATTGAAGTCAGTTTATATTTTGATCAGAAATACCGCCCCCTTCGCTCCCGTCGGCCAAATTCGCGGCACTCGCATTGTATTCGGTCCGTATCGCGCTTTGATGGTTGTCATTTGTTCTCTGACTGGGTCCAAATGTTGGACTGCGCACACCGACAACAGAGAAATCTCTCTCAAGTTTGCATCCGGCAACGCAACTGCTCCGTTTACGTTGAACTTGTGGCCTTGGTAGTCCTTGTAGTCGAGCAATCGGTGCAGACCCCATTGTAAATGGTCTTGCAGATGAACCAGGTAGCTTTGACGTTCTTCCAGGGCTTGAACTTCCGGAGAAACGATCGAGAGATCGAGTTTCTTGCTGTTCGGACTCGCGGGTGGAGCAGTAACTGTGATCTTAGAAGAACTGTTCTTCCCTTGTTCTTGTGTAAAGAGAACATTGTTGTTTTTGCTGCTCGTCGAACCGAAGAAGCCGTATTTCTCCTGTTCCAGACGGCGCATGACTTCAGCCATCTTCTGCACACAGCTCAATTCCTGCCGAATGTACGTCAAAAACAGCTCACTCTTGACGCCACGCTGACGCGCAGAAGTGAGAGCGCAGTTGAGGAGGACATTCACGTAGTCGGTCGGCAGTTCGCGCATCGCTGCCCAGCTTCCGGCTTGTTCGTGGAAGCAGACCAACAGCATGTGCAACAGCCAGTGCGGGTTCGCCAAAGGATGGGCAAGCAAAATTTCGAGCATTTGACCCTTCACTTTGCGCGAAGTGTGGACAGCGTGAAATCCGAAGCGGCTGGCTTGTTCCGAAAAGAGCAAGTCGTAAACACGACTGCCATCCAAACACGCTTCAGGCGAGTAATCCGGAAACTGCGCAACCAAACGACGCAGCAAATCGACGTGACCGAGAGCAACTGCAAACTTCCATGGGTTGTCGAGAAGCACAAACTTCTGAGCCACGTGGAATCCACGATGCGGAACGTCGCCTGCGGCTGGCTCCGGAACGGTGTAAGTTGCAAGACATTCGTAGGCACGGTAGTATTTGGAGTTCTCGGCAGCATGAATCTGGTTCGCACCTCCTGCCTTCTTACCATCCTTAGTTGTAGGCGAATACACCTGCATCTTGTGTGCGCTCATCTCGGGAGAAATCGGCAACGCCTGATGGCTCAGCAACTTCTCAGCTCCGAAGTACTCCTTCAAAAAGCGCTTGCCGCCGTCACGAGCGTAACGTTCCAGGTCCAACGAGCGTCGAAGCATGTTCTTAGGCGGATGGCCACGGTGCCAGTCGTTGTAGTTGGCGATGCGTAGAAGGGTACGATCGGAAAACTGGATGCGGACCAAAGGCAGCTCATCGCGAATCTCGTCATGCGACTCAGTGTCCGTTTCCGTGTACAACATGAAACCGTTCTCGCTTTTGACCAACATCTCGCGGTGCATCTGTTGCATCATCGGGTGAGTTGTCATTTTTCTTCTCATAATCATGTGAAAAAGAAAATGAGGAGGTGCAAAGTATCTATGTATAATAAGTGGGAAATATGGATTAGAATACGATAGAACAAGGAGAAGGAGGAAGAACGTGAATTCGTATACTAGCCCGCATCTACAGTGAAGTAAGTTGTAACCAAAAGGCATAATTTCCTTGTCCTCGTAAATCTTCAAAGTAAGTAGTACCCTAGCCTTCACATGATCTTTGGTGATCCTCTCTCCATCCGGCAGCACATCCACCGAAACGTCGTGCTCCACCGTGATGTCGATCTCAGCTCCACCTCGAGCTTGCGCCGTAATCGTGCGGTCAGCAGTGTGCGTGATCGTCTCGCCGTCAGCAAATAAAAAAAAGCGCTTCTCCTTATGCAAGTAGTCGCTCATGTAATGCGTGCCGTCTTTCTCAAATTCTTGATGGTCGTGGATGGGCTTTTCGCTGTGAGAGCTCATGAGCGGATTCGACGGAACTGCAACACCAGTGCCACTTTTGCCAGCCGGACCAAGTAATGGGCTCAAACTTGGCAATTTGTTAGCTCGGTCGTGGTCGACGTAGAACACGTTCGCGTTGTGCAGGAGGACCAGAACGCCCTTGTCATGTTCCAGAGCCAAGCGACGCGCAATGTGCTTGGACTCCAAAGAACGAGGCAGCATGGGCACATTGAGCATGCGGCGGTTGCGTTCCGCGGTCGGTGTGGTCATTTTGCGCATGTTGGCAAGCACGATGTCTGCAATCAAAGCTGCTGCAGCTGGATGCGACAACGTGTATAGAATCCACAATTCCCGGAAATGCACCAATCCACTGACCAAAGACGGGTTCGCTGCACTAATCGGCTTCCCAGAAATCAAATCTTCACATTTGTAGACCTGACGGGAGGTCATGTTATGGCCACCACCGCTGGACGAGTGGGAAGGCGAGTTGACCGGCGACATCATCTCATCGCCACTGCAACGCGGCGACGCGAGAGAAGCCGAGTTGACGCCAACCAAAGTCGGCATGAAGCGAGAAGGGAAGCCGCACTCTCTTCGGAACTGAGCGACGATTTCGGAAGTAGCACGATGCCAACTTTTCTCTCCAAGAACAGCGTCAGTGTCGACGAAAACACCCCTGTGAAGACGAGAGTTACGATTTTTCTGCTTGTATATGTATTCACTTGTTCTCCTGGGAGAAGTAAGAGTATGTATCAAATCTATCAAATAGTGGATACAACTGCATCAAGAACTAGATTGATTGATTGACTGATTGATGTGCCTGATGAAGTAGAAAATCATTCATTCTCATTGATCATATACGATGACGTCATTGTCAGGAGATCTAAGTAGGTCTACTACACCTATTAAAGAAACGACCAAGTAGATGAAGGTCCTTGATCTTCAAGATGAACATCGAAGTAAAATAAAAAGTACGGCGTATCATTTTCGTGAAAGACGATTTCCGGAATCTTCCGTGGCAAAGCGACCAACCGTTTGAACCGTTTAGTCTCCAGGATCTCCGCTAACGACACTGCGCAATCGCGCGACAACGCGATTTCGCGTGGTCCAAAGCCTCCCTTTTCGTTAGGGCGTTCTAAATCGACAAAGCGGATTGCGTAGGGGCTGGTCAACATCGTAGACTTCTCCTTCTGATCATCTGCCATCTGCTTCCTAGCGAGCATTTCCCTCAAAAGCCAAGAGAACTGCACGCATTCCGGATTCGTACCCGATTCCACAAAAGCATCGTCATCTTCGAACAGCACCTCAACGGTGGAAGTAGAATTCACGGTGTCATTGCCGAGTTCTGCATCCACGTTGGTCCACTTTTCGGTAGATGTGGAGGCGGACGAAGGAGTCGCACTTCTCCCATATATTAGAGGAGCTGTCCGTAATTCATCTTTCAAGAAGTGCATCCTTGAAAAGTACAACTATGGGAGAGTATTATTCCCTTAGGTGGATACTCCTCCATACGTAGTTTCAAGGATGCGTCCAAGGATGTATTAGGTATAGCCTTAAATATACTTGATCCAACCCACGACGAATGGCGGCAACGGTGGTCAACTGCTGCTTGGGAGCATTCAGTTTGCGCCAGATCAAACGGCGCTCGGAATCGGTGAACTTGAACTCGTTGTCCGTTAACCCCTTGTAGATTGTGAACGGCAGAGCCGGGACGGGCTGGCCGCCGAGAGACGACATCTTCCCCTTCGTGAATGGGTGATCGAATTTGTATTTGAGAAGATTTTTTAGTTGTTGAACAAAATTAAAAGTGGAACACTTGTTCCTACTATCTACTGATTATCTGAATGTGTTGAATCTAGTACTACTTCTCGTCAATTTATTTGTCTTGATATAATTCTACGCAATATGAACAATATTCAATCAGTATTAAATTACTCAATATCTTGGTTTCATTACGACACCTCAGTAAACACTTCAGTAAACACGCTCAATGAAGGGTTGTTGCAAAAAGAGGCAGGGGAAAACAAACGAAGGCTTGTTAATCCACAACCACTGAACGATTTCAAACTCAATGAAAGGTGGAAGGTGGACGCTGGTTGGCAACCAAGAACTGCTACTGAGCAGGAACTAAGATACCGATGCTACACACCTACACTGACACACGGGTCTCTTCCAACAGATAGGTCTGCTTTCGACCAATAAATCAACTCGTCAAAAATCCACAAGATGTTGTATGTTCTTAGACCTGACCGACAAGATGAAACGTCTCATATCTACTCTCAGGGTCATGGTTTTGGATCTTTCATTTTTCTTGGGATCTTGTTAGTGGGATCTTGTTTGATTTTTGGATTGTTTAGATTTCAGGATTTGGATCGTTTTTTTTCCTTGGATCATTTCTTGAGGACACCGACATAAAATCTATTTCTCTCACAGCACTCAAACAGATGAAATTTTCTCTCGACAGAAGAGCTCGTCAGTAGATAGAAGGAGCATTTTTCGCTGGATGAAAAGCGTATCAATCGAACACTTTTTGCAATCTTTCATACGATCACGACACCACACTGATGCATCGAAATTCAGATCAAGTTGTAAGTTCTCTTTACTTGAAGGGACCTGACTCTCGGTCATTCGCTCATTTTTCCAACATTTTTTCCAAAGCAAATGCTATAGTTCTTAGTTTCAACAGGAGTAACAGCACCTGTATCCAAGTCCAACACGCATTAACTACACATATTAGGTATACAAGAACGAGCCCGTACGGTATAAAGCCGAACCAAAAAAACTCGATGACAGTTTTGATGTTTTTATTGCATGTTTGTTGTGTGATGTGATGGATTTCTTAGTATGAAATTGGATTCCTAAAAACCCATGCAAGTAAGTCAAATGGTCTTCTTAACGTCTTATGTCATGTGGTCGTGATGATGCTGATGGAAATGGAAGCTCTACTCTTAAATCGTAGCAGGAGTAGCTCTGTAACATAATTTCTGTACAAATAGTACACGACCCAGCCGCGTGCTGCATCATGTCTCCTACCTTCTGTGCAAAAAATCATTTACTTCGGAGGCTTCCACGTAGGGTCGTCGCGCTTTGTCATCGGGAAAACCTCCTTCTTCAGCCAGTACCTTGGAAAGAGATGAACAAAATGTTGCAAATGCATCTTCTGGGTTGTTGTACTATTGAATGGTTCTGGTATTTGGTAACCTGAATTTGATCCTAAGGGAAAACAAGAAGAGAACCCTTAGGATCAAATTCAGGTTACCAAATACCAGAACCATACAACTATCTTACAAGTTACTGATGAATTATCAACATCTTCGAGCAGCAGTACCTCTGATCCCTTTTACTCCTATCGTTCCATTTCTCACAGGCACAGAGCTTTTCCAGGTTTTGCCGCAATCGATTCCCGTTCAATTTCAATCTATGAATCTGGGATGGCGTTAGTTGCTTATTCTCCTTCAAGATGACGTCGTTCACCAGAGCCGACATCCTCTCGGCACCCTTGTCAACACAGGCTTTGCGAATCTGCATTGTTATCAAAATGGTGGGAGTCAAATATGGGTCCTCTGGGATGGGGATATATGCGAAGAGGAGGTGGAATCGACGACAAAATTCAATTTGAATTTCAACATTGAAATTAGTGACCAATTCTCGTCAAAGGAACATCTGTAGTAAATCCAGTTACCTCCATATCCTCATTCGCCGTGATATTTGCGACAGCTTCTACGACTGTGAGCAAAATTTCCGTCTCCTCCGGCCTTTCCAATGCCGGTTTCGAGTGCGTCAGTGTCAATGCGAACAACACGTCGAGAACGCCTTCGCGGACTAGTTGCTGCGTTGAGAAAGATGAGGAGGGGTAGGGGACGACATGTTAGGCGAGAGCGAGCAATTGCAGTAGCAGTTGATACATAGTTAACAAATGGGTCGCCGAAATTGAGGTCAAGTAAACCTCAGTAAGTGATGTGGAACAAAGACGAAGTAAGTTTCCACTTCTAGTCCTCCGATGAAAATTGTATTAAAGTACCGCATGACAGCTTTGTTGTGCTGTGAATCCTCCTAGAAGGTTGCAGGCCTCGCGACATACAGCCGGATTCCACATATACCTCGTCAGACATGTCATCACATAGAGGAGACCCTCTGCTTCAATGAATCGGTGCTGGAGCGTCTCGGTTCGAGCTATGAACCTAGATGAGAAGGTTAGGTACAACAGCTGTATCTTCATGACTTTAAATCGCTATTGTACAAGAATGAAGGTGGACAAAGGGTTGATCTACGTGTGGGTCACCAAAGTGGTAAACAACGACAAGACATTGTGAGTCAAGCGTCCAACATCAGCATCAACACTATGTCAGAGTCCCTAGTACTAGTACCTGAACTTCTTCAAGGCAGCAGTGACCACTCTAGGATCCAAGCTCGTAGCGATAACCTGCAAATCCTTTGTGTCCACGTCTATGTTGCCCTCTTTGGGCTTCAAATCTGTAGGGATCGGCGACATCTTGTGGTCGCCTTTTTGTAGAGGTTGCTGTAGTTCTCTACAACTTCTACTCTGGTAAAGAATTCGCTACTTTCAACATCTTCTCATGATCTGCTATGGTAGTTGTTGTACTATTAGTGGAAGGTGGCTGTAGCTTTTTGTTCCTGATTATAGATACACTACTTGGAAGTGGAATGTTGATAACTGCTCAGCTGTTGCGATGGTGTCTGAAATGCTAAAAACATCAGCGGCGGTGTTGCTATTACCTCTACTCACTAAAGGACGTCAGCTATTTTAATTGTGGGGCGTTGGGAACGGGGACAAGATAACGTCAGAAGGCACTAAGATAGCGGTCTAGGGCTGGATCTCGATACTTTGACAGAGACAGATGAGGCAGGACCGAGATAATCTTCAAGAACCGACTTTTTACCGAGACAGATCAAAAATGAACCGAATTTTTCGAGGAAGGATGTCCGCCTCACGAGCAGCTTCTCTTGAACACGGCAGGAAGAATTTATGAACGTTTAACAACGCCCTCCGGGGACTAAAAGATTCTACCACATGTAATTGCCTTTTGATAGACAATAGCTTCCCAGTTGTGATACGAATGCTTACCGTACTTACAACATGCCAAATATCATGATCCGCATATTTCCCGCAATAGAGCGTGATCTTGCAAACGATTTTGACAGACAAGAACGCGGTTAACGTCAGGCGTATCGATAAGTCTCAGAGTCAAGTGCTCCGGGAAGGGTATTTTGAAGCTACACAGGAGACCGATCAAGGCTCTTCGTATTATCAGGTTGGGGCATGTGGGGTTGTCAGAAGATGTCGTTGTCCTTGCGGAGTCAAACCCATCTACTTCAAGCAACGAGTATGCCGTAGCACTGTGGAAATTTTCATGATCCGGAGTCATCTGATGATGTGCTGCGTCTTCATCAAGAGCTCTCGTGGCATCCCCTGAAGAGCCATTACCCTGCTCTCCGCCCATAGACGAAGCTGCACGCCTCACTTGTAATTGATCGAGTGCCCAAGCTGCTAAGCTATGTAGAAAAGGCAACATGGCGGCAGGTACTGGTGACGAGGATGAAACCGTGCTTCCACCTTCTGTTACTGTTCCAGCCGTTTGCGCTTGACGTCCCACAAAAACCGCGAGAGCCCCTAATGCAGTTGCATAAAAGTGCTCATCTTCTAGCACCTCCTGCTCAAAATGACTGTCCCCACTACTATCTGATGAGAGCTTTGTCCACACATACTCCGCATGTGCACGTGTCTGTAACAAATTCCCAAATGTCACTGCTGGAAAATCTTCAAAGAGCAGTGCCGTGGAGCTAGATGAAGACAACTTGTAGTCAGGTCCTCCACCTCCTGTTCCACCACCAGAGAGGACATACGAAGGCGCCGAGTGTGATACTAGCCTTGCGACTGCGTCAATGATCAACTTTTCTTCAGCTCGTATACTGCATGGGTCAACATCAGGATCAGCTGACGACGATGATCCTGGTAGAAAAGCGTCACCCGGTTCCACGTCATTCTCTTCATTCTGTAGCAAAAACTTGGGCAAAGCCTTGAGGACCTGTCGTCGCAACCGTAGTCGCTTCCTTGTCAAATGTTCCCTTTTTCGCTCTTTCTCCAAAGCCAGAGCTTGCTCGTAGGCTCGAGCAGCCGCTGCACTAGGGTGAGACAGCCTCCCTTCCCTCACATTCTTCTCCTCTTCTCTTAGCCACTGCAACAGCAAAGCAGCGCGCTTCTTCTCGGATTTTGTTTTCTTTTGAGTGCCACTGGTCACGCCCTCATTCGTCCTACTTCGAGACCGCCTTTGCGACTTCTTCGGTAGAGGAGCACCAGCACGAGAAGCAGGTACAAACACCGACGCCGACCCCCGTTCTTGGTTCATCCCATCTTCCAAAAAACCGTCAAGGCTAACAAAAGCAGGGTCCTCCAAACGTTCATCTCCTGAGGAACCATCGGGCATCGTAAATGCGTCGTTGCCAAGTAGAGAAGCATATGGGTTATTGGCTAAAACGACGTAATCATCGTCGTCGTCTTCTGAGGAGGATGATGTTGAAGTAGTACAAGAGCAGCCTGACGAGGAACTGCTATTGTAAGAGGTAGAAGAAAGAGAACGCTTCTTCTTGGTCCCAGCAGCACCTGAAGGAGATTGAGATTCTTCGAGTCTCTTTAGTATCTCATCGACACTTGGCCCAGCACTTTCCTCCTCGACCCGGTCTCTTTTATCTCTGTTTAGAGTCTGCTAGATTGTATCTACTTGGTCCCCTCATGATCTCGAGCTCGACCCCTTTATTGTTCCCTTTGTAATATATATTCATGAAAAGAATACAGGGGAACAAAAGGGGACCAAGATGCCGAGAAAGATGGACCACACTAAATGTTGACCATAATCTGTCCTCCTTTCCAGAACCAGTCTGATCCACCTTGTGTTCGTTATCCTCATCAATAGACACATCGTGATCCACCAGCAAAATCTGCGATAGCAGACCCTCATGAAACAGGCGCTCCGAAGTCAGGCCCTCAACTATGTCTTCGATGTAAGGCGTCTCGAATTGCAACGTCTTGCCAATGTCTGCGCCTCGCTCAGTCAAGTACCGCAGTGCTGCCCCAAGTCTGGCCGTATTGTTGCGCAAAGCATTTTTCTGTTGCTCGACTCGACGCTTCGTTCGTGACAAGTGCTGGCCTTGTTCAGTGCCTCCTGCTGGAGCATTTTTGTGGTTCGACTGAGTGGTGGAGGCACTAGTACTATTTTTACCAAGCGGGAGCACCATATTACAAGTGCCGACTTCCCATGGGTCTTCCTCCTCGCAGCTGTCTTCATTCTCTTCACCTTCTGAAGCAGGGTCAGCGAGATCGTTGACTACGCTATTTGAGGACTCCGCTGAAGATACCGACGATAACTGCAGCAGTTGGCCCCCGCCATCAGTTGAGGTGCTACCATTTTCAACACCGAAACTCGATGCAGAGGACAGCTGCACTGGAGCATGTTGGAGATGAGTCGGGGTCGAAGAGGCTGTCTGTTTCATCTTGTTTCTCTTTCCTCCTCCTTTTCTGGAAGACCCCTTGCTCGTCATGCCTCCCCCAGTGAGTCCTGCATGCTGATACGCCTGAGCAGCGACAACTTTGTCTTTGTGGTGCTTCGTTGCATTTTTTCCCAAAGTGCTGGACTGAGATGCCACTGCGCGGGCTGCAACGTTAGTCATTCCATTCTGGACAATAACTGACGTTGAAACACCTGCACTGATAGGAGGATTTTGTTTCGTCTGAAGGTTTCCTTTATTACGGCTACGTCGACCATTCATCTGCGTTTTATGCACCTTCACAGCTGCTCCAGTGCTCACGACCTGACCAGGATTCTTCAACTCCTTCTTCCTTTGGGCGTACATATCCAACAATGCTTTCAACACCAAATCCATGTCCTCTACTGCGCGAATCTGTTCTCGGAATAGCTCAGATTCAGGCTGCATCGCATCTACATGGCCGTACAGCCCACGTACTAGGGCACTCGCTAGTGCTTCAACCTTGGCCTGTGAGGAAGCTTCGTGCCAGTTCCTCGGTAGCTGTGCTAGGTCTTCGCTAGCACTCTTGACCGAAGCTAGTAGAGCGGCATCAAGCCTGGGGCCTGTGAGATGCTCGCGGAGGGCTGTTAAGGATATCGGAAAGCGGAGGCAAATTATCGAACTCGCTATTGTGGGCAAAGTCTCATCCGGTACTGAACTCGTCTTGTCTACCACGCTCGCTTCCTCAGGTCGTTCTTGGTCATCCACTCGAACGTCAGATGCACAGCTGCTCTCCTCAGGCGAAGCATTCTCCCGTTCGCAAGAAGTTGCTGCATCTCCCTGCTTCATCGTCCCTTTCATGTTCATCACAGTTTTTATCTTATCTAGCAGCGCACTAGATGGTAACACACGTCGTCTTTCCTCCGGTCCTTTGAGTAACATGCGTTTTTTATCCATTAAAGCTCCGATATGCAGCAACTCCTCGCGAGCATACCTTGCTAGTGTACCCTTCTCTTTTTCCCCGAGGCTACCAAGGAAGGCTTCCACTAAAAGTGACTTTTCCTCTAGCTGCTTATAGGCGAGCGGGAGTTGTTGACCGCGTGCTCGTCTTGTTTTGGAAGGAGGAGATGCTTGCTGCTCTGGTTGTAAAGGTTGGGGCCCATTACCTTCTTCCTGTTGAGCTTCTTGCGCAAAGCCCGCCTGTTGTTCCACGCCGTTGACGCTAACATCGCCTTGCTTCCCGTCGGCACCAACATCGCCTTCGCCTTCTTTGTCGTCCGTTGATTCTAAGAACCAAACCACCTCCATTTTTGGCCATTTCGATGGACGACGAGACACGATCGGGTCTCTTTCCTCTGCATCCTCCAAAGTCTTAACCTTGCTTGAATGCTCGACGTAAGAGATCGCCTTGTCTCGTCTAGACTGTTCAGTCTCAGCCTCTTCGAAAAGGCTTAAAAGAAAGCGTGCACGCCGTTCGCGGGTACCAAGAGTCGGAGTAGCAGTAGGTGCAACTACAACCTTGGGAGCTGGGCCTGCGCCTAGGGCTGGGCCCGTTCTAGTTGGAGGTTCCTCTGGCATAGTGATTGCCATCGTGTTTGTCATAGATACAAAGTCTTGGTCGCCGAAAAATGAACTACAAAGAACTTCTGAAGATGATACAAGAACTGCGACTATAATGTCCGAAGTTTGTTCTTTCCAACACCAAAAAAGAAGCAGAACCAAAACGCTATAACGAAACAACAGCAAGAACAAGTCAAAACCTTCAAAATTTTACTCCACTCTAGTTGCCCGCTACCCGCTGTTCAAGTTTATTTCCCAAGTACGTAGACAGGTCTCAAAGATGAAGTCTAAACGAGAAGCTTTCTTGCATCTTCGTACCCAGGATCGTGACAGATCTTCAAGATGATCCTTCGTGCTGCGATGTCGGTGCGTCTTTCTTTATGTGCGCAAGAAGATATCGTGATCTTCTGTCAGTCTCTAGTACGTAATGACGATCTTTTGCTGGTGTACAGATCTTCATATGATGAACCACAACGGCGGGGTAAATTTTTTGCTCCTCCGAACTCCAATGTTGAACACTTCTCCCCTTTCTCGAGACTTTTTCGCGCATAGCACAAGAAGTGCCTCTACTGCCTCTTCACGGTTCTCAAAACATCAAACTTTCATGATCTGGTGCGTGGTCAGTGAATTCAAAACAACGAATACATCATCAGGGCATAGTTTATTAGAGGACGATATTTGGAGGGGAATCCAAAAACAGTTAGTACCAAGAACAGTGTTCATCACAAGAGATTGTCTTCTCCCAACTTCAACACTGCTAGTTGTTCGTAATACCGGTTCTCGCGATTAGTCTCTAACAAGTTTGAAAAGTGGATTTCTCGAACATCCACTTCCCCAAAGTCGAAGCCAGTTTGGAGTTCTGTTGAAGAGCCTCCTCCTGTAGCCGTACTAGTTGTTCCCGCAAAAGCGTCCAACAATGGCTTTGCGTTTAAATATCTTCCTTGTTCTTGATCCTCTAACGCTTTCTCAGCCGACCATTCTCCCTTGCGCTCCATGTACTGGGCATAGAACTTGGTATTCACCAACGTGCAGTGGATCTTGATCTCCGGATCCCCTGCGCTGGACAACAGCCGTTGCTGCATTAGGTAATCTCTCGTGACCACGTCAGCACGAACCAAAGCATCAAAGAGCACGCCTGCAATCCGATTGACGGCGTTTCTCGTTTCCTCTCGGATGTCTTCGGTATAGAGAACATTCACCTGCCTGGGGTCGTCATTCATGTAGTGCAAGCCCCTCAAGCGCATGCGGAAGCCCTGGCAATACTGCAGAAAGTCCGCGTCCTGCGAGAGTTCGACACAGATCTGCTTCACTTTTTGAATTTGCTCTTCTGTGTGCAGCTTCAGCATGATCAAGGTGAAATGCAACTTTTCTGGCTTCTGAAAATAATGTGAGTTCAACTCCAACGCTTGCTTGCTGTCTAAGAACTTTTGGAAGCGTTCGACGGGGGATGAGGCTGGGGGGATCTTGGACGACGCAGTTCCTCCCGATGTTGAAGATGAAGAAGATGATGAACCACCAAGAACAGCACCACGACTACCCACAGCTACACCATTACCAGCCGCATTAGTCCCAGCACTAGCGTTTTTCCCAACAGCTATTGGAATGTTGATGAAGTGCGTATTCGGAATCTTGCTCTCGCACGTCTCCATGGTGTATTCGATCAGTCCTACAGCGGACAAAATCGTCCTCTTGTCTCGAGCGCGGATCGTCACGACGTCTTGTGCTTCCAGTGCCTGCAAATCCTTGCGCACTGTGTTACTCACTGCTGCGGCCGCCGCCAAGCTGTTTGAGCCCATCCCCGCACCGCTCGAACTGGGAATCCGAATTTCGGCGCCTGACTCTTGCTGCAACCGCGTCAAGGTCTTCCTATTGCTGCCGATCAGAAACTTGTAGTACACTGGTGGCACAGGCAGCCTGTATTCGAAACGATCTACATCTGGTAAAAATTCCCATCTTCCATCATGCTCTGCGCCAAAGTCGATGTCTGCATCGTCGTCTAGGGACCGAGCAAGTCTGAATCCTCCTCCGTTTCCACCTCCTCCTCCTCCGTTTCCACCAGCAGAGTCACCTCCACCTTCCGCCATCAATTTTCTCCCTGCTCGTTGCATCTTCTCATCGTAGATGTCGAAGACACCAGGTGGCCGTTTTACACTCCGATAGGTGACGCCACGAGCCCAAGGGGGTTTCACGAGGACCCACTCAGGATCATCCACCTCGTCCTGAAGTTGAGTGGTAAAACCGATGCCGCCGGAGGAAGACATGTTGAATGCTCTTGCTGATTGTCAGTATCTTTATCTATACCTTGCTCCTTGCTGCTGAAGAATCGATGACGATGAATAAAGTTATACCTACTAGTACTAAGCTTTTTCTCGATGCGCTACAAGTCTTTATTGTTGAATGAAAGATGTTGCTCTACCTAGTACAAGTAGAGCGAAAAAAATCAACAAAAACCTGCTACATACAATTACAAGTCCTCGAAACAAAGGCAATAATACATGTGGCGCTTCTTACCATCATATTCATACTTAAAAATTCGTCTAATATCTCTATGTACTTACATCGACTGATCACAAGATGCATTGATCTCAGCTGCATTGGGCGGATGTGTTCCTTCGTGGTTTTGATTCGTCAACATCTTCAACAGTATAAAGATATTTATTACGTAGTTCTCCTTGTTCTTTGCAGATGTTGAGAAAATTGTCTGATGAACAGGACCACTGTGCAATGAATGCACAAGGAGAGTTGGGTAACAGCCTGCCATATCAGTATGGAAGAGGACGAGAGTCATTTGATCGGGACAAGGGAGGCTGAAAATTGAATATTTTTTTATTCAACTACAGTTGGAGCAGGTGGTACTACTTTGACTGATAAAAATTATCACATCAGGCTTTTTGTTTTTCAGCGACCACACACATTGTTGGTTATAATGTGGAGGTCGTTATCTTCGTTATGCGATCACCACCTCAAGATGAATGTTGAAGATCTTTTTCATATACGCAGAAATAGTATCGACATGTTGCACAATTTTTCATGCAGGTCGGAATATGAACAAGAAGGGGTCAAGACGTTCGTTGGGGTAGAAGTTTTGAATGAAAAAATGACTTTAGAAGTTCTAAAGGTGGTCATCTTCGAAATTCATCTGGAGTTTTAATTTCAGCTATTGCATCATGTGGGTCAGAGTCGTCGAAGTCGCTGAAATAAATTGAATGAGCCTAGCACTCAAATTGAGAGGTGGTCGTCGCAATATTAAATATTATGTGGTGTTATGATATAAGTCATTAATTGAAAAGTCAGGATTGAGAAAGAGCACCTTGCTCCACCAGCTTCTTATATATCAGATGCATCTTCTTGTGTCGCCTTCAGGATAAGAAGTGGAAGTGCTCCTCTAGTTTTAGGCATCTTCACACCACTTGTTCTCCTCTCGGACTTGGGCCTCCTCTTCCGGAGTGAAATCGTTGGCAATATTGAACTGCTGGCGGATTTCTTCCGGTGTCTTTCCCTTGATCAGGGACGCCACCTTAGCGCAGGTGAGATCCAGCAGAGACTTGATATCGAGGTAGTTCGCGGCAGGGATTAGAAAAAGGCCAAAACAGGTTTGGGGGGGTATATTTGTTGCAGAGGGATGGACGCAGCACATACTTCTTTGAGTAAGGCTAAGTAGACTTTTCAGGAGTGACTGCATCAAAAGTAGAAGAAGCGAAAGTAAAAACTGAGGATGTAAAGTCATTTTTCACGTTCAACAGCCAGGTAGTTTTTAGTAGAGATCATACAACAAGTAGAAATGTTCATCAAGCGGATGCTCAAATTCATATCCCCATAAAAGAATCAACTCGAACAGGGTTTCTTGTTCGATGTGAACGAAGTTCGAGTCCCACTCTGACACACCGCATTCGGTGAGGGTTTGACTCTTCAGGGGCTTCTGGATCTCTTCCGGCTGCTCCTCACGATGATGCTTGCAGTAGTCGATGACCTGGTTAGATACAATTTCGAAAAAAATGCACAACGATACGTAATCATAATGCTGATACCAATTTGTTCCTGAAAGCAAGAATTGTAATTGTACTGTTCGTTGTGTCCTCTGGCTCTACTGCTATCGGAAATAGATGAGTGTACATCCGTATCAAGCACCACCACACGACTAGAGCTACCATGGAGAAGTAGAAGAGCTGAGGGTGAGGCTGATCGCAAATAACATTAAAACTGTAATAGTTGCACTAGTACTTACTTGTAGTTGTGAGTGCTTCAACTTCTTCTAGTGCTGCCAGTAGTTAGCAATAGCAAACGGAAAGTACCTTCTGAAGAATTGGCGTCTTCACATTGGGAAGCGGGATTTCCTCGTCACTCGCGCAGTCGTCAATCATGGTTCGGAGCAGTTGGGACATCAATGCCACTTCTTTTTCGACGACGAAAACATCGTTCTGAGAACTCTTCAGCTTGACGAAGTCAGACATTTTTTTTGTTCTTGATGTTGAATTTCTCTACAGTGTTGATAGAGATAGACTCTAAGCATCTATTTCTGATTCTGAAAGCAGCGTGCTTACCAGAAGAATCCTTCTCTATTTTTGATGTTGTTTCGTAGATGCGCTTTGGTTTCGTCGTTGAATGTGAGCTGTGGTCTAGTACGTGTACGTTGTTGCTGGAGCATAATTATTAAGTACAACTAGGTCGAGGCTAATCCAATCATTGAATGTTGACATTTTTAGCGTGTATTTAAACAGTCAAAAACAAAGTGAGGACGTTCATCTTGCAATTTTATGCGGGTACAGGCGACTTCCGTCCGTCAACAACGAGTATATGCGAATCAAAGTTCATCTCTACGACATCACTACTCCTTTCTTCGGCAAGTGCTCATCGGTGCAAACGACGAAGCCGAGAATCAAAATTAACTGAAAATCGACATCAAGAAGAGAGAGGTCTGCGTTGTTATTTGCCTCACCATAATGTCGTGAGGAAGCATCTATAAGAGTTCATCGTCAAATTGTAGTAAGCAGTGATTCAGTTTTTCCTCAAGAGCATCATGCATGGATTTCCGTATTTGCAGAGCAGAATAATTCTTAGACGAGGACATTGCAATTGTTGTTGAGCAATCATGTCCACGTCTTCTGCTCAGCGAACATGTTATTGGACAGATGAACACACGACATGAGTATTTCCAGCAAATTGAATGATTCATGTCACCATCCGAGGATATCATTCATCGTCATCGTTGTATCGCCAGAAATTATTCCCATTGCTTCCGACCTCCTTCAGATCCATTTTGTTTCTAACTTCTGTGTCCTCCACAAAAATTCAACTTGCTGTTGTCCTGCTTAGAAGTGCTTTCTCATGCAAGTAATATCATCCAAGCAATTGCTACATAGAACAGCCAAACAGGATAGACGCCCAGGGCCTTCCGGTCCTCGGGAACGGTGTCAGACATAAAACCGACGGAAGCCCCTGTTGACCAAATGAAACCCACGAGGACGAATATTACCTGAAAGTTGTGATCGATTGAGGGACGAATGAAAGTCATGTCTACGGACACAGTTAAGAGATGAAATGACGGAGCAGCCGAATGGAGGCTCATGTGAAGACTCCATCTCCTTCCAGAAGAACAAGAAAGCACTATATAAATATATTAGTCTTCACAAAATTTTGCGCAAGTGTTTGTACCTTAAACAGCTTGTAGCTAATAAGCGCAGAAGCGAAAGCAGCAAGGACTAGTGGGAAAATGCAGTAACCAAGAACGCACACACTCTGGAAGAAACTTATCTTGCCCTTTAGCAGCACTGTGTTCAGCGTAACTACTCCGGATCCGGCCCTGGTGTAGAGGTAATGAGTGCGATATATTTTGGTTGTCTCATTGATGTAGGCAAAGCTAGTGGACGATGAGCTGCTGCGGCCTGGAAAAAAAGATCATATTTCAGCTATGTCACAGACACAGCGCGACATCGTTTTATCAATTGATTTAGGACTTCGACTTCTAAAAAAGGTAATAAAGTGAGCCTAATTTAGAAATACCATACGAGAATGAACACTAAAGCGAAAGCTTTCCCTGCTTGGTCTTTATGAGCTTGGCTTGCTAATATCGTTGAGAGTCCTAGACAAAGGAACAATGGTCCCCACAGGTCCCATTTCCTTAGCCCTGCGCCCTGCCGAAGAGTGGTTGATGGATAACATTTTTTCATAGTGTAGGCTATTGGATGAAGTTGATGCACCTTGTATTTGTGTACTACGAAATGTCAGAAAAAATTACTTTTACCTACACGACACCAACACTCAGGGTGATGCTTATCTAATTCATTTCATATACAACGACCTAAGAGTAGGTAAGTACCTTATCCACCCTCGCCTGTGGCATGAGGACGTATTTAAGCTTCTCCCCTATCGCGTTCAAGTCGCGTTTTATTGTGTCTATTACTGGTTCGTCCAAGGTGTTCATTGAGACTGACCTCTCATCCATCTGCCCTAAAGGCGTCATGTGACTTGATGAGGAAGCCATTTTTTTTGCGGACGATGGGTGTTCGTTGTGGTGCTGATGTTGTGGGAGACACAGATGAAGGGGCCGTCGCGGATTTCTACTGAGAGTACAAAATGTTGAGCTTGAGCTGGTGTTGTAGCGAAAGTGATCGAGCAAGCAAAGAAGCCCTCAAAGCCCTCCTTGTACGATGACGACGTGGTCGTGGTCCATAAATTTGTTGCTCATAAAAACCTTCTGCTCCTGCTGGCAGGGTATAATTATCGATACTGTTGCTCGTCTAGTACTAACTCTTCAGGCAGAAACAGTAGCTTGCTAGCTTTCAATTTTAGAAGTTGTTGTTTCACAATGTTGTATGAGCTTTTGCCCTAAATTCAAATTGTAGCCTAACAGATCCGCTCGAATTTCTACAAAGGTGGTACACGTAGTACTAGATATCGATCTCCTTCTATTCAGCATAAAATATGATTAGGCCTGTCCCCGTGTGAGGTAAGAGTTATTGTTATTATATTTTTTCGCAGAAACTCTTGTCGTCATGAAGGCGTTTTCTCGCAGCGCACCATACCTGAGAACAGTTCAAGTTCGTATATCTTGCTGCTGGTGCTGTCATGATAGTGCGACTGCTCCTAGTATGTTTCTTCGTTCTCCGTATAATTCTACTTGGTGCTCTACTCCGTTTTGGGAAAACGTGGTCAAGTCTCATATTAAACGTAGTATTGTCTCGTCGAGGCTTCTACGCTACACGCGCGCTTTCCGATGTTTAAACAGTGTCAGTTCTTAGTGCTTTTGATGTTCTTGTTGTTAGTGATTGTGATTGTGCTTTGTAAAAATGAAACAATTCTTAGCCAATAAATAATTACGCTTTGTCTCGACGAAACAATTTATTTGAGCTACCAATAATCACGCTTATTTGTCTCGACGTCGACGTGCCCTACAACATCTTGTTCTACTTGTTGTTTTCATCGTAGTCGGATACTAATCTAGAAAGAAACTCGCTGCCACTTGTTCATTTCTCTGCCCCATCCTAGAACGAAGAGTCGCAGGAGATGATTCTCAAGTATCGCGTCACCGATTGTGCCATTATCGCTTCCGCGAAAGCCGTGCAATGCTAGAATTTTGTCCGTGTCCGGACTTTCACTGAAGAATTGTAGCTTCTGTGCCATACTCAGTCGACCAAAGTCTTGCTCATCCTGATCTTGTTGTTCTTGATGTCTTTTCAAACACAAGAGCTCACGATCCCACTTGGTCAATCGAGTGGTTCCTGTAGAACCGAGTCCAGCGTTCGAAAACTCGCTATACAGACCGTCCTTCGTTGTCAAGTAGCTATGTTTCACGGCAGCACCTTGCGTCCACTTAAAATGGAACAGCATCACCATACCAGGGTAAGGACGGATGAACGGAATCAGGGAACGAGAACGCCTAGGGAGTTGTTGAAGAAAGTGGAAGTGCAACTGCAGCTGTCAGCATTTTTCGGGGGTGTATGAATTTTCGGACAAAGGTGAAAAATATAGTTAGACGACCAAGCAGCCACCTCTAAGCAACGCTAAAAACTACCGCGGCAAACATAGAGGGCATAGGCGGGCCCCACCTGCTAAAAACAAAGAATCCCGCTCCCACCCGCAAGCAAAGAAACAGAAACCCAACACACCCCACCCCCGGCGACTTCCACCGCTTACCAGGCTGGCCGCCGTCTCCCTCATCATCTCCCAGCACGCAGCATAACAATGTCGACGGCCCTGCTGGTTTTTTCCCCGGCCCTCCCCCCTCCACGAGGGAGCAGGCACGGCGGAAGCTGCAGTCGCTTACAACCCCCTGACCGTAGCAAGAGGTGGCGCACCAACTCAGCAACGAACCAAAACAAAGCCCCACGGCGCAGCCGTTCCTCTCGATCAGTCGTGCCCGCTGCTTGGTTTCGTTCGTTCCGCGACTTGTTGGACCAATTCGTTCATCATGAGAAACAACCAGAAGTACCTGCTTCCCTGCCTCCCTTCTCTTAGTCCTTCTGCTGGCTTTCTAATAGCTGCGGGCCTCGTTGCGTCATAGGGCACGTATGGATTTGTCATCATGTCCATCCATGATGGGACAATCCTGGCTTTGCTTCGTAGCTTTTGCTCAGAAACAGAAGCAGATGAGTTTGCGCTTCTTTTTCTATCATGTTGCTCTTCCACAAAAGCCAATGGGTCATGGTCCTTTGTGCTTTGCAGAGTGACGTTATTGATGTTGCGCCTGATGAGGTCTGTTAGAAGCTTTCGTCCCGGACCTTTCCCTAGCATCGCGGCGGACTGAATATCAGCCCAATTTATTGCGTCTGCGCCTTTCGAAAGATACCGCTCTTCCCAAAAGACATTACGGGCATAGCGATGTTGCGACCAATGACAACGCCAGTCATCTTGAGAGGACGATGACGGTGCTGCGGAAGAACTTTTTCTTCGGACGTTTAATCTCTGAGAACAAAGTGCTGGAGGTAATACATTTCCTTGTTGATCACTTCTAGTAGTTGTACTTGCTTCTTGATCAGTAATTGTAGTTATTTTCCTTTTCCTTCTCTTTCCGCCAATGCCACGATCTGACATGATCCGAGACCCTGCCAAATCGTAAGGACTACTTTCTTCAGAAAAAATCCCCTCCATTCCACGTCTTGGCAATAACAGTGTATGGCCGCCACCTATAGTCGGAGTTGGAATCACAATATACGTCTCTGGTCGTGAAGGTAAATGTTGTCCTAGAAGTCCTTGGAGGTCATCATGTTCTTTGGGCTGCATATCTTCTGTATAATCTTCTGGGAGCGTAGTGTACAAATGGTATCCAGTTTCTGCATAGGCTTTACCAGGTGTTATTCTTTCTACGTATTCTAGGATGTGTTCTCGTCCTTGAGCTGTTCCGCTTCTGCTAACAGCGTCTATTTGCGCTGTGGTCTCCTCACTGCCGTGAACCAGGACATACTTCCACCTCTTTTTACCTGTAGTACTAGAGGATTCCTCTGTTGCGCCAGTCGTTGTAGCACCATCAATTTGTTGATCTTCAGGCTAGACATTAGAACACGAGCTTCGTGGAAGAGTGATAGCGAACCTCATGATGCTGGTAATCATTATCATGATGGAGGAGGTAAGGACGATAATCTTTATGTTTATAATCTCGATCAGGAACAATATCAACATACTCAACATTATCATCTTCTTATCACATACATTAACTCATAACTGAGTTTCTATAACTTAGGCAACGCCTTAACACTCCCTTCTACATTATCCTCTGCGTTTAGCCAGGCTCTCTCCTCTACCCATTGCAGTGGCAAATGCTCTCTGGGAAAGAAGCCTGCCATCATTAAAGGCTGAATCATTTCATTTTTTGGTAGTTGTAATCTCATACTTATTTAAGTAAAGTCTATCTCATAACAAGTATAAAGAAGGCTTGTAAAAATGAAATGCTTCAACCCAGCACCTTAACATTACTTTCCCAAATACGTCGTGTCCGGCTGATCGTAGCGTGCCCTTAAAAAGTATCATCTTCAGTGGATCTGCTGCAATCATCAACAGTTGCAAGGCACAAGTCAAAGGATACTGAGCGAAGAGGGTGTTCTTGGTTCTCTCAACCTGCTGAGGAGACGCTGTGGAAACTTTTGTTGATGAATCACTTATTGATGTTTCAGAGCGGCTCTGCTGGGTAGTACTATACAGTGGCTCCACTTGTTTTTCCAAATTTCCGTCACCAGCAATGCGCTCCACCAACAGCGAGAACATCGCATTCTCCCCATTTATGTCCAGATTATCAACTAAGTCGACGAGTGGAGTTCTTCTGCTACCACCAGATTGTTCTGGAGGTACTACAGGGCCACGACTAGGGCGGGGCACAATCATCCCAGGAAACATGGCTAGTTCATCGCCGTCAGCTTGCAAAATCCAATCTTGAGGTTGTACACCGACAAAATCTAGCAGATAAAATCTCGATGCTGTCATCCGACCCACTGTGTAAGGCGTGTAATCCACGAAGAGATTGTTGGTTACACCCTTCTTCCTCTGGTGTACTTTCGAAAGCGGAATACGCTCTCCTCCCTCTACTACTTGACCTCCGACAGCAACCTCGTCCTCTTCCTCTTCATGCCTACACAACCTCTCTGTAAACTCCAAAACACGCTGTCTGCTCCGCGAAAACAGCAAGATGATGAAATTGGCAGGGTCCATTTCAAGTTGGTTCTGATAGTGGTCTAGCCAATGCCATACTGTTGCGGAGGTGGCGTTCGTAGAGAGGCCCCACCCCGTAAGTGCCCAAATCTTCCTCTCACGAGGCCAAAAACGCTTGCTGTGGTCTTCTTCAGTGGAAGAAGAATCTTGTTGATAGGAAGTGCTACACCGTGACAGTACTCGTCGAGGAGGGTTGACCAATTCGTCTTCGTCGTTTGCGTCTTCGTTCTTAGACGCATGATGTGCTAAACGTGGTGGCGAAGGGTCATCTTCGTTCTTAGACGCATGTGCTAAACGTGGTGGAGGGACGACCGTTCTTCTTCTGGTGCCCGTGCCATGATCACTCCTAATTGGAATAGGAATTCCCCTTGTGGTCGCTGCTCCTGCTGCGTCAGCGAAAAAGAATTGCAGCAAGCAGACCAGGAAACTAGCGGAGCAGGCTAGACCTGTCGTTTCCCTCAACCAGGAGGCTCTTCCTCTTCGTCGGTCGACAGAGTCCTCAAAGGCCTGTGGTGGTCCAGCATCTTCGTGTGTTCGCTGCTTGATGTTGCATAGATTTCTCCTGCAACTTCCCAAAAAGCAAAAACACGTTGACCTTGAAGCACCGGCATGATGTGTTCGTTCACTTTTCATCAAACACGGTCCATGATCTAGCACATCCCCTTGTTTTGAGGACTCTAACCCGAAGTTCATTACGGCGCGCGCGGTCGCGCATCCTGCTAAGGCTCACTCATTTCTAAGACAAAGAGCTCTGAATTGGTCGTGTTGATTCATCATTTGTATGTTGTACTAGATCAAGACCTTTCACATTGTACAGTACGATTGAATTTCCCATTCCCTCGAACACGCAAAAATGCTGAAGACAACATGCACGGCGGTCTCGGTCGTTACATCCTCCGTTCAAGTTGTTTCGTGCCTCCGTTAAAGTAGTTTCGTGCCTCCGTTCAAGTTGTTTCGTGCTAAGTGGCACCCTTGTATTCCATCCACCACATGATCGGTTCTGAAAGTCAAAAAAAAAACACCTCTACCTTATCTATTAGCACCTTTCAGTTTACGATCAGTATTCAGTCCTATTCACCGCCAACGCTAGATTCCCCGCCGCAGTGCGATAGTAGGTCGTTTCTTCTTCTTCGTCTTCGGTGATATTTTCATAGACGTCGTAACTTCGATACATCGGATTATAGGCTTTCACCGCAATAGGGTTCTTGAAAACCCTCTTTTTGGTGTACGGGTTCATCCAAAATCGACGTCCTGCACTCGTCAGATGCTCTGTCCAGATGTTCTCGTTGGGGTCGGGGCCGGGAGTTAGACCAGTAGACTCAATGAAATTCGAGATTTGATTTTGATGTTCTTGTTCATCTTGCTATATTAACACTTAAAGTTAAACTACTCTATTTAAATTCATTCATTCATTCATTCATTACTCGCACAAGATCTGCGTCGGCTCCAACGAGTGGGCTGATTCATTGGTTATTTTATCAATGCCTTAGAGAGCAATAAGTGGCACACGAGAGACACAGAAATGGAGCAGAGATAGGTAGATTAGATATTGCTCCACCATAATATCGGTTTCTTCAACGAGATCTTTCTTGTTATCAAGTTTCTCCATCGTTTTCGGCCTCGCGCGTCCTCCTCTTGCACCCAGTTCTCACGCACAACAGGTATTCGGGATTGAGATGGTCGCGTTTTAGTTTTCTCTTTGGTATGTTAGAGGAATGAAAAAGGAGATGTCTTAAGAATATTGATATGCTTGTAGTTGCAGGGTGATCGTGATGCATCTTCTACCTCCAGCACACAAACCACGACAGCCATAAGTATACTTGTTCTCCCAATAATCCACTACCATTTTCTTCTTCTTTTTGTCTCGTTTGTACTTCGTAGTCCAATCCTTGGCAGCTGGCAGTCTGCGTTCTAGGGATAGATGTCCTGACTCGAACATCGCTTGACTAGTCACTGGATCCTGCAAATAAAAAATCCAGACTTTCCAGCTCCCGATAGCGTGGTCGGAGGGGTATGAACGGTGCTGCGAGGTCAATCAGTTGGACAAGTGGTAGTTGAGTAGCAATTCTTGGAAGGGGAGATGCCACTGCAATGGACGAGGAGGATGAACTGCAACTTCTGGGAGGTCTTCAATTTCATCTTGCTGCTTATCTTTATCTATTTGTAGTAGTACTTGCCCACTAGAAGGCACCAGCCTAGTTCATCTCGTTGAATTCTTCTAGCACTAGCTCTACACCTATTTCTTGTCATGTCATGGTGCCTCTTTTGAAACTTGAAGCAATCTGCAAGTCTTATTTACTAATAGTACTCTAGAAATACATAGTACTTATTTATACATGCATCAGACATAAAGTCAAAGTCCCTGGTGTCGGTTTGTTTTCCTGTTGGGCTTTCCGCTTCTCGCGGTCCCACTGGAAGAGCAGATGCAGGTACTCCTCAGCGTCTTTTCGTCGGGAGAATCCTTTGATTAGATCATGACGAAGAATGACAAGACCACCTACGGGTGGAACAAAAATAACATAATTAACATAGATACTTATCTTAACATGAATCCTGGACCGCGTTGGTGATAATGGCTCACAGGAAACTTGTCCTCTTGTCCGCTAGGATCAAAGATCACACTGTCCCAACACTCACCAACGCATTTTAGATACCTGATGTGGAAACCTTAAGTTCAAAGAAAGAGTGTTTCCGTTGGCCACGACGACCTAGCACGACCAGCTTACTTCTAGAAGATTCTCATGTAACCAACCAAAGAGGCCGTCGAGGACAACTACGCACAAGAACACCGTGCACATGATAAGAACTTATAACTGCACGAAGACAAACATACATGAACCATGTAAGTACCACAAAACCGTTCTCTTCCCCACGCTTGTGGACTCTTTCTCCTTGAAGGAATCGAGCGGCTCGTCTGATATAATCGACAAAAAAGTTGTCATGTAGTGCTTGCTGTGGACTGAGAGGCAGGTGGCATAAATAGCAGCAATCGCTACCTCCAAACTCACGGGACAATCGTAAGTCACTTCGTTGCCGCTTGTTAGAGCTGACTGTTGATGTCCTAGAGAAGCGGGAAGGAGAAATTGTCCTGCTTCGCAAATAGGTCTAATCACATGGTTTTTTTCTAGTTCGAAGCAGCATTAATATCATGCGTAACTTTCGATAAAACGGTTGCCCGGTTGGGAGAAATCCGATGTTTATGTCCTTCTCTCTCCACAAGGGGTTCAATTCTGGTACGTCTGGCGCTTCCCATCTTACTTCGTCGGAGCTAAGCTAATTTAGAGGTACCATCGTGGAAAGATTCATCTCGAACCTCCTAGTCTCTGTTCTTTAGGGATGAAGAGACAGGGGCTCTAAGATCCATCGATACAACTTCAGATGAATCAAACAGAAGATGACGGATCAGGATAAAAAGGATCAATCTTAACTGAGTGTAGTAACTCGTCAACCCTTCAGCTTCTATTTCTTCAGCTGCTGTGAGCTCGATTTCCTTCCACCCTTGAGGCAGAATCTTCGAACGCATGCGATGCACTTCCACGGAGGAATGAAGCAGTAGAGGAAGAAGGGAGATTGGAACGCATGCGATGCACATGATGCATGAAGCAGTAGAGGAAGGAGGGAGAGTGGAACGCATGCGATGCACATGATGCACTGGGATGAAAATGAAAAGATGTCAGAATAGTAGAGACAGATGCTTGGGGGTTGATCAACTTGTTGATGCAGTGAGAGCGAGGACATCAACGTCGCATACAGGAACAAGTGTGTATCCTATTCGAAAGGAGGACTGAGAACAATGATTCCCAGTTTCTTTTCGTGCAACTACAACAACAGTTCAAGCTGTTGCTTTTTCGTGCAAGACAACTACAGTTCAGTCTACTGTTTCACATCAGTCTCAACATAATCAAAGTACCGCAGCAACTGCAGCTTGCGATGGATTTTGAGGCCCAAACCGCGAAGGAGCCAATCTCTTAGCTGCGGAGAGATTTTGGCAATCGCTTCCACCACATTCTCATCGTAGTGTGAGATTCCGCTCGCCGCCACATGCTTCTCCTGTGCCTCCTGAACTGCAGCAATCAACTGCGATGGGTATGAAGAGGCACAACTACAAGTAATAGCGTAGTGAGATTGGGGAACAAATAAAGCGATTTGCACAGTTCGGGAGCGGGCATGATGGATATGTGCTGTTGACAAAAATTGTGTAGTATCTTCAATTATAGCCATGGATGTTGAACAGAACCGAAACTCGCATTCTAGTCATCATCCTCGTGCTCAACACCTCCAAATCCAATCTATGAGAGATTATTTCTATTATATCTGCATCATCTTCAACATCCCCATAAAAACACAGTATCAGGATCGCTCGTTACGTAAGCGGTATGTAATGGGGGCTCTAGGTTCGCATCTCGCTGCCTCGCAAACTGTCTTCTTAGTTTCCGCTTCTTTTGCTTGGTTTCGGTATCATCATCGCTATTTTCCTCCATCGCAGTCTTTTCCTCTGCCGTCATGTCGGGTAGGGTTAGAAAAGACAAAGAGTATAAATATGTCTACAACATCAACGTATGAAACAGACTCAAAAAGTATAAATATGTCTACAACAACGTATGAGACAGAGACTCAAAAACGTCGACTAGAGTTCGAAATTCCGTTTTTTCAACGAACCATTAACCAAGCCATAACTCCAGTTTCTGTCGGAAGAACTGGACTACCCATGAGATCCCTGCGGTTCCTGCTTCCTTGATCTCATCCAGTGTGAGCACGTCCGCGACGGAGTCAAGAGGTATAGGATGGATGCGCCAGTCGCCGTGGAGGTACTGGCCCATAATATCACCGTAAGCAGACACCTGCGTCTCACTTGGAGGATTAGAATAGTTTTTATTTGTGCAAGGACGTCGACTCATCAACATTTTCAAGGATCCTCATGTGAAAATAACTACAATCAGATGAAAAAATACACACACTGCACGACACCGATCCGATACCGGACGACAAAGCTCCCAATCATAATAACATCCACCTCTGAGAACCATTGCCTTCCCGCCAGCCTGTCGAACTGCCATTTGACCACGTCCATCGCGCCCACTTCTACCTTGTATCGCACGTATAGCCGATCTTCGAGAGAGCCAGAGGCGCGGCCGATTTGGTCTAGCGACTTGAAGAGTCGAGACATCCGCGAAACGTCGAGATGAAATGACACGAGGACAAGAAAAGTGGGGTACTAGTAGAAAAGGAGGCACTACAAGGTGTAGAAGTACTCTTTCATTTCTTGTTGAAGAACAAGCAAGATTTTGCTAATTACAGCGAGGAAAAGACGTCAAGGTCAACACGGGCGGCAAGAACTTGAACGTCTTCATTTAGAAGAAGTTATACAACCATGAAAAATCATATAGATACTTATAGGCTTATCCACCAATCCTAACACAGGACTTGCACCCAACATTAATGCGACCTCGATGCATGCAAAGAAACGCTGCCCTGTGGTGCTTGGAGGCGCTACCCGTTCTCTTAGATCTGGATCGTCGTCGTAGGTGAGAGTCCTCGTATTAGAAGTAGAGTGAAAAATCAGTATGGTGTTTGACATCATTGGTATTGTTCTTGCCCTCTGTTGATCGCCACTGGTCATTCCCAATCTTCCGCCAAAATAAACAAGTCGTGTGCTGCGCCGATCGATGATCGTTAACAAAAAAACAAAGAGTAATATCCTACTTGCATCCAACCATAAATGTCCAAAGTAAAGTCTGATGTGGAATCTTGACTTTACTGGTTTTCGTCGCCTCCCGCTCAATCGCATCAGTTGTCTCACGATACTGGTTGGAGAACCACTCGCCAAGATTATCCATGGTTTTGATTCGTCGTGAGCGCTAAAAGTACAAAGGCAGACGCTTCTTTACACGAGTAGTCGTAGTCCTCTTTCCTTACCCTTTGCTATCGCTACTTTCGAAGTAGAGGGTGGACGGATTTTGAATTTGATCAGAGCAACAACCACAGCCCCCCGCTACAACAATCGAGACTGACTTTTCACATGCAGCAGAACATGCATCACTGACCCCTGCTGCCGTGCTACATATTTGTTTCACAAACAGCAGCTCCTGTCAATGCTTATTTTTCGGCTGCACTGCCAACACTGCAATTGATTTCGTAAAAAAACAGCCTACCTCCCATCATATGGTAAAGTTTAAGCCCATAATTACAGAATGCGCTAAAATGACAATTACTGGATCGAAAGTGTCACTCGCCTCTAGAGGCAACAAGATGACGTCAATCTTTTGGTCCAGCAGTGCCCTCGGAAAATTTTAACGAACTACGCCTGTATTCTCAACCATGCTGTATTTTACCCTTCATCTGTGACTGGTATGGCTATGCCTTGTTGCATCCGCCTCCATTAGTTACCTAGGATTCACTGCGTCCTCTTCCCCCTTATAAACGAGCCTTGTATCGATTCAACGTTGTGAAGGACCCCTCGTTCTTTGTGTTAGTCTTGTTTTTGTCTACCATTATTAAGACTGCAGTCATGGACACACACTCTTTGGTCGTCTCCCGCCAATCGGAAAATATGCCGCCGGAAACGAAAAACTTTCGGCCATCCACTTTATCTATACGGGATCGCAGATAAATCGGGGCCATCTTCGAGCTGCCTTTTTCAGGCTCGGTACTGTTAGTGGTCGAAGAATCACTGGGCTCCTCTTCTCGTATCGGAACGGGTCTTAGGTACTTCAAGTTCAAGGTCCCGGTGACAGATAGACCGAATTGAGCTCTCTTCGTGTTTATGGCATTCATGACATGTCGGTGCGTCTGTGGAGACGTACCACAAAAGGCGTTTGCATTGAAGAGTCCCCTAGGGGATTTCGGGTTCGACGACGACGAGTCGGATTCTGTTCCACCATTGGTACCACCACGACTTTCTTCTTCCCACACTGTATGCGCCACAGCTGCAGTCCAATTCGCCAGGCAATCCAACAAACTAGCACTCAACCCTCCGTACAGGTAGCCAGGCGGACCGCAGTGGTACGGTTGTGGTCTCCAAAACGCCTCTTGAGCAAAGTAGCGTTTGTCTGGCGCGAAGTCGAGTTTGACGTAGTCGGGTATAACGTAAGAGTTCAAGCGAAATCCATGCACATTACCCGGACCGCAACCATAGCATTCGGTTATTGCTGCACCAAAAATGTTCTGCACACTGTTTTTGCTGTCGTGGCAGTCGTTAGCCGGTGCTTGATATCGTTTCTCGCCGCTCGAGGAGGAGGAACTCGAAGGGGTGCTTGTTGTCGAAGAGAAAGCTCGATTTTGATTCGTGAAAGATGCTGTAGGGAAGCTTCCCCGACCGTACGTCGTCCTACTAGGAGTAGACGGCACGCCGGTTCCGCTAGGGCTTGTGCCAGAATGACGGGTGCACCAAGATGTTGGCGTTGCCTCTCTTTGATGTGAAGATACTCCGATCCCGTTCATGTCCGCCATCGATCGGTGTCGTTTCTGCTCCAAGTGGACTCCGTTCCGCGAATATATGTGGTCGATCGTCTTCCGCTGTGGCTGCACGCGAGGTACTCGGCGAAGAAGGAGTAGACGACCCAGAGGAACTCGAGAGGACATTCGTGGAGAGTGATGAAGCTGTCGCATGTGATAAGAGCGATTTCTTGCTCGTTGTTGTCGTACAAGGATTTTCTTCTGCCTTCTCAAGAAAATGATTTCTTACCAATTGAGGCAAAAAACTTCGGAAAAGGTATATCTTCATCCAAACCATAGCTTGGTTACTACAACACTGTACCTAAAACCCAATACAATACTTTATGAAGACTCCCGTTGTTTCTACTTTTAACTCCAAGTCGGTCAGAGGTACTCGTAAAGCTTTCTATGCGTACGTTGAGAGTGTGTCGTGGTAGAATGGGCACAGAGTTTTTCGTAGAACAAGATAGGTGATGAGCACCGTCTTTTCAAATTACTTCTTCTCTCCGTCATGAACCGCATCACTTTTCGTTTACCAAAAGACATCTTCTTCCGACACTTATCCATAGTGCTCTCTTGTTCTTTTGCATCATATCTCTCTCATGCTCTGTCCAGCCGTCTTCATGCTATCCGCCAAATTTTCCCACTTACACGACAGCCGGCCTCATGTGGAGGACATCGTCATTTTTTCCAGGAAGCTGTATCCTTCTCTTGACACTTCAATCATAATCTCAGAGTCCGTAACAATCTCGACTGAAAGGAATCAACGAAACATATTGAAAAAAGGAATCAACCTGCATAATATTTGCCAAAGAAACTTTAACCAGCATGAACGATGATGAACTTGTAGTACAAGTACTAGTACTTGTCTCGGAATTACTTACATTAACTGGAAGGTGTGAGTGTATTTACAAAATCGGAAAAAAGCAGAAAGAAAATGTCAAGAGAAACCGCATCTGTACAATCTATCACTGGAACGGGAAACCTTGAATTGACGAATGATCTGTGGCTAACAAGTGCTTATTGTCACGACGGTAATTCTTCGAAAAATAACAATCTGAACAACTACCAATTTTAGATCTACTTCTTTCCCCATCAACGAAACCTTGCACTCCGCTTCATCCCCAGAAAGAGCCTTCACCACTACCTCCTCATCCCAACCACTATCCACGACCGTCAACATGCACATCAATATCGCAGACGCTCCCGCTCGAGTACAACGCATCCCACCACGTACCTACACCAGATCAACAACACCAAAGTAGAAGCTCAATCGTCCCACCTGCAGCAAGAAGCAGCACGTCGTACAACTTCATCTTGTCGTACGAAGAGACGAACGACCTCCAAATTACGAAGTGCTGACACCAAACAGCGTTGCTGCATCAGTGGGGATCACATCGCCAGCCTCATTCTTGAATTCGTAGGTGCAGCTATCACCATTGGCAAAAGCCCCAATCTCGTTGTGGCAAACCGAGAACGAGTTCTCGACGATGGTGTCCTGGGAATGAAATTGAGGGAACTTGTGGATCATTCTGCTGATATGTCACTTGTTTATTGTTCTTCTAAACTTTCTAAATAATCTAAATTTAGTTTTCTCTAGGTGTAGTTGTGCTGTCAAATGATATCAAAACCTCTCCAGCAGAACAGGATCCGCGATATTGGACCAGGAAAGACACCAAGCTACATGATCAAGTAGAAGTACCCCCATCCACTTCTTCCAGCCAAGCTCTTTGTTTCCCTTGGCCTTCCACTCTGAGACATCGGCCTCCAACGTTTTGAAATAGGCGTCTTTCAGCTTTTTGACTCCACCTTCTCCACCGGCACCAGAACAAAACGTGAGTTTATACCTGTAGTTGATGAAAGTCACTCTGTAGTTGTACCTGGGACAGGAGGTGACTCTATACCTGTAGTTGATGAAAGTTGTGACTCTGTAGTTGTACATGTACCTGGGAACGAATAAGCATTCTGAACGGGGACCAGCCAACAAATGTCCTTATGATAGGTATAATTCTTATCTGTACCTGGTGAGGGTGACATAGCCATCTTATCTGTAGCTACTAAGGGTCCTGTACCTGACATAGGTATCCTTATCGCAACCGGGCAATCCAAAGCCCTGCTTCGCGGCTTCCTTCTCCTTCAGTGTGAAGGACACGGCTTCCTTCACGCCTTGGCTCAACAGGAAACCACTTGCGGAGGAGAATAGCACACTGGCGGCTAAAACGACGCGCATCTTGGTGCTTCTCTTAATAGTCTTATTGTGGTGTTGTACGTAGTGGTTCGCTTCTTGGTTCTTGTCTGAGGTTTTGTGGTTCGGTTCTCGGTGTGGTAGGTCCAGAAGGTGGGAGTGAGAACCACGTGGAAGTTCTTGATGTAGGGGTGTTGTGGCGGTCACAAGAATACACTCATGAAACAAGGATCGACTCTGGCTCTGATCCTGGGACAGAAAAGACTGCCATGGAGCAGCAGCAGCGGGATCCCCTTTCCACCGACACTGATCCTCTGCGATGTGGTGGCAAGCTCAGGCTCAAGGGCCTCACTCATGCCAGATTGCTAGATGTTTTTTTTTTCCATAGCACACGGCTTCGCGAGAGATGTGATGATCCAGTGATGGATGTACTGAACAGCATATAGACGTTTCTTATCAGCTGGGAGTGAGTATGAGAACACCGCTTCTTCTCTTATCCTTACGCCTTCCCTAATAGAACGCTGAAGATAGACATAGACGCTTTCTCTGCTACACCGACAGAACGGCAAAAGTCAAAGTCAAAGAATGTCTAAAATGACTAATGAAAAGCTGCGTCACTGCGACTGTCGTTGTGGTCGTGAAGAATAGCGTGGCAATCGGAAAAATCAAAAAATTTAAAACAACTAAAGGGTTAATGTTCGTCATGCAGTGTGTTGCGCTTGTGCATGGTTGAGCGACTAAGTTTGCATTCGCGCTTTCGGAAAACAATAAAACTTGATACCGACTTTGAAGAAAGTGCGGGAGGACCGCAGGCCATATATTGGCTTCAAGCGCTGAAGACGCTATTCGAAATTTCAAATTCTCAGTATGCGCAAGCGAGCGCGCGAACATAACTAAACCAATACGTAGTTACCGATGAAATGACGCTTGTTTTGTCCATATAAATTTCAACTACTGATCGATGCGAGGAGCGCACAAACATCCAAAAAAAATCGACTTCTGTGATGACGCCTAAATACTGTGGGGAGCAGGACATCATGAAGAATATTAGGTTCGACATTCGAAAATTCTGGTAAGTAGATCAAAACACTGTCCTCTTCTCGCGTTAAAACCCAATGAAAACAACCAGTGATCCGCCATCTACTCTCTCAAGGCTTGCATCAATCTGGTATTGTTGTATCTTGGTCCACCTGAAACTTCTGGCTTGAAAAGGTTATGAAAATTGAAATGAAGGTATTTTCGCATCGCCATGGCTCTGGGATCGCCTTGTGTTAGGCCAAGGGGAATTCTCGACAGCTGCTCGTAATGCTTCAACAAAACTGCGGCGGAAGATGAATGGGAACAGGGGCGGGCTCCCTCGGGGAAGGGAATGGTATAAGCAAATAGCTACAAAACTGCTCTGTAACAATGAAGATGATGAATCAGGTCGTGGAGTTGTCAGACCGAAAGTTATTTATCAAAGGTCCAAAAATACACGGTCACACTCAAAGGCGGCATTCATTTCTTTTTCTGTACCTGCTAAAACTTGAATCACACATGATCAAGTAAAATTGAAACGCGTAAGAAAAAATCTCCGACGAAGATCGATGAGTCTGCTGCAATTTCCACCGATTCTATCACGTCTTCCGCTGTTGGTATCCTCATTTTTTCGGTCGTAAGCCAAATGAGTAGCACTTCTGATATCGTGTCAGTAGCTTCGAAAATGACTTCGCGTAGCCTACTAGGCGATGGCCGATACGACATAAACCCGTGACGCAGCATCCCAAAATGGTCATTCAGCGTGAGAAGATCAACACCGCGGCTGTTCCCAACAGATGGCCTTCTCTGCAATGTCGCCGATGCACTACTAGACTTACTACTTCTGCCTTTAGTTTTTCCACCAGCACCGCCACTGCTAGAAGAAGAGGATTTTCTTTCGGCAGTTGTTGCGCCAACGACGATCTCTGTTCCGCCAGCGGATTTTGGCCTCGAAGACCTGGATCCACCGCCTTCTGCTATCAATGAAAGAGGGCAGCTTCTAACTCGATATAAAGTCGTGAGCAAATTCAGTATTAGTAACATGAAAATGCATGAGTATCATCCGTCTTGGTAGAAAGACGTACAGTCAAGAACAAAGAGGCAAAGTCACGATGCCAACTCTAGAAGAGCTTAGTCAAATACAATTCTACTACTACCCGACCAACACACAAAAACCACACAAAACTCGCATAAATTTCCATTTGCTCCACCCATGGCATTCTCGTCACCCGCAGCTAGAGCCGCCAGCCTATTCTGTGCCTCTTGCGGTGTCTGTGGTGATCTCAATGATGCCTTCGGGCTGCTTCCGACGCTGCGACTCCCGCTCATACCATCTACGTCTCCTCCGAGTGAGACATTATAGCACTAGAGGAGTATAGTCACCACTTTTGAAGATAGTCACCACTTCATTTTGTGTCATCAACATCAATTGCAAAACTTACTGCTCAGTTTTGCAATTGATGCCGTTGACGCACCAGCAGCGGCGGGCGCAGAGAAAGCAAACATTTCACAGACACAAAGAGAAAGCTATAGAAAGACTGAAAAGGAGCAGGAAACTCAAGTGAACTACAGAAAGCTAAAGCTATCAACTACTCTAGAACAGCCGTGATAACTCATACTACGTACAACAGCTTAAAAGCAGACTAAACACAAACAGAGAGATAGAAATAACGAAGTTGCGAAAACTAGAAGCGGAATCAGTTGGTTGTTTGGTTGTAAAACTTCATTTTGTGCCATCAGCATCAATTGCAAAACTTACTGCTCAGTATTGCAATTGATGTTGATGAAGACACAAGTACCTAGTAGTACTGATGTGAAGCATATTATTCTTGGGTGAAAATAAATCTCCATACACATATTCCGAAACAGGTCTTAAGGCATGGCATCTTCGTTTTTGCTCCGACTTCTCGCTGATATCGCTCCCTCTGCCAGTGACCCCTGTATCTCGTCCTTTGATACAGTAGGCACGTCGTCTAACTTCACATCCGTTTGTCGCTCTTCCGTTCCCGTCGTCACGATGTCGTCCAAGAGTGAAGCGTCCTCGAAAACTCCAAGGCGTCCCATCTCTAGCTCCGCCAGACTCGTTACGCGAGCCCTGAAGTCTGAATCGCCCAACATCTCCGCGAACTGAGCCTCGGACACAGCCCTCCCCCGACCACAAGCCACCGCGGATGAGCGTGCTATCGTGTAGCCGGTTACGAGCTGGGAGTTGGCGGGGTATTATTTGGACGAGGAGAGTAGTCGGGGTGGAGGGATTCGTCTACTGTTCGTTGGCTGATCGAGTCTACGAGTGGAAAATGTAATCTCCGCTCAACATCTGGTCTACAAGTACAAACCATAGTTTCCACAACTATACCTCACTCCCAAATTCGAAGATATCAGAGACTCTTTGCGGGACACTTTGGCGCATCAGCTGGACATAGTGGCTAGAGAATGCTGCTGACAAGTCCAGCACTGTAGGCGGCAATTTCCCTTGCTTCTTGGTTGAGGCTTTGCTTAGATATGGACGGTGATGACGTACTAGACCTGGAAAATGCTGGCCATGATAGCCCTGAAGATCTTCAACATCCTCGATATGCCCAGCAAGAAAAGGTAAGGTTAAACGCTCGTTTCACTTCATCAATCTTCATCTGAAAAGCGTACTTATCACCAGAGCAATTTATAAGGTTTCACGGCTCGCATGGCATGGAGCGCATGGATCACATGGAGTAGCATGGAGCTAAAGGGGGAGTTTCTTGCGCCCCTTAAAGCTCTGCGCTCCATGCACTCCATGCTACTCCATGCACCATGCGTGCTATAAACTACTCTGTTATCTATACATCTTGAAGATACAACTTTACGACCACTACAATCTATCAACAGGTTTCATCACCTTAATGCTGGTCTTGGCGTGTCTGCGGACCCACTTCGCTTGCCCTTTCCATTCCCACCGATGACTCTTTTACGTTTGTGGTATCCCTTCATTCCATCTGGATTTACTGGAAACGGCGCATTCGCGTCTGGTGGAGAAGAGGAGTTAGGTGTGTATCATCAGTGAAGAAGGTCTGAATGGAGTACGTGATTATAAAATGCCTTGATCCTGTAGTACCTAAGAAGATTTATTGGTCGTCCCTCCACCTTCTGATCGCGAAAAAACAAAAAGGTTTTAAACGCAATATCTCATTTAGTCGTGATAGAAGTAGTCCCCAATCATAAACTTCGCCGCTGACTTCGAACGTTTTTTCGGTGCATTGCGTCCACTCAACAGGTCTTTCACGGTCAAGGGCAGCATTTCATCTAGGCGCTCGGAGCTCAAGGCGTATGAAGGGAGAAAGTGTACAGTCATCATCCAGCCACTCTTGTTTTCTAACTACTTAGGAACGTGTACACATCATGAACGTGTACAGTCATCAGCTAACTAGGAAAGTTGTGCTGCCCCTCGTCTTGTTTTCTTGAGAAGGATGAGCCACATCCGCCTGCACCGCTGCCTGGCATAATCCTATCTTAGAGGGTGGATGAGTACTAAACTTTATTTTCCTTTCATAAGAGGCACCACTCTGTTATGTATCGGAACTGAGCGTTGCTTGGTGCAAATCCCCATATCGGTATTCGAAGGACGTCCACAACTTCGTCGACCTCTTCGAGCAGGCTCGCTTGCAAACTTGCGCCATCGCTCGTAGACGAATTTCGTTGGAATGAAGAGGTGAAGAAATAAGCTTCTTTGCTAAGTATATACTGTAAATTTACGACCTGGACGAGGACACGCATTGAACTAGACCCAATGTACATCTCCAGCAATGCGGTTCTTCTCCTACCAGCATCACCTGAAGGTGAGGACTGACATCTATTTAATTCCTTTCATCCTCATCTTCACATACCTCTTGAAACGCGGCGTTTCTGCTACCACGCTGAACGCCTGGTGATGTGGAAGGCGTGACAAAATTTCCAGACTCAGGTAATCTAGGGAATGCTGTAGAAGTTGGCTGAGCCGGCTGCTCCGTCTTTGGCGGGCCGGTACTATTTGCACTGCTCTTCGAAGTTGCCTTTTACATGAAGGAGAAGGAGATGAATCAATGATCATGATGTGCTGTGTACAGTGCTATCGTAGTGTAGTTGTGCTATGACTGTCGTACAATATCATGCGCGTGGCATGAAAGAGAATTTGTCGTTTATGTTCTTGTGCCCTGGTGCTCGATGACCGTATACAACTAGAAGAAGACCCACGATTCTTCTATAATTCAAGTACTCCTGCTACACCATCCACCCATATCTTTATTACTGCTTCCTGGACTAGAGACCGAAAAGTCGAATTTCTCGGTGAGCATTTTCCGGAGAAAAATCTTGTATTTCTCTATGTCTATGGCGTTCTCCAGATTTGTACGTGCATCGTATTCTCCAGCCACCTCTTCGTAATTCCCGGCAGAGGATGCGATCAGTGGGACTTCACTTGAAGAAGTGCCTCCTCCACTCGAAGAAGTATTGGTTCCTCCTGTTGGAGCTGCTTGTTGTTGAGTACTTAGCAGAGGTTTGTTTGGAAGTAAGTAGATCTAACAGAATATTCCTCTTCTTCGTTAAGCAGAATGAACAGAAGCTACACGTTCTTTTGGGTTAAACAAAGATCTGACAACAGAAGCTACACGTTTTGGGTCAAAGATCATTGTAGAAGATCAGCTTCCAATATCATGCAGCTATGGCGAGTTATATTTATTGCCATAATTGACCTCCTCCCTTAGAAGAGCTGCGTCCGCGAGCACCAGCTGCAATTGCGTTTAGATGACGGGCACCAGCTAAAATTACTCAACCATTTTTGCAGTCGTGCATCTTGTTCAAGAACATTGGAAACTGCAAAGTGCAGACTTGTTAGATTACTTATACTATAAACATATTATATAATATAGAACAAAATGAAGTACAGAACATGGAAGGCTGCAGGCAACTTAGCACTAGCGGTGACTCATTCACGACCCTTTCTCTCATAACTCTAGTATTTTGAACGCCCCAAAGCTGAGGACGCTTATCCTGCTCCGCTTCTTGCTCCTCAGCAGCAGGACTTCCTCATACAAAATCGGAAATGGACATCGCAACCAGAACTCCGCTTGTACCACCTCTATCAAGTCTGCAATCTGCAACGTCTCCGGACCCTCAAGTTGGTCTAATTGAGCTCGCAGCACATGGAAGAAACGCACTGCTCGTTTTGTCAAGTGGTGCAGCAGGACGCGGACACTGTGGAACATGCCTACCTTCAGCTCGCTCGCGCGTGGCTTCTGCAATATCTGTGCGAGCTCATTCGGCTCCGCAGACGTCAAATATGGACAAGAAGTTAGAGACCACGAGAAAAAGGAAGGTGATGTTGTGATCTCGAAGATGTTGTAATTCGCGACATACAGATTGTCGTACCATGAGCACTGTGTTTTTTGCTACTTATGCCTGGCAGATAATTAACCTTTTTATTTTTGTCCAGACCTGCACTTGTATAATACCAAGTAGTCCACAAATTCCATCACCCTTAACAACGAGTCCAGACAGATATCGCAGACTAGTTCCTCGATTTCTCTTGGAGCCGGAACGCATCCACCACATTTGCGGTTCCGAGTCCGTAGGCATTCAGCATCCGTTTGGTCGTTTTCTGATCTGTCCTGGCCAGAGCTAGCAGAAGAACGTTCTTTAGAAGTCAAGAAAGTACTGGAAGTGAAACTACTGGTCGTGTGCTATTCATGTAGTAGTAGTAGTAGTAGTAAACCCATTCAAGGGGTACATACATCTGACTTCTTCAAGGGTGGGGTTTGAGTTTATTTCACGTCGAGGAGTATTCATAATTATGTGAAGGTCCTTCCAAGTAAGTCTACGTAGTCGAAATTTGTATAATTCAGGGGAATTTATCATCTGCCTTCATCTAGGCCCCTTGGCAATTTGGATGTTGTGTTCTACACGACCTACTAATTAGTCTATTCCTCCATCAAAACCAACCCTATCTCGTGCCCCGCCTCCAGCATTGGCCGCTTTTGATGCTCCATCTTCCCCATCTTAGAGGTATTTTCCAACTATGACAGCGATTTCAATAGTCTGCCTTTCGTTCCAGAGCTTCAAAGGAAGATGAAGATCCACGTGAATGGTTCCGGTATTTGGTAACCTGATTTCGATCATTTAAGGGAAAACAAGAGGAGAATCCTTGTGATCAAATTCAGGTTACCAAATACCGGAACCATTCACCACTTAGGGTAATGTAGTTCAGATGAAGAAGTAGCGGACTATAAATCTTTTCCTCCTCCATAACCAGCAGAGCCAGTGCGCTCTGTAGGTGCGTAGATATAACGAGATTCTGAAGCCTCCGCAACATTTGCACCAGAACTTGCGTTCACCTTCATTAGACCGGATGAAAGCGTGAGGAGATCTCATCTGCGACTGCGAGTGCGACACAACAGTATTACTATCGAGGATTTGTATCTATTCGGCAGCGTGCGACACAAGATACAGACAGTGTTGCTACTAACACTTAGATAGTTGTCAATGCATTTGAGGTTGAGCAGAAACAGACCGTTATACGTAATTGACATCACATAGCTTCAACTTGCCTGAAGATGAAGACGTCGAGGGAGCTGTATTCCCCGACACCGTGCCTCCTTGTGAAGACGTTGCTGCACCACCCGTCGTCGTCGTCGTTCCACCCCCTACAATTGACACCTCCACGCTTGTATTTTGAGGCTCTAGTACTGCTGAACCTTGGCTTAGAGGAGAGCTGGAAGAATACATCGGAAGACTCATCTTCAGGACTAGTTGTGGTAAGAAGAACTTGTTGTATTGATAACGATCGATGTACTCGAAAAACTGAAATAAGCGAGCAGCCGAGAAAAAAAGCGATAAGACCCCCCACGAAGTGACCAACGGACAGCCCAGACGAGAAAAGAAACTACCTACTTACCAAACAGCTGCGCAACTTGTTACAGGCTGAGCCTGAAGCTAACTGGAAAAAGGATCTGTTAATACCCCATGACATCAACTGATCTTCCTCCGCCAGGACTAGTTGTGGTAAGAACTTGTTGTTGATCAGGATCATGATCGATGTACGTCTACTTCTGCTTCTCCTGCTTCTCATGAAATAACAAAAATCATAAAAAATCAAGTCTCAACCTCAAGACAACATCAGATAAAAAAAGCCATAAAGGTGTTGGTGGAACTTCTTCTGCTCCATCACCTCCACTGGCTACCACCTGTCCTGTTCCACTGCGTTTACTTGAAGATGGTCCACTTTGTTTAGTATTCGGTCCTCCATTGGAAGCGGAACCTCCACCGCTACTAGCACTTTTTTTCGATCCTGAGGCAACTGAATTATCTGCACTACCTCCTTGACCACTAGAAGAAGCGCTCGCGTCTCCGGTGCCTGTGGTAGTTGGACCACCAGCGCCAGTACTGCCAGACTCACTTCCTTGTGCCAGAATTAGAGCAAGAGCTCACAATATATTGTTTGAAGGGCTAAGCCTATAGAGGTAAAAACTAACCGGTTGCTGTATTTTAGTGCTTTGAGCGCCGCTGGACCTAACACCTTAGGAACCTTATGAAAAGGAAGAAGCAAATCTAGATTTCTGAGATACTCTCGTCCAAAGTTCATCTCTTCAATCATATCTTCTACGTGACGAGAAGGAACGAAAGGAAGAGAGACGATACTCTGGAAGGAAAAAGATGAAGCAGCATGATTCTTAATAGAATGGCCTCCTGCTCTTTAGTCGCTGCGGTTCTTCCAGCGGCAGCTAATTTTGTTTCGAGTTCCGTTATCTGCAGCCGGCGCAGCGTATGACACGGAATCCTATTGCGCAGAAGGCCTACATGGATTACTAGGGGACGCAAATATTAGAGAATGAACCATGTATCATGGGATACTCCAATGAATTGGATAGTAGATGCTGGGTGCTCACTTCCCATTCAAAAATTGCAACATGGAATAGGGGATAGGGGAAGCGAGAAACATCTTATAGATAAAGTCAACCCTGTCCTCGTCCTCGTCGAGATATCTTAGATAGAACTAGAAGTAAAAGATGCATATCTGAGATGCATATCTGCGTATTTTTATGTGCCATAGAAATGAAATGATATGTGTATTCGGGATATGGGCGTTGTTATCTGCCGCTTAGCCACAATCCGACCCAGAAGCGCCACCATAGGTTGCACTGTGCACTTGGGGAAATTGAAGTCGTTGTGTCCACAGTTGCACAGATACAGTTCGGAGACCTCCTTCCACCTGACCACCTCAAAAAGCTCCACCGCTTGCTTGTGCGGGATCATCGTGTCGCGTTTTCCATGAAGGATCAAGACGGGAGTCCTGAGAAAATCATGAATGTTCAAGCAGACTATAAAGTAGAGTAGTTCTAAACGGACTAGCAGACGAGGAGTCCGTCGTCCTGTTCTACTTGAGTAGGGGATTTATTTTCGTATTGTCGTGAGACGAGGCAGTCTTGTAAGCGTGAATCTGTCTTTACCTTTCCAACTGTGCAACGGCATTTTTGTTGTCCCAGGACTGACGAACTACGGATTTCGCCACCCTACCGAACAAAAACTTTACCACGTCCTTGAAACAGGTGAAACGGGAGTTAGAGTTGTAGAGGTCGATATTATGGCAACTCAGGCCACGAGAACCATATCACCATCAGTAGAGAACAAATGATCACTACGTCCATATACTGGCACTTCTTCCATGGTAGAGACAGAAGGAACTACAAAGCAGCTGCTCCTGCTCCAGTTGAACGCAGTTGGCTTAGTGGTTTAGGCGTTGGCCTGTTCACTTATCACTACTCTCCGACTCCGTGAATGACTAAATGAAGCCCTAACACACTGAATCACCAAGCCGCCGACACTTTCGGGTCCAAATAATTCCTGTGTCCTCAGCGCCAGTGCACACGCGCTTCCACTGCCAATAGAACGTCCATACCAGATGATGCGCGATGGCTAAATATGAAAACGTAATACTCCAACGCACCGCCAGACCAGGAGTACAATTCATAGACAATGCGCTCATCAGCATGGACATAAAAATAATGATCACGACCGTATCTTCGTTCTCGACACAGACACTAAATATCTTCGTTCTCCTTCTCGAAACACTATCGTTTAGTAAAAACGATTATTTGATGAAAACGATTAAGTATTTGCTTTTTCATAATCAATCTTCAATTCGTGGATGAAGAAGTTGTGGATGACTTCCATGGTTCGGTCGATGGACGCTTTGCTCGTCTTCCCCTCATACAGTCCGTACCCAGGATATTCGACCAAAAAACTATCCACTAAGATTAGAGAGGGAGTGGGAGGTGAGTGAGTGTGAGTGAGAGTCAATTGTTGAAAAAGCACCACAGGGGTAAATATCAATCACTACATCGAACGCTAAGGGGAATCAATTTGCCTGTTCTGTGGACGTGCAGGCATCTGTTTTCTGAATCGATACTAGATTCTGCTTTAAAAAGAGTTCTGAGTAGTTGGCTCTGATTCTCTTAGAAGTAGGTACCACGTTAGAAGTTCTTCTACCCACGCGTTTATTACGATTACCCAAATCAAACAAGTATGAGCAGGAAGTAGAAGGAATCCAGCACTTATAGTATAAGGTTTCACAGCTCGCATGGCACGGAGTGCATGGATCACATGGAGTAGCATGGAGCTAAAGGGGGAGCTTCTTGCGCCCCTTAAAGCTCTGCGCTCCATGCACTCCATGCTACTCCATGCACCATGCGTGCTATAACCTACTCTGTTATACATAACATCAAGTGAGAATTTACATAACATCAAGTGTGCAGAGAGACCACGCATCGCTGTTACCATATCTCCAATATCACACCCGTTGGAATGCGTGTGCACAAGCACAAACATGCTGATGAATTGTTTAGATTGTAGGCGCTGTCATTAGTTAGTCACTAATTTATTTCTTGAGTAGAAGTTCAAAGTAGACTTCCTTTCTTTTCTCTCATCCTTAATACTGAAAATAAAATGTAGCACCAGCAGTACCTTTTCCGTCTTGCTCCTGGCGAGATGTACATGCAAGGAATGGGGCATAGTTCTGACAAGGGATCCGTGATGAAAAAGAGCTCATCTAGATGACTTGTCAGAGAGTAGCTCGAGCTCGGAGCCGGGAAGGTGATCATGTCCACCAGCCGCTGGAGCCCCATCTTTGCAGCCGTGTTCTTCTACAACACAAACCTCAAACTCAAAGTAGCAGAAGATGCTGTCGCGATTCGTGTAGTACAACTAGATGTCGGCACCAAATCTGTGTAAGTACAACTAGAAGGCACCAAAAAGCGAAATCAAAGATGATTCGCAGAAGAAAACACTGAAGATTGTAATCCCTTGTCGTAAGAGAATCTCCAGTCAACAGCTGCAAGAAGTCCTTCAACTCCAAGGAGAGCAAAACTATCGGTGTTCTTATTCGAGTTCTTCGACCGAGTTCTGCGGACAGGGACGGCTAAATATCCTAAACCGCGGAAGCGATCATCTTCTCAGCAGAGGCAGAGCGATACCCTCCTGAGCAAACCCAAAGAGTATCCTTCCGAAATCAGCACTTGTTCTTGCTCACACAGATCAATGCAAAGGCGAACTGCTTTTGCGCCGTCCGCGTCTTTTGCGGATGGAAGGGTCTTCCATCATCGAACGAGACATCTTCTCTTCAATTTATTCAAAAGAGAGTTCTTTTTACGAGATGAGGTGATGTAGAGTGAGATAGTGGACTGTAAGTATTCATAGCTCTACACACCGGTAATACTCTTGTGGTCCTCTCCGTGCAGCGGTGCTGCAAAGGTGGTCACTTCGCATGTCCGTATACTATTCGTTGTAATCAATCTTCTCCTGGCGGGGCTCAAGCAAGTGCGCTATTTTTTTAACATAACGCATCTTCATGTTCAGAGAAGACTACAATACAAGGCAAGTGTTCTCGCACAAAGTTCAGTGCAGACTGCCACGTCATATTTTCTTGTGCTAGTCCCCAAGATTCGTTTCTGCTCAGCCTCACGACGTCTACAATTGAGGTATCATCTTGCTGTTGACCTTCTTCCTCGTGTCTGTAGCTCCCATCTGTCGTAGTACAACTACGACGAGCTCTTGTAGATCCTTCAACATTATCGCAATGAGTACTAGTACAATGAATTATATGCTGAATGAGAATGTCCTTGTGGTCTCATCATCATCACGCAAAATTTTTCATCTCCTCTACTCCCTCTGTATGTGGCCTCTCCCTCTGCATCACAACTTAAGACTCCGTTTTTGCTGCAGGCACTGTCTGCTCGTCTACTCCTGCTTCATTCATCAAGTCCGCGATTGACCTGGGTGCGTTTAGGAGTAGCTGTACGTGGTCCACGATCTCGAATGATAATGTCTACTAGCATAACCATAATATCTAGACCACTAATTCTAGTTTAACAAAAATGATGTTGCTCACATTATACAGCTACAGGACGAGCAGGCACGACACCACCCAAAATGTGTTACAACTAGGTGATTATATAAAGCACAGGCCATTAGTATTTCGTGACAAAAAACAAAAAAGTAGTATCAACACAGGAGATATTCAAACAAGTACTTCTCCAATTCGTCAATGCGTCCACCCATATCGTCGATGCGATTCACAATACCATCAGACATGGTTTGAAATCGGGTTTGCATCTCCTTCAGCAAGTTCTGCACGAACAGCGTCAAGTCTTGATGCTGCTCGTCAATGCTGTGTTCGAGGGATGCCATTTTCTTTTTGATTAGGACTAGCGGTCCCGCGGAAGGATCTGAGTAGTTACTTCTGAGTATCTTTGTTGTAGCAGTAGCCGAGGAGTACCGTAGGTGGGGTAGCTTAGTTGATCTGACCTGCTCGTAGTTAGATTGATAGTATGTATGAGTATTTCGACCTAAGTAGAGTAGCAGTAGCAGCTTTACACTGGAGCCTAACTAGAACGACGTTGTCAGTGTGTCTCTCTCGAAAGAAAAACTATGTTGGTGGTCGAAAATGGAAAGTTACTTGTAGAAGCAGTAAAAACTGCCGTCGTGGTGGTTGCAGCTAGCTATGCAGAGGTTACTAACAATACACGGTTGAAGAAGGAGTTCATCAAAAAACATCCTCTATTTAAACCAGTATTTTCTTACTCTCACCATTCCCACCTCGTCGTTTCCAGATGCTTGAGTCTCCTACTCACAACTACACTTTCACCACTTTTCTTTGCTGCAGGATGTGGCGGCAAGTGATGACTATTACTGCCACTGCCGGTCGTCTCAACTTAGGATAGGATAGGAGTTGGCTCACCTGTGGAGGGGTGAGCGTATAGGCAAAAGGCGCCTTCATATAAGGTCAAGACCGACTGTTGTTCATCTCCAGAACATGTGGTGCGTTATTGGTTCATTGCGGTTTTCCTTTTTCGGCGTAGTTATAGTTGTTACTATCAAAAGTATGAGCATCACGTTGGTTTCTTCTTCATCTCGCTGTAGTTCTTCAACAAGGTGAAGACCGTTTGTAGTCGCCTACACAGCAGCATCTTTGTCTCTGTTTGTGATGTAGTGTATAAGATTTTCTCACGAAGACCGCGCAACAACTACTACAGGAGTACTACCTAGTACAACAACCACTCTATACAGGAGCATATTTGGTGGCCCAACAACATTCTTACGATACAAAATAAATCGGTCTTCATGTTCAAGAATCGTCACCTTAACTCATTGTTCGTCGTCCCCCTATTATGAGCGAGAGCGCTATCATCTAAGCCTAAGCTAGCAGGAAAATGTAGGATCAAAATGTCGAACAACTTTTGTAGTCCTACTTGTTGTAATGGTGTGGAAAATGGTACATATGCAAGACCTGAGCCGTAATAGTGCTGGTAATGTCTATAAATTTTCTCCCCGAAAAAAACAACATGATGAGCATAGGTAATTTATTGTTCTAGTGTCGCAGAAGGCATTTCAATTTGAATTCTATCACTTCTTTAAGTTCGTTCAAAAAAAATCAGATTCAATATCTATACAACTATGACTACATCACTATGGCCAAAATTTGAAAACTTGAGTACATCAACATGGAAAAAACCTAACTTCATCTATGACTTCTTTTTATTATTAAGGAAGATAGTTGAGGAGCCAGACCTTCTAGATATATATATCACTTATGATTTGCGGTTGTTTACATTGCTCTTGTTTACATTTGAATCTTTGATGATATCGGTTAGACGTCGGTATGAAAATTTGCGTATTAGTGCTTACATTTCATTAATTCGAAAACTTTAGCCTAATTCTAATTTCGCTGGTACAACAAGAAATGCGTTCTTAGTCACTAATGGTGGTCGTACATTGTAGTTCTTGGCAGGAGTATTCAATTGCTTTTGATTTCTGTGCAATAACTGGCTTCATTGCCGCCTTTTCCCCGTACTACTCTGCTTGAAGGAGCGAGGAGTCCGCACATATCGCCAGTTTTCTTCCCCAACTCAGTCTAGAAGAATTATACCTGTGCGTTGAATGTGATTTGTATTAGAAACAACGACAAGACTCTTCTTGTTCACGTCATTTATGTAACCAGCACCTGCTATACTACAACCACTACTTTCTTCATACATAGAAAAGATATTATCAAAATAACATGAAAAATGAAAATCTGTAAGATAAGTAGAAAGCTGCCAGAATAAGACATTCTAGTACTACCTTATCAGTATGAATCCTCATCCTCGTGTTCAGGGATGCACTGAGGTAGGGCTCTGGGCATCGCTTGCATTCCTCCTAACGCACGTGGTGCCCCTTCTCTCCAGTTACTACTTGTATTGTTAGAGGCGGAGGCGAAATCATGGATAGCACGACGCGTAGTACGAGTGCAGAGAGGCCGGGTCGTGAAAGAACAAGAATTTACAATTACTTCCGAAATCGATTGGTACTTAGTAGTCACCTACTGCTTAAATCTATTGGTTACTTCTGAAATCTATCGAAGGTCAGAGTCAGTCTACTCTGGTGGCCATAACATTCGCATTGCCTCCTCTCCAGTCGCGGATGAGCTCTCGGGTCCGCATACGAACTACTGTGTCCCGTAGCTCATCAGTCTCAAGATTAGAAGAGTGTGAATGTGAGTCAAACACGTGATGTTTGAGCACTAAATCTTCGATGTTCGTATGCTCCTGAAGAAGCTTCAACATAGAATGGTAAATCTTACTCAACAGAATGATGCGTACACATGGCCTGAATCAATATAATATTAAGCTATACTTTTTCATCTTTTTAAAGTGTAAAAACTGTAACGCGCGCGCGCGCGTTACGCGCGCGGGTTACGCGCGCGCGCGCGTTACGCGCGCGCGTTATAACGCGTTACGCGCGCGCGCGTTACGCGCGAAATAAGGCGCGCGCGTTACATGCGCGCGGCGCGCGCGCGT